TAGCGTAGAACTTAATTACCCTATCTATAATAAAGAATTCCTTATAATTATTTAAGCTTTTAAGGAATTTTAATACTACCTTCTTAAAAGTAAGTATAAAGTTAAGGTCTATATAGATTATAAAAATATCTTATACTTTATAACTTTATAATAGTTAAACGGACGATAGATTTAATAGGCTAAATATTTATTAAAATTCGACTATAAAATAATCTATAGAAAAGGAATAGAAAACGGTCGAGCTAATACCCTTAGTCGATAAAGTAACTACGATATAAGGGCACCTATAGTAAAAGGATAGCTCTTAGAAATTAACGAAAATAAGAACTACTAGTAATAATAGCTAAATATAGTATTTAAAGTATAACTTAATAACTTAATATACTAAGAGATCCTAAAATAAATAAAAGAATATAAAGTCTTAAACGGATATAATATAGAATATTTAGAAGTTTTAATATATAAAAATAAAATCTAGATATAACTAGAATTATAAGATAAAGTTATATAAGATATATATAAATATCTAATATATAGATACTAAGGAATCTAAAGAATAATAAAACGGATTAAACGATAATATAACTTCCTATAGCTTAAAAAAGTAATATAATAAGTTATTAAAAAATATAAACTTTATATATAAAGTAAAGCTAAACTATATAAACTATATAGAGAATTATAACCGCTACTAGTACTAAAGAAACTATAGGATTTAATAGCTTTCGACTATATTATAAAGCTATTACTATTAAAAGAACCTATAACTAACGTTAAATATAATAGTATATTCGTTATTATTAATAGACTAATAAAGTATAGATACTTTTTACTATATAAAGAAGTAAGTAATATAGAAGAGCTAGTATATATATTCCTATAAATAATTATTAGTAATTATAGACTACTAAATAAGATTATCTTTAATAAAGGAAGTACGTTTATAGCTAAGTTTTAGTAAGCTCTTATAATATAATTAAGGACGAAATATAAGCTTAGTATAGCTTATTACCTATAAATAGATAGATAAATAGAACGACTTAACTAAACGCATAAATAATATTTACGATACTATATTAGCTACGAATAAAACGATTAAGTTAAATAGCTACTAATAGCGTAATTAGCTTATAATAGCTTAGTTATAGAAATAACTAAGCTCTTATTAGTATACGCTAATTACGGATATAACCTAGAAGTATTTAAGGTTACTCGATAAGGACTATAAGTAGAAAGAGTAATACTATAAGTAGATTAGCTATAAAAATTATATAAAGAAATATAATAAGAACTTTAATTTATTAAAGAATAAATATCTACTTACTATAATTAGAAAAGATTATAGGGACTAATCTTTTAAGAGGGAGATATAGTCTACCTTATACGACGAAATATTAAAATAAAACGACTAAGTAATAAATTAGATTTTAAGAAACTTAGACTATTTAAAGTTAAGAAAACTATTTTAAAAGTTAACTATAAACTTTCGCTATTAATAATAATATAGATATACTTAATATTTTATATCTTATTATTAAAACTAGCGCTATAAAACGCTAAACTATAGGAAAAAATTAAAGTCGACTATAATTAGGAATATAAAGCTAAATAAATACTAAATATAAGAAAATAAGGTTAGTAATAAGAATACCTTATTAAGTAAAAGGGATATAAACTAAAGGAAAATACCTAGGAACTACTTAAGCACTTAACCTACTATAGTTCTTTACTTTAATAGTTCTACTAGTAAAATCTACCCTATATATTATAAAATCGCTTAATAAATTAATAGTATTTTACTTAATTATATTAAATCTACCTATAGATTAAATATTAACTACCGCTTTAGATTCTTAGCGCTTAGCCTCGTTAAGGTTATCTAAGGAATAAAGGCCTTAACGGACTATCTTAGTACCCTTTATCTTTAGCTAGCGCTTTTAACGGCAAAGCCGTACTAAACGAGCTAAGGCTTTATTTAGGTCGGCTTAAGCTTTTAATATTCGCTCCTTAGTAATTTCTTCTTCTTTATTTAATCGATCGGACTCTAGATTTATTTAGGATACTAAGAAATACGTTAACTATAAATAATAAGTAAGATAACGAAGTTACTTATAGGAGCTAATCGCTATGCTTAACGTATCGTAGGAATAACCCCGCCGTATATATTTAGTATACTTAGAAGATTTCTCTAGTATTTTATAGCGGAAGCCGCGTAATAAATAAAAAGAATATAGTATAACGTTAAAACTAAGATAATTAATAAACTTAGCTAAATAAATATACTTAAGGGTCTTATAAGAACGATCCTTTAATATATAACTAGATATACTATTAGTAGTATATCCTAAGGGATAAAAAGGATAAAATAGGGAATATATATATACGTAATAAGGGTATATTTATATACGGCGGCTAAGGTAGTAGTAGGTCTTACGGATAAGACTAAAAGGAGGGGAGATATTATATTATAACTATAGTTAGCGGGCTATAAGAGAGCTAGCTACGTTTACGTAATAAGGCGGCTTAGAATAATAGTTAGGATAAGAAGTTACTTAGGCTTAGCTTACCTAAAGCGTACGTAAGCTAAGTAAGCTTTATATAGATAGATTACTACTTAGGAGCATAGCTTATAAGTAAGCTATAGTAAGCTATAAAGGGGATTACGGCTAGGACCGTAATCTAAGGATAGTCTCTATAGGTATATATAGCTACCTACTTTTACTCCTTTAGATAAATAGCTCTCTAGCTTTTAATATAGATCTTTATTACGATTCTATCTCTAATTCTAATTACCTAGTTATAGTCTATAGTCTACGACCTCTAACTTATTACTAACGTAATATACTTATTATTACTTAGACCACGCCTTATTATATCTACTAATATAAACCCTACGATAGGTTTATCCCTTAGGAATAATACTAGTTATTATAGTATTACGTTCGCTTTAATTTTACGACTATAAGAGTATAGATATTTCGCGTATATATATACTAGTATAAGCGGTTTAACTAAACTAGGTAATTAAACGTTAGCTTTAAAGGTAGCTAAAAAAAATAGCTATTTTATATATAGGGATATAGAGAGGGTAAAATAAAGGGTAGATTATACTATTATAAAGTAGGTAGAGGTATAGGCTTAAGTACGGTCTATTAAAAGAAGGTTAATAATCTATAAGAGGGAAAAGGAAGAGAAGTATAGGCTAGCTTTATATAGGAGGAGCTTATATATAGACTTAGCCTAGACCCTAGTCTAGGCCTATATAAGGCAAAAGCCCTTATAGCCGCGCTTATAACTACTAAATATATATTTATATATATAGCCTACCTTACCCTATAACGCTATTAGCTAAGGTCTAAGCTAATACCTAGACCTATACTAAGGGTAAATACCCTTATATTTATATAGATAATCTACTTTTTTTATATATACCTTACCCGCTTAGGCCTTACTACCTAATTTAGCTATACTAATATAATAAAAGAGGGAGTTATACTAGTATAAAGATTATATATACCTATTATTTTAGGGTAGCTTAATTCGTTTAAATAATATATTTTTATAATTATTATAAGATATATATATATTATATTATATATTAGTATAGGCATTTAGGTAGTATAGGTACTTACTAAGCACGTATAGTATAAATAGGTAGGGCGGGCTAGCTTTAGTATATATCTTAAAAATAAGTTAAGTATATAAATAGTAATATACTATTATATAAATAGTAATACTCTTTTATAATTATAGGAGTATAGATATTTTACGTATATATATATGCCGGCGCGGGCGGTTTAACTAGACTACGTAATTAAACGTTGGCTTTAAAGGCAGCTAAAAATAGCTATTCCGTATATAGGGATATAGAGAGTGTAAATTAAAGGGTAGATTATACTATCACGGAGTAGGCAGAGGCATAGGCTCAGGTGCGGTCCGTTAGAAGGTCAATAATCTACGAGGGGGAAAAGGAAGAGAAGTGCGGGCTTAGCCTACATGGGCGCGGAGGCCGCTTATATATAGGCTTGGCCTAGACTCCAGTCTAGGCCCACATAGAGCAAAAGCCCTTACACCGACCAAGAGATTCAAGCGATGCTTCTTAGTGGAGTCATCCAGTGGCAATTAACTTTGCTGTTTTACGTCGTGCCAGCAAACGCTTTGCCAGGTTTTCTGCTGGGCCGTGCACGAAAATCCCTAGCTCTCTCGCTGCGCTCGCGTTGACCAACCTCAGCGCTGAGCTGCTGGATGAAGACTGGCGAGTTTCGCTTGACCAAGCGCGGCAATGGCAGATGGCGCAACACCTGGCAAGTCCCGATACGAGGGGAGAGACTCGATGACAGCCCTGTCGCGGGAAGAGACACGGGACATGTGAGCGATGCTCTGTATATCGAGAAGATTGAGGACGGCGTGGAGGAGCTCGAGAGAGAGCTCATTGAGAATACCAATAGACGAGGGTTGTTGTTTACCGAGGTTGACGTCGGAAGGTTCCGCGGGCTCTGAATCGAAATCATGGCTTCTGTGAGGTAGTCTTCCCCATGGGAGAGACAGGCTACCATATCCTCGGGGTCGTGGTTCTCGCAAGGCAGAGATAGGTAGGTAGTTGGTCGGCGACAAGGCGGGTCAGTATGGCCGTACAGTATGTGTCAGTACGAGCAGCAAACTTAGCTAATCAACTCAGGCACGCCAGTAGTCGCCCGGCGGGATTGCTTAGCTAATCATGGCGCATGACGCCTTGTCCTCCTTGGAGTTTCGAGCCATGAATGCACTGTCCTCGCACTGTATCTTTCCACCGCTCACACGGCAGCCGCACAGTGTCTGCTTGCGGCGTCGAATCGTCATCGACATCTCCGTACCTCCTTTGTACCTAGGAAGCCTTCGCAAGCTCAGCACTGCCAACGACGCCCACGACGTCGAGCTGCCAGAGGCCCATCCCATCGCGAAGTCGCAACGACGCCCAACCAGATCGCGTCCCGCCTGATTCCCTGCAACAACCGCCCATCATGAAGCCCGTCGTCAGTGCTATGCACGCTTGGTCGTGGTACGTCTGCTCCGTCCCCAGCCTCCCCGGGCCAAGGGGGAAATACCCCTTTCCCGGCATCCGACATGAGAGCTGATTGTTTGCAAGCACCGTCATCTCCGTCTTCGCCATCGTCATCCTGAGCGTCCTCGGCGGTCTCTACCGCTCTGGCCACGAAGAGTTCGTCGGCGGCAAAGACGACCCCATAGACGGCAAGGCAGTCTCTGGCACCGTCTTTACCGCCGTCGTCGTCTACGCTGTACGTGCATACGACCCCCGAACGATACCCCCTTTGCTGAGGGCAACCCGGTTTGCGAGGGATCGGTTCTAACGCGAATTCTGCAGGCATTTCTCGTCTTCTGCGGTTTCCAGGGCCTGCTTCACGTCCGGGAGAACCGGAGAGGCGCTATCGCTTTGTGAGAGCGCGTTTTTCGGCTTAGGAGTATACGGCGCTGGCGTTTTGGCACGTGCTTGGCTGTTTTGCTTTCATAGAGGCTGTCGGGGATGCTTGTAGGGCAGGCCGTCATCGGCCCTGATGGAGGCACCATGGAGGGGTTGCATGTTGAGACGGCTGCGAGCTGCGGTGCAACAGCATCATCTCCTTGTATCCATCTTTGTCTGGTCTTTGTCGACGCAACGCAGATATGTTATTGGCTACCATTCGCCTCTCTTGTCTGGCTCTCGGCCGCACGGATACCGGAAAAGAAATAGTCGCAAGTCCTGTTCCTTTGTGGAAACTCATCAGACGTCTAGCCCAAACAAACACCAAGTTCCCGCCCCCCCCGAGTCTCGCGATGAGGTCGTGACCTCGATGGAGGTATGGACACTAATCCCTATGGGAGGCGGCAGCTCCAGGACATCGCATCGCCCAACGCAGGTGCTCCAGAGCGTGGCGTCCCGGGACATTGTTGATGCCGAGTGCTTCATCGTCGCCTGTGCTTTGCCGGTCTCAAGGTCTCGTGCATCGTGCATCGTCAACTCCACCCGGCGCGGCTTCATCTCTTGGGTCCGCGGGCGGTTACTGATACGTCCGGGGCCCGGCGTAGGCGCTCTGTTGGCACCGGAACCGCTTCGGCTCAGCTTCTTGAAGAGAGGCCGCAAGGTTGGCAAGGAGGCGGCGACAATTCCCACCGTGGGCTCAATCATGGACCAGAGAGCCGTGTTCCTGGACGGCAGCCGGGTCAGCGCAATGACGCAAAAGGGGCGGAGAGGGAGGAGCTGCCAGCTCTCGGCCCTGAGCCGTGCACGCACATGATGGAGTGAAAAAATTTGGGCGAGGGCATCTTGTCCTTGTTCAAGGTCGTCGTCCGCACAATGAGGGCGACGCAGGCACTGCCCGGTTTGTTAGCCGACCCGAGCCCCATCCAGTGTCCCGGCTTGCGCTCACAAAATGCTCATGCCCAGGAGGGCGATTACGGTGACCTTGGTGCGCATATTCACCCTGATTCTCCACAAGACGAAGACCGGAAGCACGCCGACGACGCAGGCCGAAGAGGCCGAGACAGCCCCGTGTACGAAGCCCGCTATGGCCAGTGTCCGCTGATCGAGGCAGTACCCCATCCCAGGCTCCGTGATCTGGTTCCAGAAGTGCGAGGGCGGCACGCATTGGAAGATGGTGACGACAAGATAGCCGAGGGAGGCGCCCGATACGAGGACCAGCAGCGTATATAGGATGTGCCGATGCAGCTTGTTGTTGACGATCTTGAGGAGGAAGAGGCATACGGACACCCTGATTGCCAGCGACACGGGCGGATAGAGCACCTCGCAACAGTAGGCGCTCTTCAGGTACGTAATGTACCGCGCCGCCGACATCTTGCCCTGAGCTTGGTCAAAGGCACCGGCCGTGGCGCCGCGAATGCTGATGGACAGGGTGGTGGCGAACATGACCTTGGGGAAGACTCAATTCAGCGTCTGCAGAGGCGCGTGGACGCAGACGGGAGTGGGTTCCTTACCGTGGCAAGGACGAGGACCCAGTCGTCAGCAGACATGGCCCTGGCCATGAAGGCCCGGACATAGACTCGCAGGCCGGTGAAGGCGAGAGTGACAACCAGCAAGGATAGATAGATCCAGAAGAGGTCAATACCAGAGATACCGGCCATGGTGGGGACTGGATCAAGATGGGGAAGGTTGGCGTGCCGGATAATGGAGCGATGGGGGAGCAATGGGCGACGGGGGAATGGCAAAAAAGGAGAAGGACAAGGGAGGCATTTGGGGCGGCGGCGGCGTGGCTGCGAATGGGAGTCTGACCGGGGACGAGGCTTTGATTCACTGCGTTGCAAAGTCGACAGATTAAAGGGACAAGCAAACGAAGCAGTTCAGCTATGGGTCGTGAACAGCCATGAGCCCATACGCGTTTCATTGCCCCGTGCAAGCCATGGGCCCGGCTGCCGAGTCCCGTTTCGTTGTGAATAGTCCTCGATCATTTGGACGATGAGTAACTCGGGTTAAAGCGAGGCCAGTATATCTTGGGCCAGCTTGAGCCTTTATTCAAGAGGTTTGTTCTGCCAGTGACGGCCACGAATGAGCTTTTCACGGGTCTTCTTTCATGGTGACTACAACTGGATCCGGGCGAGGGGGGCCAACATTTTGCCATACGCGAGCTGCTGTTACATGCCAATTGCTTGTGGACTCAGAAGGCTTGGCTTGGTCGCCGGGGCCCTCCGTCAAAGTCTCGGGGCACGGGGCCGGTTCCGGACCCGGGGCGACCAAGTGCAGCCCCACCTCCGGGGAAGGGGAACGGAAGGGATGAGCCGTGGTTACATTTTGGCGTCAGCGTCTCCGGCCAGAACGTTGCTACTAGTGTTTCTGCCATGGCCGAGGCGATTACCCTTTTGCTCTATGAAAGAGTCCTAATGTGCAGATGAGTGAGACGGGCTAAGATGGTCCCGGCAGTCGCCGTCTCGGTCCGCGACCAAAGGGGGCCGAGCATGTGTTGTGTCGTAGTCGTTACATCTTTACATCTTTACATACTGTAGTCTTTGGACGGATCCGAGTTGTGGGCAGCGGGCCGCATGTCGTCATCGATGGGCCGATCGACGATGTCACCGGATGAAATGGTCCGCCACGGGCAACGTCACGATATTCATGGCAAGGGGAAAGCTCAACGGGGTTGAAAGGGAAACAGTCACCGACAACTGGCAAGTTGCAACATAAGTACTTCAGGGCATCAGGAAAGGACCAAGGCTCTGCATCTGAAGACAACACAACACACAACTTGCTTCGCCCAGGAGGAAACACAAAATGGCGTCGCAATTCAACAAAGGCACGTATCGAACGGGCAAAGAATTAATCACAGAGAGAAGAACTGACCCGGCGGCTAACTCGGGCAGTAAACAGAGCGCGAGATACCCGTGTCCTCGCAGGAGTTCCCCGGCAAGGAGCACAAGATGCCGGATCCGCAGGCGACGCGCGACCAGCTCCCCGCCGACGGCGAGGGCAACAAGATGACGTACCGGGCAGCGGACAAGCTCAGGGGCAAGAGGGCCATCATCACGGGCGGCGACAGCGGCATCGGCGCGGCCACGGCGGTGCTGTTTGCGCGCGAGGGCGCCGACTCGACCATTGCCTACCTGCCCGACGAGGAGAAGGACGCCCAGGAGACGCGGCGGCAGGTCGAGGAGCTCGGCGCGCAGTGCCACCTCATTGCCGTCGACATGACGAGCAGAGGGAATTGCAAAAAGGTGGTCGACTTTGCCATGGACAAGATGGGGGGCGTTGACATTTTGTTCAACAACTTGGCCTGTGAGTCGGGAGCCAGCACGCAGGAGAGACGGGTACACTGCTGACACGGCGCCATGTTGCAGACCAGATGGTAGTCGAAGACATTGCCGACCTGTCCGAGGACCAATGGGTTCACACCTTCAACACAAACATCCACTCCTTCTTCTACACGTCCAAGTACGCGCTGGCGCACATGAAGCGCGGCGCCACCATCATCAACAACGCCTCCATCAACGCCTACATCGGCCGCCCCGACCTGCTCGACTACACGTCGACAAAGGGTGCCGTCGTCTCCTTTACCCGCGGCCTGAGCAACCAGTATCTGTCCAAGGGCATCCGCGTCAACGCCGTCGCGCCGGGTCCAGGTGCGTTCAAAGACTGTCTCCTCTCCCACCGTCCCTGGCTAACGAGCATCCAGTCTGGACGCCGTTGATCCCGGCCACCATGAGTGAGAAGGCGCAAAAGGAGTTCACAAGCCCAATGGGCAGGCCCGCCCAGCCGTCCGAGATTGCGGCCTGCGTCGTCTTCCTCGCCTCGAGCGATAGTTCGTGCGTCAGTGCGCAGACAATCCACTGCAACGGCGGAGTCGTGGTCAATGGCTGAGGAAGCGAATGCATTGGAGGAGGTTTCGGTTCGAGTCGCTTGTAGCTAACTAATAACTTAAGAGATGGTGAAAAGTACCTAGTCTTACATGACCTACATCCAATAATTGGCGTATCTGGCCTGTATTTGCTTTGTTCGCAGTCGTCATCATTGTCTCCCCGGGGTAAGACTGTCTCCCCCTCCCGCCCCCCTCGATCCCCCCTTCTGCGTCCTCCAGCGATCGCGGCGAGATCTGGCCGACCCCGGAGAAAGAAATACCTCCCAGGGCCGAATGGTCTCTCCGGCATGTCATGAGGCTCTTGAACACGACGTCCCTTCAGCTCGCCTTGTTCCAAGATGATGAGGTGCCGCCCTACGCCATCTTGTCTCATACTTGGGCAGACAACGAGCTGTCCTTCGAGGCCCTGACCCATGCGGCCGCGCCGGCTAATGCCAAGGGCTGGGACAAGGTGCGGTGCAGCTGTGCCGTGGCCGCCTCCCTGCGCTTCGCCTACATCTGGATCGACACGTGCTGCATCGACAAGTCTAGCAGCGCCGAGCTCTCCGAGGCCATCAACTCCATGTTCCGCTGGTACGAGCAGGCCGACCTCTGCATCGCCTTCCTGACCGGCGTCGATTCCGTCCGCCACGCTCAGGCGCCCGGCTCCGCCTTTCGCGCATGCCGTTGGTTCACCAGGGGCTGGACGCTCCACGAGCTCATCGCCCCGGCCCAGGTCCTCTTCTACGGCGACGACTGGACTCAGCTCGGCACCCGCCATTCCCTCAGGGAATTGATCCAGGACATGACGGGTGTGCCAGCGTCCATCCTCGAAACCTCAGACGCCCCCCGCCGCCGTCGAGGCCTGGATGATCTCTCAGTCGCGTACCGGATGAGCTGGGCGGCGGGACGGACGACGACCCGACCCGAGGACGTGGCCTACTGCCTGCTCGGCTTATTCGACATCAACATGCCCCTTTTGTACGGAGAGGGTCGAGCCAAGGCCTTCAAGCGGCTCCAGGACGAGATCATTCGATCCGTCGACGACGAATCGCTCTACGCCTGGCGTCTCCGAGACGGAAACGCGAGCTCGAGTCGATTCTGTGGCCTGCTAGCCGAAAGTCCGGCTGCGTTTGGAAACTACGGGGACATGATGCCAATGCGATCGAGATACCTCTCAAGCCGCTCCGGCCGCACCGTGGCCGTAACCAACCGCGGATTGTGCCTCGACCTTCCCGTGACGGCCTTCCCCGGCGATGCCTCGGGCACTGTCTTCTTGGCCTTTCTCGACTGCGACATGCGCAGGCAAAACGCCACCTCGTTGTCTCTTGTGCCGGCCATCCTGGTTCAGAAGATGGCGTGGGACAATGACTCGGATGTTGTGAGGATCCGTCCCGATGTGCTGGTCCTCTGCATGATGAGCCACGTTGTCCTGCCGGACGAGATAGCGGCCATGACGGGGCCGAACACGGTGCTAGCCGAGCCCATACTCCGCCAGCTCCTCGTTCAGGACGGCTACGCAGAAACTCGGCCTCCCCCCCAGCGGCATCCTCTTCGATCTGCACCTGGCCGACGGCGATGCCGCACGCCGGCCGCTCCATCCCGCCCCCGTCAGGGTCATCTCGCGATCGCCCACTTGGCAGCACTTTGCGGACCACAGCAACGCATCGAGCTCGGGCGACCTGTTCGAAATCAACTTTGACCTTGTCACCGTGCCGAGCGTCCAAGAACTCCAGGCGCCCAAGGTCTTTGGTGTCCTGGAACTCGACCTGGGCCGGCGAGACGCCGGCGCCGAGGCGACCTGCTACTGCCTCGTCGTCGGCCTGGAGCCCCTGGCCCCGAACCCGTTTGACACGCCGGCGCTGTACTTTGCGCCGTGGTGCGCGTTCGAGTCGCGCCGGCGCATTGCGGACTCCCGGTTCGAGCGCGTCCTGGAGCCGAGCGAGAGGCAGACCTTGGTGGCCGTGGCGGCGCATCGGCAGGTTTCGGCGCGCTTTGACCTGGCGATGAGGCACGCGCGGCTCTTTTACCGCCTCATGCTGACGGCGGCGTCGGGGTAGACGGGGTGGGCAGGCAGCATTGCCGGGTCCTGACGACTGCTACTGGAGAGCCAGGGGCCGCCTTCGTATGCTCGTAAATCGAGCTGTAGCGAGTAGGAACATGTGGTTCCAAACCCCCGGTAAGGACCGCAGTCAGTAAAGGCTACGCATATAGCCCTTGGAGGGCAGTTCAAGAGGCCCCGGCGAGTCACGCTCCATATCCGGAACAGCCGCACATCTCGTTCGCTCCTCCACCACCAGGCCCGGCTCGGCTTGATCCACGTCATGCGCCCGGCGCGGTACTCGGCTCAGGGGTCCAGTGTCGAAGCCTGATGTGTCCTGCCAGTGGAACTCTGTCTACTGAAATGGATGTCGAGCTACTCGGCGAATTGACAAGCAAAAGCGTCCATAAGGGGGTACGGCCGGTCGTCGTCGGTTATCACAGCCCCCGATCAATCGACGGGTTTCAAAGTCAGCCCGAGCGGAGGGGGGGATTCCGACGTTGCATAACAGTAGAAGCCAACGTGACAAACGGAAAAGGAAATCCATCGTCTATCGTAGACGGTCGAAATGTTAAATGTAAAGCCCCGCCATATCTCGATTCCGTCCTCGAGCTTGGCTCACTGTGATCGTAAGCCAGGGCATTACCTCCCCCGGCCAATGCCAGAGGCGCAGCCGATCCGCTGTTCTTGGAGATGAACCAAGATTGAATTACATGAGTGCGTGCCGGCGGGCGGAAAACGCAACAAAGCATTCTAGGGCAAAAGAGTCGGTGGCAACGCAAAGTTCCTCCAGGACATGCTAGTTACGAGCGAATAGAGACGCAGATGGCGGTTGGGGCTATCCTCTTTCTGTGCGGAATCAGTGAGAAACACACCTTTTTCATGCACGCCCAATTCCTATGATTGTTGAAAGAGCTGGAAGGAACGGTAACGATCTCGTGGGTAGCTGTCATGGCTTCTGGCACCGTTGACTTGATCACTCAGCACTGGGGGATGTCTCATAGCCAACGAGGAATCCGCTGTCAGGCACCAGACCATCGTGACAAGTTCAGCTCGTCGGTATTGATTTTGCCTAGCAGCAAGCAGCCTTGCGTTTTTGTATAAGAGTTGCATGATTCAGTCCATCCGCTCATTCAGCTCTTATCACAGTCATTAGAAAATTCTCATCAGCAGCTGCCCAGTGCCATCTCTGACCCATTTTAAGCCTTTTGTCTGACAGTATGCATTACCGGAGGCTCATAACTACCTCAGCCGCAAGTAGGAGCAGGGTTATACCTGAAACACAACGGTGCAATAGCAGGCGCATAACCATCTGCGCCACGACGTAACAACAGGAACATGGTCACAGCTAGCAACTGAACGGCATCATCGAATTGGCCGTCTGCGAAACTTTACCCACCTTGTCATGATACCAACGTATACTAGCCGGCAACTTTGGCGACGCGGACCGAATGTACCAATCCTATGTCCAGAAGCTCGTCGACCACAGCATCTTTGTCAACGAGTACCTGGATTATCAGTATAGCGCGTGCTATGGGTTCTATTTTGCAACATGACTGACAGAGAGGGTATTCGGGACGCCCAATCCCGAACCTCGGCGATTGCCCGGGACCCATTTAATTTCTCCGGCCCGGCGTCTCCGCCCACCCCGGATCCTCCGGCCGGTCCACCAAGGCCCGCTCCACTGCTCCCGCATCCGCGATCCGGCTCCCCCCGCCCGTGATACTCGGAGTGGCAAGGGTACGAGTCAGGTTCATCAGGGTCGAGGGGCTCATTTGGCATTGGAGGAGATCGAGGTCGTGCGTGTGCTGGTGACAGGGAACGGGCAAAACAGCAGATCAAACACAAGCACACTGAGTCTTCACCTGTACAAACAGCCTTGGCCCCAGGGTTGTGTAGTGGGTGAAACGTATGGTAAAACATGGTCATGTCCAAGATGACGATTTCAGAGGACATGCAGTGGATTCTCATGGAATACTGAGCACTGGAACTCATTTCTGTCGGTTCAACTCGTGTGCAGGGTAGGGCGAGTGCTGTGTGCTGTACTCAGTTCAAGGCCATCCAATCATTTAGGCAACGGATTACATACGCAACCCCCTTCCGCTCTCACCTCAACCTCAACTCTCTCCCCCCCCCGGCCCCCCCCTTTCTCCCAAACCCACCCAAATGTTCGCCGCCCAGCGCCTCTTCAATAACCAACGGCGCTCCCAGAAAAGTGGAATGACAGCCGAGGCCTTCTAGGCATCAACCACCTACCGTCAAATCGAGTCGCGCCCTCCCCTTGCCCCCCCCTCCGCTCGCCCCTTTCCGTTGGTGCGGCCGCCGCCCGCAGGCCCAAGGTGCTGTGTATGTCTCCGCCGGAGCAGTCGACGGCCCCCGAGCGCTCCAACTCGCCTGCCGACCATGAGCAGGCACCCAAGACGACTCTTGCCTCGGAGGGCAAGCTGACTGCTGCCACTGCCGCCGACCCCCCGACTGGCGACGCCTCTACCCGCCTCGATTCCGAGTCTTCACATGGCAGGTCCCTGGCGACGACAGCGCCAACAACCGACGGCCGTCACGATAATGGCCGCGGTCCCGAAGCTGCTGGCCCTATTCACGCAGAGGCACAGTCGCCCCCCCAACACCCCACGCCGCTGCTGATAAAGGGCAAGCACGCCGCCGTGCCGCCATCGCTGGGCTCCGACCCAGACCCGTCTTCCCCCTCCGAGGCCACAGCCAGGGCGCCGCCTCCACTGTCCGGCACGGCCGCGCAGTATCTCACGGCCGAACCCTCCAACTACGTCGATCCCACTCCCGCCACCCCCATCACATCGCAGCCGCCGTCTCGAACCCCATCCAACGCCAGGTCCCATCGCTCCGACGCCCACTCCCCTGTCAGGTCAGACGACGACGACAAGAAATATGCAAGCGGCGACGACCAAGACAGCGGCTCCCGCTCCGAGATTCAGAGCATCATGGAGCAGTTCAGTGAAGCCGGTGGCGGCCCGGGAGAGGACGAGGTCATGAGCCCCAGGCTCGAAATTGCCTCCCCCAGGCTCGGCGGCTCCATGCAGCTCCCGCTCCGCAAGTCGAGCTTGGAGCCCGCAACCCCGTCTATCCCTGCCCAGCTGCACGACTTTAGTGCCTTGCGCCTGTCGACGTCGTCTCCCGCCAGCGTCCGATCCAAGGATCGCTTAGTAGACGACCAGGGACCGCCCGTGCCCCCCAAAGATGGCCCTTTCGGAGGCCCCTCCCGCCCGAGGAGCGATCTCGCACCGTCCTCCGTCACATCGCCAACGTCGCCTGTAATGCCCGTGCACCGTCCGCCGCCCCCGGAGCCGGAGCCGGAGCCGGAGCTGCCGTTTGATTTCCACCGATTTCTCGAACAGCTGCGGAACAAGAAGGCCGACCCCGTGGCGAGATATCTCAAGTCTTTCCTCTCCGAGTTTGGCAAGAAGCAGTGGATGGTACATGAGCAGGTCAAGATCATCAGCGACTTCCTCGCCTTCATCGCCAACAAAATGGCCCAATGCGAGGTCTGGAGGGACGTGTCGGATGCTGAGTTTGACAATGCCCGTGAGGGCATGGAGAAGCTAGTCATGAACAGGCTCTACACACAGACCTTTTCGCCCGCCATTTCGCCCCCAAAACCCATCCCCGGGGCCAAACCAAAGAGGAGAGGAGGGGACGTTCCCATGGGGCCGGGCCGACGCGGCCAGCACCAGGAGGATGTCGAGCGGGATGACATCTTGGCGCAGAAAATCAACATTTACGGGTGGGTCAAGGAGGAGCATCTCGACATTCCACCCTTTGGCGACAGCGGACGCCGCTTCTTGAAGCTGGCACAGCAAGGTTGGTCTCACACCCTTTCCCCGGCGCGAAGAGAGAGGTGACTCGGTGCCGAGAGAGTCGTGCCAGAGAAGAGAGGACCTTGCCTAACCCCTATTAACAGAACTCGTCAAGATCAAGTCGTATAGGGCACCGCGGGACAAGATTATATGCGTGCTCAACTGCTCCAAGGTAATCTTCGGTAGGCTTTCACGTTCCCTGGCCCTCGTCCGCCCAGTCTGGTGCTCACAGCCGCAGGCCTCTTGAAACACAACAAGTCGGACTCTTCCGCAGACTCATTCATGCCCCTGCTCATCTATGTCGTCTTGCAATCGAACCCCGCGCATCTGGTGTCCAACGTCCAGTACATTCTACGCTTCCGCAACCAGGACAAGCTCGGCGGCGAAGCGGGCTATTACCTGTCATCACTTGTAGGTGGTGGACCTGTCTGCTTTGGGATATTGCGCTAACGGAGACTCCAGATGGGAGCCGTTCAGTTCGTCGAGAACATGGACCGCTCGTCGCTGACCATTTCCGACGACGAGTTTGAGAGAAATGTCGAGGCGGCCGTCTCGGCCATTGCCGAGAAACACTGTCTCACGTCTCCCGTCATCACGCAGCAAGCCACATTCGGCGAGAAGCACGCACCGCGTGCCGGCGAGGCGGGTAGTTCCCGGCCGTCAATGGATGGCGGCGACTTGTCGACCCCTCCGCTCTCACCCTCGTCCAACGAAGGGGAGCCTCGAGACGATGGCCCGGCCATAACAGGGCTCTTGAGGACCATCCAGAAGCCCCTCTCGACGATTGGACGCATCTTCTCCGACGAGCCCGGATCCTCGTTGTCGACGCCCGCAGGAAGCTCGAGGCTGTCGGCTTCTCCATCGGAGCAACTATCCCGACGTTACCAGCGGGACGAGGCTGCCGACAGCTCGTCGCGGCCGTCGTCGAGGCACAGCCTGTCGGTGGAGGAGGCGGCCGCGCGACAGGCCAGTGCCGAGGTGGCCGAGGCGCAACGGCTGCAGCGCGCCGAGCACGCAAACATTGTCGAGACGCTGGCCGGCATGTTTCCGGACCTGGACCGCGAGGTCATCAGCGACGTGGTGTACCAGAAGGAAGGAAGGTGAGTCGCGATGCCCACACCCTCTCCTCCCTGAAATCCATCCATCCTCTCCCCTGACGACTCTATGTGTGCTGACTTGTTTTGCGTGCGGACAGGGTCGGACTGGCCGTCGACGCGTGTCTCGCCTTGTCCACCTAGACCGCTCTGCCGGCCGTGGTGATTTCGCCGAGGGCGGGGAGGGCCTTGAGGGGGCGGCAAAGGAGCGCCGAGCAGCCCCAGGACTCTTGGGTTTCTAGATTTTTCCAGCCATGCCATCTCGTCATCCGTCGCAAAGAAGCCGGCCTCTGTTTCCTTCTTGTTCACCTTGGGGTTCGTTCAGCGGGGTGGCGGCTGCCCACGCCCTTAATTGCTCGGTCAAGAAAGCCCATCATAGCCCCTAGTGAAGGATGGATCCAATCGACGCCAACGCCGTCGCGACCACATACATGTTCCGCCCGTGTGCTTCAACCGGCGAAAAAAAATCCCCGTGTGATACTGCCCCCCCCGCCGCGTCTTTCTTCTCCCAATCTGTGCCTGGAGTGGGTTCATCAGACAGGGTGGTGAGAAAGAAATCAAGCGAGTAATGGATCAAGGAGGAGGATTCGGCGCCTCCGCGCGGCTCGTCCCCTCGTCTCGCCAGCCGGACATTCGCCGCCGCAAGGGACTACGGGTGCAAGAATCAGGTCTTCAGCCTCCCGAGGAGCCGGGCAAGCATGGCTCAGCCCGAGTACAGGGTCCAGTGTCTGTATTGTACTTTGTTCACGCTCAATCTTGACAGCGTATCGAATAAATGTCCATGATGGTCGCCCATCTCCCACGCCCTAGTATGTAATGAGTGAGACCTAGTATCGCCATGCTCCATCTGATCAAATCAGTGCACACGCGTTTCGCCCCATTATATCGACAAGAGATTAACAAGATGTTCCGGCCGCTATCCAAGGCAGCAATGGCTTGCTTGGTTCAAGGGCAAAGATAATGAAAATGAAAATGACGGGCAATGAACGAAACCGGGGTATGATGCAATGACCGTTGTTCCTCCGAATTCAATCCAACCGCAGGCTCCCTCCTTGCGCTACCTCCGCGCTCCGTGTCCGTACGCCCCCTGCCCGTAGGCTCCTTGCGTGTCCTGGCCATAAGCCCCTTGTCCGTACCCAAACCCGGAGCCCACGGGCCCCCTGTACTCACGCTCCATGCCCATGGGCGCCGGGTCATCGACCAGTCTCCGCGACGCATCCGTCGTGGGTGTATGGGCCGGGTAGAGAGATGCGAATTCCTGCCCGACGGGATAGTACCGCTCCGGCGAACCGGAGCGGACCATCGGCTTTTCCCTGCTGTAGTCGGTCGAGAAGGAATGCACAGACATGTTTCCGCCCATGCTTGGATGGGCCTGATGATCAAGCAGCAGCGTGTTCCGTGCGTCGAGAGGCGTGAGATTGTCCATGTCGCGCTGCTTCTTCTCTGTAGGGTGGCATGAGTGGCTGACGTTCTCTCTCGACGGAAAAAGGGGGTTGGGGATCGAGCAAACTTACCCATCTCCTTTCTGCGCTTTCGGTGCGGGTTCGCCTTGCAGCAGGCATTAAAGGCATTCCACGCAATGAGGATGGCGAGGATGCCGGTCAGGGCGGACTGGACGGCAATCAAGACGACGCCGGCAACGGTCTGGGTCGTCTGCCTGATGCCAAACTCCTCGACAAAGACGAGGATGCAGGCCACGGACAAGACGCGCACAACGGCAATGGCGATGTTGACGACATTGCCCGACTTGCGCTCGTAGGGTCGGCTCCAGAGCAGCAGGATGAGCATGACGGCCTCGATGATGAGCTGGGAAACCGACTGGATCAAGCCGCTGCCGTCGGTGGCGGCCAGGACGGCGCCCTTGACGAACATGTAGACAATGGCCGGGACAAAGAGCCACCAGTAGTTCTTCTTGTATGATTCGTAGAAGAGTGAGTACTTGACCCAAATCTTCTTGTCGTAGTAGAGGCCATCGGCGTCTCCGCCCGCTTTCTTGAGCTGCCGGGCCGTGCTCCAGATTTTCCAGGTGAAGAAGGCGAGGATGCCGGTGAAGATGACGAGTGTGACGGCGGCAAGGGCCTTGGCGGCGAGAGTGTCACCGTGGGTGAACTGGAAGATGCAGTAGAGCACCCAGATGCCGTAGAGGATAAGGATGAGCGAGGTGATTGTGCGGGCGATGGACCCCCAATAGTGCTTGCGGAAGCCTGCGAGCGACTTGGGGAAGCTGCCAAACAGGGCCCAGGCCTCGAGAATGACCTTGACAAGCAGGATGCCGACGACGATGGCGGCGATGATGATGGCAACGATGAGCAGGACCGTCATGAAGACGTCCGACCTGGGAACAGCCAGCTTCTCGGCGTATGCCTGGATGCCCTTGACGGCGTGCTGAAAGCCGGCCGAGGTCTGGTTGGAGCTGTCGGCGGCCTCGCGGGTGGCCAGGACGGCAAAGTCGTCGAGGGCTCGCTTGAACTTGAGCAGGCCCTTGGTCGGGCTGGCGGTGGAGCCGTCGGGAAAGACGAGGGTGGCATTCTTGAGAAACTCGACGCTGTCCTCGGTGAGGTTGCCGCCCGTCTTGGCGCGGAAGCCGTCGATGGAGGTCTGAAGGCCAACCCAAGGAATGAGGCAAGTAGAGAAGGCAAAGTTTTTGGAGAAGCTGCGGTAGACCGGGGGGTAGTTGACCGAGAGCATGCCGTTCATGGCCATGCCCTGGAACCAGCCAAACGTTTCCGTGAAGCTGGGGCTGACAGTGCCGAGGCATCCACCCGAGCCGGACAAGACGGCGCTGAGGGAAGAGACACCCGAGGCAATGAGGGCGACACCAGCAATGCCCGCGGCGATGTACTGGACGGCGGGGACGTTGGCCGACTTGCCGTTGGAGACCTGGGAGCGGATGCAGGCCACGTTCTTTCCGCCATCGACGCTGTTGAGCTGCAGGGTGGCCTGGGCGGCAATGTCGGGGACCTGGAAAGCGATGGCGGGTATCATGTCGGCGAAGTTGCCGGGGATCTGCTGGGCGCCCTGAGCAGCGAAATCGCCCGAGGGCACGGGACACAGGCGGCCGACAAAGGTGGCCTTGTCACAGGGGTTGAAGCTGTTTGAGAAGACGGCGTTGCCGTAGGCGGTGACGTTAAGGACGGCCGTCACGTTCTGCTCCTTGAGGCTGGTGCCGGCCACGTCGAAGGTGATTGATTTCTGATCTTTGTCAAAGGTGATGTCGACCTTGTCCACCTTGATGCTGTCGTCGGTTCCGCAGTTGCTGAAGCCGTCCGTCTTGAGAATGTCGGCGGCGCATGCGGTCGAAGCGACGAGGGCCAAGATCAGCAAGGCCCTGGGTAAGGTCCATGCCGAGGAGCGGGAGCGAGCCATGCTCGCTACCATGGGGGTCGGGGACAGCGAGGAGTCGAGCGTTGTCGGCGGGCGTGTGGGAGAATGTGGCGATGGATGAGGGCGTCGTGGCGAGCAAACAGAGACGTCCGAGTGCTGGTCGTCCGTTGAGCGATGGAGTCAGTCGGGGGAGGCGGCTGTTTCGGCCAAGCTTGGCGGGAATACTCGGAGGGTGGCGAGTCACGAGAGTCGTCGGGGCATTGGCGAGCGAAGGAGAACCGACGACGAGAGGGGGGGGAAGGAGCAAGACGAAGAAGCCCACAGGGCAAAGGTGAAAGGCGGCCAAGGGTCAACCTGGGGAACGAACGGGGAGGGCACAAAAGAGAGATGAGAGGAGGATGGCACGGGCGCGAGAGAGCGTGTAAGTCAGAGTGCGAGAGAGTGACGGAAACAAAACGCGGCGCCGCGTATAATCTGAAGCAGGAAAAGAGGGACGTGGATAGAGGGAAGAGATAAAAGAGGGTGAGAGAGGGAGCGAGAGGGAGCGGAGAGGTGGAAGAGGGCATGGTGTGTGGGTTGAGGCTCAGGGGTCGACGGTGCACGTATATACATGAAACAGGCAGGCCGTCGACGGGTAACAAAGCAGCAGCGCCACCGACGGGCAAAGGTTTACATGTCCATGGAGTCTCAAGGTCCAAGGAGAGGCGAAGAAAGCAAGTGAATCAAGGTGAAGCAGAAAAAGAGGGATTGATGGAGGAGGAGGAGCAGGAGCGGTGGGGGAGAAGCGACGAGAGGAGGAGGAGCAGAGAGGGAAGCTACCTCCCTCGACCAGCAGTAATTAGCGACTCCTCGACCAGCGACCCCCGAGGCAGAGTACAGAGAGCGAGCGAGCAGCAACACACTGACCACGCCAAGGACAAGGTACAGTACAGTGGGAGGGGTACCCGGCGATACACGGGCCTGGAGGCCTCGCGTAGCCTCTCGCCGCAGTTCAGTACTAAAATACCGTACCTCCCGCCCAAGTACCTACTTATCCTCTCGCCGTACCCGTCCGTAAATAACTACTTCTCTCTCTCTCGGCTGCCAACAGACAAAAGGCCTCCCTGGCCGGGCTCCCTGATGAGTGAGTGGCTGAATGTAGAATGGCTGAATGTACTGTACAGTACGTATGAACTCGTCTGTGCTTTGGCTAACTTACATCGATTCCCTTGCACTGCAACATGCATTCCACGCACGCCTGATTGGCTCGAGCCTGACGCGAGCCTGACGCTGAAACATCGAGGAGACACGAAGCCGACGACGAGGCCAGAGCCGTGCGTGCGTGCACTCTGCCGCTTGTCTGCCGCTTGTCTGCCGCTTGTCTGCCTCGCAAAGCCCCATCCATCCAATGCCCTCATCGTCCTTTTTTCCCTTTTTTTTCCCCTCTCTCACTCTCATTCCTTTTGCCCGCTGAGCCGCAAGGCCTCTGAAAGCATGCACTATTACTCACTGTACGTACAGTGTTCGTACCAGGTGCCTACTTACTTACCTACCTGGAGGCCTATTATCTATGCCTACCTACCTATCTATGCCTTCGTATAATGTATTGCAGTGAAGCGCGAGTAATTTGCAGTCCTCGTACTCACTACTCACTACTCACTACTCACTCACTCACTCACCGTCATACGCATAGCCACCCATCCACACCACACCTCTGACTCTCGCCCCGACTTTCAATGCCGGCATAGCCTCTCTGCAGGATACCGCACATGCTGCACGGAGTAGGGCATGGCGAGATCTGCAGTCACCTTCATGCTGCCGGGCCTTGAACTCGCTTCTGCTTCTCCCGCCCTTCCGTCGGCCCCTGTTTTGCCTGCAATCTGCCCCCCACCAAATGCGTAAAGCGCCGGCCGCTGAGCCCCTGGGCCTCCCGCCGAATCCTTGCCGCCTCATTTCGGCCTTCTAAAAATACCAAACGTCCAAGTTATAAAACAATAAAGACGCCCATCCATGGGGCCAACCGCAACTACGGATACCGAGTACAGCAAGACGAAAAGAAAGCACAAAGGTGAGACGCCGGTCCTGTTACACCGGCCGTCGCCTCTCACCGCAAAGCGACCGCAAAGCGACCGCAAAGCAGCACGACCCGAGTCATCTTCGGCATGACTACCGCATAGTATACACACTCTACTCCCTACTCCCTACCCCCCTAACCCCCTACTCCCCTACTCCCTCCAACACCATGCCGACCCCAGTAGCCTGCCCATTTTGCCTTTTTTCCCCAAGCCGTTTCCCATGATTCAGACACGTGGACGTGTTTTGCAAATTCGTCAAACCAAACAAAGAAGGAATCCCCCTCAACCTTGTCCCAACCACGGGCAGCATGCGACGTCGGCCGTCTCAGACAGCCGTCAGAGGAAGCCCGTCAGGCCCGCTTCGTCCCACGACGACTCCTGCTTGCCGCTGCTTCCGCCATTCTGGTGCGGCGGCTGCGGGTACGTCCCGCTGAACCGACTTCCGCCGATGCTGCATGGATCCATCATCGCATCGTAGCGCACCTGCCCCCCTATCCGGGCCTCTCCGACGTTGTGCAGCCCTAGGGCGTTTAGCTGCGGAAACGGCTCTAATCCATTGCCGTTGGAGTACGCACGCGGCGCACCGCCAAAGCCATCCGCCGTACTCGCCAGACCTTGCATCTGGTGATCACCCTCATAGCCCTGGCTCATTCCACCGACACCCAGGGCAGCCTGCGGCAGGCCTTGCCCGTTGCCGTGAAACTGCGACGCGTAGTATGCCGCCTGCTCTTGGCTCTGGCCCGGCGCCATGACTGGATACACAAAGGGGGTCCGGGCCGCGTAGCCCATGTGCTCATGGCCCTCGCCCTGGTATTGGTCCTGCTGCCCCGACATGCCCGGGTATCCCGTGGCCGGAGTCGTCTGGCTGCAAGGAGAAATCGTGCATCGCGGCGGAGGGTCTTGCACGGGACTGACAATGGTGTCGGCGTCCAGCTCCTTGGCCCTGGCCGCCACGAGGCGAAGCACTGGCAGCGAAATCTGCTCCATGTGCTTGGCCAGGTGCACCGTCAGCTTCTTCCACGTCGGGAACACCTTGCCGCAGAACCGACACGGCTCCTCCTGCGGCCGCGTCGATGTCTCGATGTGGCACTGCTCCACCTTGTGCCAGGTCGGATCCGTCCCTCCCGCCCGCTTCATGGCCGCCTTTGTCTTGACCTTTGGTTCCAGGAACTTGTGCTCGCGCACCAGGTGCTGCAGAAAGTTGTCCCGTCGGTAGCACGTGTGCCGGCAGTCGTCGACATCGCAAGTCCACCATTCCAGGTGTCGGTGGCCTTCGTTTTCGTGACGCACCCAGTCGGCCTTGCGCTTGAAGAACTTGGGGTCCCGGCACTTGTCCCAGGTGCAGGTAAAGGGCTGCACGTCCTCGTGCACGTGCTTGGTCCAGTCTGACGGCTTCTGGAACCTCTTGCGCTGGAAGCAGAGCTGGCACTCAAATTCGGCCGGTAGGCGCTGCGTCGGGGGCATGGGAATGTCTTGAGGGAAGCTCTCCTGGGTGATGACACCCTCGTTCGATGCGGCGTCGTCGCCGTCGTTCAACTGCGTCGGGAAGGGTTCCATCCCCCAGGCGTCACCTCTCTGGTCGAGGGCGTTGGCGGAATCCCCCAGTGCCGCGCACGGCGTGCCGCATGGGCAGGCTGCGCCGAGGCCGAGGTGCTTGACCTTTGCGCTCAGCAGGAGTTTAAACCTGACGACTTGCTGCTGAGCAATGCGGTCGACCAAGTAGCCGTGGGTTTTGTCCAGGCCCGGGTTCAGGGTCAGGACATGCTGCTGGAAGCCCGCAAAGTTGGTCGGGATGTCGTCGATGATGTTGGGGTTCGCCTTGACGTCGTTTTCGTCGTAGAGCTCCTCGTCGTCGTCGTCATCGTCGTCGTCGGCGTGGGCGTCGCTCGACTTGCCGAGAGTCGCCACCGGCGGGCCGCCGGATCTCTTCCACATCCCGACGAGATTCGGGTGGCTCTCGGTGGGGTTGGCCGGGGTGACGGACGTCTTTGGTATCTCCGACTTGCTGCGCGGACGCCTCAGCGTGTTTCTGACACTGAGGCTGCTGGTGAGGCTGTTCTTGGGGGAGGCTGCCGGCGTCGTGCCGCTGATGGACCCGCTCCGCGAACGGGACGACCCCATGGAGACAAAGTTATGGGCCATGGAGGCCAGCGCCGTGTTGATGCTCGGCGTAGACTTCTTTGCCCAGCTTGGCGTTCCCGATGTGGGCGAGAGATGGGGCGTGCTCTCGCGTTTGACCTGCTGCTCTCCACCCGGCTGCGCGGCGGCCTCGTCATCTCTGCCGCTGCGGGAGCGACTGCGAGAGCGCTTGCGCAGGGAGCTGACGCTTGGCCGTCTAACAAGGCCACGAAGGTCTCTCAGCAAGCTGCCTGACTTGCTGCTCTTGTCGCCGCTGCCTCGACTCATGGACAGCTTCTTCAAGAAGCCTCCGCTCGTGCTTGTTTCGACAGCCAAGTCGAGAACGCTGGGATGGCTCCGCCGCCGAGTGCCCCACGTCGCCGATCTCGAGATTATCGAGTCATTGTCGCGACACATTCTCTCAAACTTGTCAATGGCAGCCTGGGATGATTGCGGCTGGCAGGGATCGGAGACGCCCCGGGTGATGTGAGGGAGCACCGGGGCATCTGCCCACTTGTGGTCTGCCGCAATGATGTCGCGATCGACCTGGCTCATCTGGCCGGAGCCCTGTTCATTGTAATAAGTCTGTCCGGCAAGGTATTTGTTCTCAGTTTGGTCGCCGAGCGGGATGCCGTCATCGTGGTCAGAGGTCGACTGCTCAAGGGCCTGAAAGTCGGTCGCGTGATAGGCCAATGCGGCATCGAGACGCTCGGCGAGCCACTTGTCGACCTCTTGGTTACGTTCCCGGGCACTTCTTTGGGCCATGACCTCTTTGATGCTCGGGGTCTCACCTGCAGGGCGGCGTTCAGGATCAAGGCCCCGGCGCTGCGTGGCCGGGTCGGCCTGCCACCGACCTCGCGAGACTCGGGTCCCGGGGATGAAGTCGGGGCCGTGGGCCGAGGAGATGAGATCGCCTGCGGAGCGGATGTCGCCTCGCGTCGCATTTGAGTTGTCGTCAAAGCTTCGTTCTACGGGGGGGGCTCGTGACCCGTAGTCCTTGTCCCACACGGACACAGTGACCCTTGGGCTCGGAGGGTCCATGACAACGGGGGCCGGAGCTAGGCCGTCCTCGCTCGTACGGTTGCTGCTGGTGTGGCTAGGCGTGAGGTTGGACGCCTCAATGGTGATGCGGGTGGGCTCAAAGGACTTTTGGAGCTGCTCTGGAGAGACCCAAAGCATGGGAGGGTCTGGGGTTGGCATGGGGCCCGGGTCCCTGGCTTCACTCCGCGGCGTGGTAGTGTGGACAGAGGCCGTGTGCGTCGGGGTTAGAGGATACGAAGTGCCGTCGCCAATTTCATGTCGGCGATGAGGGGCGCTGGTCAATAGGGCTGGTTGGTCCAAGGCAGACTGGTCGTCGAGGAAGGACGGGGTGTCGGCTTGCAAGTTGGCGAAGTCTGCCCCAAAGAAGGGGTCGCCGTCAAAGTCGCCGAGGTCGCTGGGCTGGTAGTGACTCAGGTTGGTGGAGGAGCCGGCAGGCGTGTCGGATAGGTCGCCGGAAGGGGAGGCGAACTGGCTACAGACGAGGTTGCTGTCGTCGGGCGAGAGCGAGAGGCGCTGATGGGCGAAGGCAGGCGGGGAAAGACGGCGGGGCTCGGAGTCCCGGCCGTTGAGAGAGCCAGGGGCCACGGCAAAGGTCGAAGCCATGATGCGGGTAGCGGGGGGCCGAGGGCAGAGGATGAGTATATAGCAGAGACGGGTGCGGCGGTGCCAAGGGTGAGGTCATGGAGAGGGGGGGGGTCTAGAGCGGCATGTTCCTGAGGCGCGCGCAGCAGTGGCTTTGTCGCGATAGGGAGCAGTGGCGCGGCAGTCTGTTGAGAGGAGGCTTAGAGGGCGGTTGCGAGACGACGAATCGCCGGCAGATGGGGTGGGTGGTTGGTGGATGTCGAGGGGGAGCAGGAGGAGGAGGAGCAGGAGGAGGAGGAAAGGCTCGCACACGGGAGCGCACATGGGGCCAAGAGCTAAGGTCGGGGAGGGCGCTTATGGCCCTGCCGAAGTGTTTGAATACCTCGGTGGGTAGTCCTGATGCAAGTATCGGAGTGTGTGTGCTATACCTCGTGTGAGTTTGGTACGTGGTGGAGGTGGAAGGTAGACGGATACCTTGGTCCCGGCACCGGCGAGATAACACAGTACATTGGTCCTTGGTCCATGGCACACTGTAACACACTGTAAGCAGACGCTGCCGGTGGGGAGGCTTCCCCCTCTTCCCCGTCGCCCTACCCAGTGCGTCGTACGTCGTCTACTTTGCAAACGTGGGGACTCGCTCAAGCTGCCGCCGTCTCAGCGGAGAAGCGGCCCGCGAAGGAGAAGAAAAAGGTGGACAGCCAGCCCTCTTTTTCTCCATTGGATGCCTCCTCGGACCGGATGAGACAAGGGCAACGGCTGACAGGACGAGTCATGCACGGGCACTAGGCACGGCTTTGTTTTCTGGCGCCTTTTTATTAACCCCCTTGGGCTCAGTGCACAATGCGCGTATACACTTCTACATATCCCTACCGAGTACGTAGTTAACTATTACTACTCACTCACTGAGGCGGCAAATATTTAATTAAGCTTCGAATTCGATACGAGGCAGTGTAAAGAATAAGGTACCTACCTACCTACCTACCTATCCATACCTACTGTTACAATCTCGCGTGGCACATTCGCCTTCATCTCATCCCTTTGGGTGCGCAAAGACCCCATCGCCAAGGAACCAAAACCGCCTAGACTGCTCTGCTCGTTCTCCGAGAAAAACGCCTCGCAGGCCCGCCATATACGTCAGGCCATCTTACACCGATGAATGTCTGTGATAAGCAGCGCCCAAAGAGGCAAAGCCCGAGGCGTTTTTTTGCTCGGGGGGCTTATTCCCCACCACGAGTCCGGCGCGCGCCACACGGAGCGCCACTCCAGGCCCCCCCCGGCGGCGAGGGGGAGGGTGATCAGATTTAGGCTGTTTTTTTTTCTGGACCGATGCATCGTTTCGGAGCCAACTTTCGATCTTATTTTTTCTCACTCCCTCTCTTCACCGTACTCCGTAATCAGCCAATGCATCCTTTCCGAAGCCTGCATCTGCCTACAGCCCTACGCACAGGAGGCCTTGCGTGCCCGCCTCTCATCATTCACCTATTTCGGCTAAGGGAGGTAATTATTCAGCTTACAAGAAATGCCTGCTTCAAGAGCAAAAGGGCCGGTCACGTGATGCCACCCCGTAAGCCCCCATCTCCTCGCGTCGTCGACGGCCCCAACAACCAGGCTCCACCACAGTGACCACACCGGTGAACGCATCTTGAGCTTTTCCTCACTCGACTTCTTGTCCCTCTCTCCATGACCCTCGGCTTCTCTCCATCTCACGGTCCACCGCCTCTGGAGGGGACATTGCACGCAAACACACCATGTTCAGGGTTTGAGTCTCCCTCACCACCATCACCATCACCATCACCATCACCATCATCATCATCACCATCACCATCGTCATCAACACCTTTTGCCTATAACTGCCATGTATACTGACCTCCACACCCTCCCACCCCCCCCCCCCCCCCGCACAGCGACATCCCGAAGAGCATCTACACCTGCGGCTCCACCGCGCCCGCTCCGTCGTCCTCACCACCGACGAGATCGTCGAAATCCGCGCCGCCCAGCGCACCTACGAGGGGGCCTACATGCGCACCGCCCTCGGCCAGTTCTCCTTTGCCCTCGTCATCCTCAAAATCTTCACCCGCGAGTTCTACCCCATCGGCGCCCTCCTCGCCGCCTACGCCGCCGCCATCCTCCTCGTCGCCATCCATCGCCGCCACCAGGGCCATCGCCAGTTCTTCACCGCAGAGTCCCCCGACGGCCACGTCCGCCGCAAGTTCAAGACCAGCGGCGACACCGTCGTCCTCATGACCGCCCTGAGCCTCGCCTTCTACGCCACCCTGCTGGTCCTGACATGGCGCCTCGTTGCCTAGTCATTTTCACTTCCTCTAGTCCCCTCTTCGCCTACTGTCCAAGACAAGATGGCCACGAATCGAGTTGAATTGCCCCTCCTGTCCATGCTGCAACCGCTCGCCATGGTCTGCTGGGCATCAAGGTGCAAACGTACACCAAAATGTGCCAGCTCTAATGTTACATGGCCTGTCACGTCCCTGAAAATGCCATGCAACACAATCGATTGCCTCCCTACCCGTGGTGGATCCCTTTTTGGCTCCCGCTAAAACGGTATGCTCCCGCTAAATTATGATCATGTACTGCATGCAATCCCAAAACAATTACGAAATGATCGCAATGGATGCTTTTTCAACGAGTCCCGGGTCTTCCAGACTCTCACCCCTTCGCCCGTCCCTCGTCAATGTTGGGTACAGGTCTGAAAACACACGACGTTGCCGTCCATCAAGGAAGTAGCCGATTTAACTACGCGACGCACATGATGGGAGAAACATGTCTCGCCCTGGGGCTTGCACTTGTCAGAGTTGTTGCTTGCCGCCGCCGTCGCCTCATGTACGCTCTCTTCCGTGGCATCAAGTCGAGACGCTTCCGCAGCATGCTGGGCCCGGGAGGGCTCGAGTGGCGAGACATCCACCTTGCCATCACCGCCACTCGGTCCAGATCGGACGGGCTCCGGGGGAAATAGCCATGTCAAGGCCGTGGGTATACTGCGCTCGATGCTCGGAACAGCACCCGCGAATCCGTCCCATGCTCAAAGTACTTCTCAGGTCGATTCCTGCTCCCCGTGTCCGCAGCATTGGCGATTGGCGACAAGAGCAAGCCATCTTCCAATGCCAGTCCCTGCGGGTAGGTGGACAGAACTCAGACTCCAATGGCTTCCGGTTCCATGCCATTTCAGCGCTCATCATCGTCGGGCGATGCCGTGTAATTCAAACAAGACGAGAATTCGACGCTTGCGCACCCCTGACGGTCCTCACGAAGCGACACACAAGCCATACAAGAGCTTGTTCGCCCGACACCGTCCATCGTGAACCAAGGCCGCGGCCGAACCTCGTTGGTAGCATACCGCATCGAACCATCCCGGCAACGGGTTACCAGCCACTTCCGCATTCGCTATTGGCAATTTACCAACAGGACGAGTCTCCCCCTCGGGGGTGTTAGGCTGAGTAGTAAGCGTCCGACGAAGCTGGGGCGGTTGTGGACTGTGGACGTTGCTCCTCAAGCCACATCTGTTGTCCTCCCCCAGCCTTGTCGTACTGCCAGCCATCGAACATGGCCGTCGGCTTTGGGTATGGGTTCGGACCCTGCGACAGAAGCGGCTGTTGCCAAGGCTCGGCGTTCGACGGCAATGTTGCCGCCACCATCGACCCGGAGTTTTCGATTCCAGCCACCGAGCCCGGCGTCATGCTCGCGACCGGCGCTCCGAACGGCTGCGTGTACATGTCGGAGAGCGCTGAATGGCGGCGGTCGAAAGGCTGGCCCTGACCCACCGCGAGGTACTGCAGCTGCTGATGGCTCCCGCTGCTCTCTCCACTCAGCGACATGGAACGAGCGGGCGGTGGGAAGTCAGACCATGCCATCTCGTCGTGAGATCCGGCCTCTGAGTTTCCAGAGGCCCACGTGGCCGACGCGGCCGACGATTGTGGGTATGGGGAGAACTGCGTGCCTATTGGCGACTCGGCCGCGTACGAAGGCCACGACATGTTGAGGTTTTCAGGCTTTGATATCGAACTTGAATTCACATCCGCCATCCAAGAGGTCGATGGCTGGTTGGCATAACTGTACTGGCCGGCAGCCATCCCGTTTGATGGTACTGGCTCATGTTAGCTGATAGCCTCATTCCTCGCCTCTGCTGCGGTAGAGCCCGAACCTTTAACCTCGGGCGGGTAGAGCTCCTCGCCACCAGCCGTCTGAGCTTTACTGCCTTGAGGGATCCCGGACACCGAGCCATGTCCGTGGTGAGATGTCATCTCCCCAGGGCTCCCGGTGGCGACGGCCGGCGAGGAGTTGGTGGATGCAACGCTTGATGACCCTGCGGGTTGCCGGGTCGGGGCTCTCGAGCGAGACTCGCCTCCCGGCTGTTGATCCACGGGGTAAAAACTACACTCCTTTTTCAACCGTATGCAGTTGACACACCGATTCTGGACTTCGGGTGATGCAATGCATCGGATCTTCCTCCGGCGGCAGTGACCTTTGTTCCGCAACCAGTGTCAGTGCTGGGGCAGCGAGGCGGCCGAAAAGAATATCGGGACTCACTGCAGGCAATGGATGTTCTGTGGTAGCCGAGCTTATTCCTTTTCTTCTCGCTGGTCGCTCCGGCCTGAGACTGTGCCTCTTGCGTGCTCTGCTGCATCTGAGCCGTGTTTGGCGTGGAAAAGGATCGTCTCAGCGAAACGCCTGGTTTTTGATCCTCGTAGGACCCTTCGGATTGCTTGCAGTCTCCGTCTAGAGCCGAAGCGTCCTGCGACGGCAGCTTGAAGTCCGAGCCGTACCCTGACTGTGGCACGTCTATGCCAAGCTGGTTCGTGGGTGGGGCCATATATTGATACGACATGTTGAAAGCGTAGGGATCCGAGAGAAACAGGGGCGTATCGTTGCAACCGGTTTCCCAGAGCTCCGGCTTCGAGTGGGCGTAAGGAGCTTTGACGACGGCCATGAAAAACGATTGCCACTACTGACGAAGGGTGCGATCAACGGGGGATCAAGCACGCGCGAGGAATGAGTCGTTGTGGGGGCGTGGGGAGGGGTTCAAGGCCCAGCGGTGAGGCAGAGGCCGCAGGGAATCTGCTATCGTGAGTTGATTCGGTCAGGATTCGATTATGGAAGGCGGGCTTGGCATTTTAGAGCCGACGGCAGCCTTGACGTTTGGATGGCACGATACGGCCCCGGATTCCCGGTTATCGTAGGCGCCACCACAGGATGCGACAGAGGGAACTTTGACGGGTGGGAGAGGGCGCCGTCGAGAAGATGGGATGGACTAGAACGACCCGGCTGCGCGGCCTGAATAAGGAGACGGCTGCAGTGCGCGGATCGAGCGTCAAACAGAAGAGCACGGAGACGGGAGCGGCGACGGCCGGGGTCAACCGTCTCGGACAGAGTTGCTACCGCCGAATCGAGGTTTGTCCTAGGGGTGGAAGCGGATCGTGGGGGGAGGAGGCCAACAAGACGTTGATTGACGATCTGTGCGCGTCGAGATTCGACTCTCTTGTCAAAGTGATGGAGGGACGCCCGGTCCCGCGCCGCCGCGACTTAGACGGACGAAGAGAGGGGAGGGAGGGGTGGGTGTGCGGCCCGCTGCGACCAAGAGATGTTGCCGAAGCTAGGTTCCACAACTTGGGGACGCCGGATTGGAAATTCGGGACGAGTCGAAGCTATGTGGACGATGAGGAGAAAATGAGTCGTCGTTTTTGCCGGATGATCGCAAGAGGGCTTGCTCGAAGGAGATGGCGACCCTGGCAGCCGAGCAAGCGCAGGACGACGACTGAGCAAAGCCCCGTGTGGTGGATGAAAGGGGCGTGGGAGGAAGGGGTGGTAATCTGGCTGATGATGTAGGCTTTTGGGCAAGACGTCGATGACACCGCCGGGTTAGGTTGAGCAGCAGCAAACGTGCAGAGTGCCTAACATTGCCGTCCTGGCCCTTTCTTTTCCTTCTATCCCCAAAGGCCTCTGGGGTGTGACTCGGGTAGAAAACAAGAGCGAGATGGTGCCCAAGCGCCACGACCAAGGCTATCTACTCATAGCGCGAGTTCGCGCCGGTACTGGTGAGCAGAACCCTGTCAGAGCAACCATGAGAAAAGCAATGTCCCAGGATGCTTGGGTGAGACGGTGAGATCAGCAACGGAGAGGATGTGACGGTCGGAGCCAGCCAGTTGTGTGGAAAACTGGGGAGCCACCCGGTCAATATTGGACTTTCCCCCAGCCCTTTCAGCTCAGTCTTTTGCCAGCTCTACCAGCTCGGCGGGGTGGTACGTAGAGAGTGCGTGTTCATTGTACGATCGAGGCTTGCTGAGCGGTGGGGAGGGCAACGGTTATTTAAGGGGCGGTTTTGGCCTTGGTCCAATGTCGTCAGATACGGCCCCTCTCCTCTCCATCTGGGCAGGCCGGCCGACGAGTTGCGCAGGTCATGGGCGCCAAAGGGGAAACTGGCCCAGCTGCTTCTGCAGCGGCGCGCCCTGGGGGACTTGGGCGCGTGAGCCTGTCAATGTGCCCTTGGCCGGCGAGCTTCCATCGACGAACTATCCCATCTCTTCGTACCTTGTCAAGCTCCTCGCCAGTCCATCTGGGGATCGTTGGCCCTCTCCGACATGGCCATGACCCCGGCCAGACATAACGTGGGCGGGCATTCGGAGTGGCGAGTGTTGAGGAACTTCCGACGAGGCATTGGTGGATTCATGCTCAATGCAATTCTCATGTCCGTAATAAGCGTAGTTCGTGACACTGGGAAGTGATGTGTGCATGCTGGCTGCATGCGGGCCAGGCAAGGATGGCACCCGGCTGCGTAACACTGCCCAGCGCTTCGCAAGAGGGTTGATATTGTGCTGTAGAAGTGGCTCCTGGCCCTCTCGAGGGCACATGGGTTGACGGTTGGTTGCCCCGTCCGCTCATCATCACGGGGACCCTGTTGGTGGGAGAGGCCGAGGACAATGCCGGGTCGTGTTGCTGTGCTGTAGATTTGCGGACGGGGGCCCTCGACGCCCACGGCAGACATCACCAGGATCCAGGAACCCACGCACTGGGCGCCTCAGCCCAGCCTCACTCTGATGGAGGATCTGCGTTTCTGAGCGGCATCCTGGGAGACGAGATGTCGCGCATGAGGTAACGATGACCGCCGGGGGGCAACATGTGCACATACTTGAGCCCGTTTCTCGGACGCATATATCTCGCTCGTGTGTGTGAGCGTGCGTGCATGCATGAATGTATGCCTAAGTACCCCCAACGCTCCGGCACACACCCAGGACACAGGTAGTGTACATGCTCCAGACTGTTCCGCAGGTACGAGCATGTACCGCGGGCCTGAACTTCGATCGAGGTGTGTTTGGCTCACAGATCGCGCTCACAAGACGGCTTGGCCCAAACCGACAAGCGTGTGGCTCCGCACGGGAGTCCAAGCACGGCGCCTCGGAAGCAGCTTCCTGACACCTTCTAATCGCGTCACTAGCCGTCTTGGGACGCTAGCCAGCCTATAACTCCGCCGGGGACTGCCCAAGTGTCCGACCCGCCAAGCCTCCGACAGGCGCGGCGAGGTGGCGAGGAGCTCTCATGGGGGCTCCCATGGTCGGGGCTCCGTTGAAGCCTGACTAGCAGAGAGCAGAAGAGCGGTCGCCGAGCGTGTATCCCGTTTCCGCTTGTCTCCCTTCTCGCCAGGCTCCGTGGCAGAGCCTGCGCGGGTAGGTCCTTGGCGTCCAGATGGAGGCCCCTCATCCTAGTGCGGAAACCCTGTCTTGCGTAGCATTCAAAGGCTTGGACCTCCCACCGCCGCCTGCCTGTCAGTGGCCATGTACGATTGTGGTTCACATCTTGTTGCCGACCTGCCACGGTGTGGTGGGTGCAAAAGGCACCAGTCAGTCCAGGGAGGGCGGCAGGGCCCCCCGTACGAGCATGTACACATATAGGCTTGGATCTGCGCAGATTGGTCGCGTCCGGTCGTCGAGAGAAGCGCCCGGGGTCGTCAATGGACCAAGGATCGAGCTGCACATGCAAGCCAGTTGATCGACGGCAGCAATGGCGCTGGGATTCCAGGGCAGGCAATCCCGCCCCAGCAAGATCCAGGTGCCCGATGCCACAGCAAAGTGATGAATGCAAGTATGCGAGTAAATATGTACGGAGCACATGTGTATGTGCGTGCGCATCTGCTCGTCAGCAGGATCCCTCTCACGCTCGATGCAACGAAGCCTCGACTGCATGGTCCAAGTAGCCAAGTCCGAGGGGCGATGGGGATATGAAGGTGGCGTCTTGTACAGTACAGCCGGTGTACATGGAGTCGTGCTTGGGAATCGCGACGGGGCTGTCCCAGGAGCTCGCTCGCATGTGTACGGGTCGTGTCGGTCGGTATTGGTAGTGAGACTCGGCCAGTGGTGAAAAAGCAACGGCGTGAGACACCATGAGTGCCATCCGTATGTACCGGAGGCCACGGTGAAGAAGCTGCTGCCGGTCCAAATGAGACGGAAAGGGGGGCGCGGGGGCTGGAAGGGGGCCTGGCGGATCTGCTCCGTTGGAACATGGGTTCGATGGTTGGCTCGAGCGGTTTGCCGCCGAGTCGATACGCATATGCTCCCGTGCATTGCCATCCATGGCTGAAGAGTTGAGGCTCAACAGGGCAGGCGGGCCGACCCCAGAGTGATGATTGGAGATGACATGTCTGACGTTGTTGGAGGTCTTTGCCCTGGAAGCCTGAGGCCGGGAATTTTGCCGGCCGAGAGATCTGTCTCGACGGTGGCGGGCGGGCGCTTTCTCCACATGTTGCCGGGCCACCAAGGGGGAAGCCGGGGAAGCCGGGGAAGCGATCCGCCGTGCGCTAATGTTGCCAGAGATGCATTTTTGCGAGCTTCGAAATTGAGGTGGGCATGAGAGGGCCTCGTGAGGGGCGAGGTGTAAAGGGGGAGAGGGCGGGGGAACAGAGAGGGGGAGGGGGGGTGGGACCGGTGGAAAGAGACTGACAGGCGAGGTACGGAGTACTTTGTACATGGACTCGCGAGGACAGTACCGAGTACGGAGCACAGTAAGTAAGTACCTACATGGCGTCGAGGGCCAAGGGCAGCCGTCAGTCATGTACAGGTGCATAATTCAGCCGATACAGGGCTTTGTGCTGTGCAACAGAGTCCAAGAGGTAGCATCGACCGATGAAGAGACTGGGCCAAGGGCTCGACGACGTGCATCTCAGATGCGTCGTTTCTGCACTCGGATTGCAGGACAGGTATCAAGTACCAGTGCTTAATCTATACGAAGCATCTGTACGTACTATACACGACGCATGCACACCTCCCCGGGCTGCACCGTCCGCTGGATATCTGTGCAGCACATGGCGCAATTCAAAGGACGACCAGGCCAACCTGCACGCAACGCACGCAACGCACCCCCTCACTGGCCTCAGCAAGCAGCCACCTAAATTACCTACAGTACCTACCTCTCTTCACGCGGTCAGCGACCTCTCAGCGACCTCTCGGCGACCTCTCAGCGCATGACAGGGCGATGCGATTCCAAGACGACGGGACCCGCGGCGTCGATCGGGGTCCGCCGACGAAGCTCGAGGCCAGGCGCGCCGCGCTGTATCTCATCACACCTGGCCGCAAGCTGTGCGACACATCCCCCGACACGCTCCGGCAGCCCATGGGCAGCTGAGAAGCAGCAGCGCTGTCACTGCCGCTGCGCTGGTGGGCGACGTGAAGCCGCGCAATCCCACACCGGTCTGGCCAGCATTGGCGTCGCACTTACGCAGCGCTAATGTGTCTTGTCCGCGGGAGAGCAACGGCGGCCATGTGCGACTGTTTGAGTTGGGTAAAAGCCGTGTGCGTATGGTATGTACAGTAGGTACCTATGTACAGTATCTACCTAGGTATCTAGGTACAGTAATTATGTGCGGAGTACCTAGGTAGGTAGGTACCTAGGTAGGCAGGCACCTTAGGCATGTAGCGCAAGTTGGTTTCCTTTCATCTTTTAATTTCTATTTTTCTTTGTTGAAGGGGCCTTTTTGGCCTGTCTGCATGTGTGTCTTGTGTCTTGTGTCCTTGTGTCCTTGTGTCCTTGTGTCCTTGTGTCCTTGCGTCCTTGCGTCCTTGTGTCCTTGTGTCTTGTGTCGCCCGCCGCCGCCGCCCCCCCATTGTCGACTTAGTAAGCGCTGTGCATCAGGCATTTGTTGGTGATGGGCTTGAGCTTTGACCCGGCGTGTTGCTGGTGGATACGTACATGAAAGGTACTGTAGACTTTTTTCCATATCGGATTATTCCAGCTCTTGGCATGGACCAGATACCGCCATGTCCAGACAACAGATTCTTACTGTACCGGTACCGGGTCCCAGCATCTCAAGTCTTCAGGGTGCCACCAGAGTAGCATTCAAGACTCTCGGGGTTTATTCATGCGCCTGGTATCCGTACGGTCACTCAGGCACTTCTGAAAACTCCTCCGCAGTGACAGTATGACATCAAAACATGCACCGCCTCTGCCTTTGCACATGCAAGCCCAGTCAAGCCCAGTGCTTACCTAAGTCGGCCTCCGCGGTGCTCAGTGCTGCGGTATTGTACAGAAACCTACGCATCTTACGGAGTACTAAGGAGGTCACGGATCCCGGCAGCGATCATCTTGCCCTCCTCCCTTTTCCGCTGCCAATTCATCGTCCCCCCCGCAGTGGCATTGCTTCTCGTTTCCAGGGCAGTGCGCCTGGTGCTTGGCTCGTCTCGTCCTGTCTGCACACCTGTTCGTCGGCAACGGCACATGACATGATGATGCCGAGGGGCAAACCTCCACATCCTTTCCCCTCCCTCTTCGCGAGACCAGTCGCCTGATGGTATATGCAACTGCTCCAACAGCCGATGCCATGGGGCCAACCCCCTCGTCCATCGTCGTCTTTAGCCCAACGCTAACTATTGCAACCAGGCAAAATGCCCATGTACTGTACTATACATACGTTGACGACCTCGTACGAGAAGCATGCAACAGTCGACTCCTCCTCCACCGGCCCTTTGCTTCGGCCCTCGGAGACGAGTCGGGCCTGCGCTGCAACGTCTCACTACAGAGTACATATCACCTCGCCCCCTCGGCCCTTGAGACCTGGCTTGTTTCCCCGCCATCGTCTCTCATCGTCCTCGACCTCAGTCTCATCGAAAATGGGGGCCGAGCGCGCTGGCGTTTGGTACCGAGGGCGGGGCGGGAAGGCCCGCAGCAGACGGAGCGCACAGCCCATGCCGAGAACGGATGGACTGTGTCGGCTACGACCAGGTAGGCAAGGCTCCTGCTGCACGTCGACTAAGATCCCTCGTGCGGCGGCGTTGCTGCCGGAGCACATGTCTGCACAAGGCCAAGCACCTACTAAGAGTGCCTCGTCTACGCATCGATTGCTGCTCATGAGTCTTCCCCCTGTTAATTACAGAAAGGCGACGCGATTGATTAATTACATGGGCGTCAGGACGAGTACTGTACTGACGCAGTGGCATGTCTGCATATGTATGCCATATCATGTACATGCGCCGTACAGAGTACGCACGTAGCCAATGTATCTTCAGTCTTGTTGGTATTGGGCGACTGCCCCTCAAACAAGTCGAGAAATAGGGACCTGGCCAGTTGGCCAACATGCATTGCAGCGGGCCGTACACACGCCTTGCTGGGGGTTGAAGAAGAGTTCACGCCCCCAAAGCCAAAGCCCAACTCTGCGTCCAATGGACGGCCCCCTCGCCTCTCTACGAGTACCGTACGGAGTGCTGGGGGATCTTTTCTTCCAAGCTACCCATCTGCTGGCATGGTTGATGCGTTCCTTACCCTGGAACCTCGACCCGAGGTCCGTAAGTCGTGAGTGCGTGATCTGGGAGGCTGTGTCGGTTCGCCACATGCTCACCGCACCAACCAAGCAGTTTGCTGCCTGTGTCTATCCGCCCGTAGTATCCGTGCAGCAGGCAAGGTACCTTGCAGTACAGCACACCGAGGTAGCGTATTGGCATCAGTTCGTATGTACAGTATGTATGTATGTCTGGCCATGCAATGCATAACGAATGGCACCTGGTAAGTTAGAACCCTCCCCCCCCCTCTCCTCCCGGGCACTTCATTCGTCGAGCCAAGTCTGGTGCGAGGTGAGACGCATCATGCAACCCCCAAGCCAACGTCTCCGCTTCTTGACCTCGACTCTTCGGCCTCCTCCTTCTCCTCTTCCTCTTGCTCCTCGACGTCGTCCCAAAATGCCCCCCGGGCCTTCATCTCTCCTATCAAGCATGCATGAAGCACCTCGTACAGGGCACAGACACACGTACATGCATCGCGCACACATGATACGCCTGCCCCGACTCGACCGCCCAGCCATGCAAGCTCGGCCTGGACAGAGCATTGAGGGGCCCCCGTTCTGACTGGCCTTTGGGTTCTCCAATCCTCTCTTCACTGGCCGCCCTGGACGAGCCATGCCTGGCCGATTGGGCCACATCAGCCTGAGCACCGCATGCTGCTCTCCATCTTTTCGAGCATCCGAGGCTTGCGTTAATCGCACCGCTTGAGGGGGCCGCCCATTCTCGCGCATCAGCCATCGCCTCGATGATCGGCGTATCCGCTCTCGCTCTCGGCGAGGGCAGTAGACCAGGCTAGCCCGTGCAGTCCGTCAGATATCGCCATGGTCAAGAATACACGTAGTTTTGAGAGGCTGCCTTTCCCAGGTAGCGATGCCGGAACAGCAGAGACCTTGCGACTGTCTTGCCTGTTGATTGTCGCTCCCATTGCCGTTTCTCGCCGGCGAGCACCCCCAAATGCGCTCCTCGCACCTGATGCCTTCCGAGGTTCTTTGATAAACGCGTCTGTGCGGCATTTCCTGCAAGAAGACCAGGATGAAAAGCTCCGTGGCCGGCCATCTTGCCCCTTGAGCTCCCCTTGAAGGAATGCGAATTTTTCAGGTACCGTACGGAGTAGGTGCTGTGATTGCGTCCATTTAAAATTAGGGCTCTGACCTGGGAAAGTGTCATTGCTTTTGCCTCGTGACAGAGGTCTCAGCTGGTCCTTTTCGTTGAGAAGAAGCAATGTTGCCCCCTGAGAACCTATCGCTAGGCTACCAGGGAACGGAACGCCCCGAGTCCCGAGCCCCAAGCCCTGTGCATTATGCTGGCAGACACATTGCTGATCGAAAGAGCTGGAGGCTGTAGTGAGCGATGGGGCTTGGGCTCTGGCCTCTCATCCCACCCGAGTCCTTGGACAGTTTGGTTGTGATGGGAGGCAGGGTCTTCCTTCACGCATCGGATTCCTGTTTTTAGTTGCATCCATCACACCCGCGATAGACAGCACCCCCTGATGGTCCGACACTCTTGGGCATGCGCGCATCTTATTCCAGCATGTAAATGCAGGTCCAATCCATGATGACAGTCCGCAGCTTAATTCGCCAACGGCTCCCGCTCCCCGCAGAGAGCGTGTGGACACCCGGAGGCTGTTGTTAGACCGCCATGCGTCTCATCCCAAGTATGTGACTTGTGCCTTGCCAGCACCTCCTGTTCTTGTCACTGTTTCAGAGACGCGAAGGCAGATCTTGTAGCCCAGGAGAACGCAGCGCCGGATGTGCCGAAGCGGCAACCAGGCAGCCTCGTCACAGTCTCCGGTCTTCACGAGTCCAGGGTTCCGATGAGCAAGGTCCGTTGGAGCTGATCAGCCGGTCAATGCGTCTTCCGGTTCTGGACTCTAAGGGATAGGCGTAAGCAAAGCTTTGGTGTACGCGGAGGAGGGGTGGGTACCAGAATAATGGGAGCAGAGTCTGTGGCGGATTGCCCTCCAGGGTAAACCATGGGCTGCCCAAGACAACAGGCCCGGGAACGAGTCCATCGAATGATGGTGCCTGATGCCAGGGCCCGCAACCGGGCGACGAACATCGAGACATGGTTGGGCACCTAGTGCGAATGTGGGAGACTGGAAAGTGAGACGGACGTTTCCTGATGCTCGGGGCACAATGCTGGCACCGCGGCCGCTCTAAGCTGAGGAGTAGAGACGGACAAACTCTCCGACATGGACATGGGCCATTGCCTCCGACTTTGCAAGCGCAAGGCTGTGATGGTCGCATTGCATTTTGTTTCTGGCTTCGGTAGCTAGACCTTGGTAATGCTGCATGATCCAGCCTGGGGTCCTAGACATGGCAAAGCGCAGGTAAATTGAAAGAGAGAAGCCGTCAGAGCTTGAGAGACGATGCCTGTCGTCGGAAGCACCCGGGGAACCATGGGAAAGCGAAAGAAAAGCGAGGCTTCAGGCGAGTTGACTCCATCGTCGTTTGCTGATGGGCCAATGCGGCTCAAGCAACGACTTCCTAAAACGTCTTGGGCTCGGTGCACTTTTTGCTGATGCGTGCGGACAGTAACACTCACACTGTATTTAGCGTACGTGCTAGGACAGAAAATCACAGTGCGATAACGCCCCGCCCTCTCTGCTTCATACTGTGTGGCCCGTATCGTACACGGCGACTTCAGCTCTCATCCCACAGGCAGCGAGGCCTACCAAGCCACGGATTGAGACAGGCAAACGTCTTGACCAGACATTTCGGGCCAGGTATAAAGAACACATCGAGCGTCCAGGTCGCCGAGGGACTCTCATTGCGTGCCGAGCCCGCGCCGCCGCGCTCTGCCGAGGCTCGCCAGCAAGCCTTCGAAACCCTCAGATTGACAACGTGGCGCGACGCACCATGAGCGACTTGCAGCGGGCCTGGGCAAAGGCAAAGCTTGGCCTCGGCCACGACCCCTTGGGCGAGCTGGACGAGGAGGCAGAGGGGGAGATGGGGGGAGAGAGGCGGGGGAGAGACGTGGTGCCCGAGCTGCCCGAGCACGTGGACGACGACTCTTCCTCAGCCTCGTCGGTGTCGTCGACGGGAACGATTATCCCGACGCCAAGCCAGAAGCTTTTTGCGCGTCCAGAGGGGTAATTCGAGACGAGAACATTGGAGACACAAGGCTAACCATGGCCAGCGTCGCACGAGGCAGAGCCCTGGAGCCGATACCTTGGACGACGTACTTCGAGCGGGAGTTGTTCCTCACGTGTCACGCCGACCCGGCCGTAACGTTCCACGCCTATCTGACGTCGCCGGTGGACAAAGGGCCGCTGTTTGTGATGCACCACGGGGCTGGATCCTCGGGACTCACCTTTGCCGTCGTCGGGGCCGAAGTGCGGAAGCGCCTGCCATCTGCCGGCATTCTCGCCATAGACTCCAGAGGACACGGATCCACCGTTTCGCCAGAAGATGCTGCGCCGGACTTGCGGCTCGAGACTCTGTCCGCCGATCTCCACATGATGATACAGGCGACCAAGGACCAGATGGGCTGGAAGCACCTACCCAGCATGATCCTGGTCGGGCACTCGCTGGGAGGGGCGGTGGTGACGGACTTGGCCATGACAGGGAAGCTCGGGGCATCTTTACTGGGCTACGCCGTGTTGGACGTGGTCGAGGGCTCGGCCATGGATGCATTGCACAGCATGCACACCTATCTCTCGACAAGGCCCGGGGGGTTCGCCTCGGTGCAGGCCGCGATTGACTGGCACATTCGATCGCGAACGGTTCGCAACTCCATTTCGGCTCGTACATCGGTGCCTGCGCTCCTGAGCCTGGAGGAGGGCGTCGATCCCTCTCGGCCGTGGCGATGGAGGACGAACCTGTCCGCCACACAGCCCTTTTGGGAGGGCTGGTTTGTGGGCCTCAGCAAGAAATTCTTGCATGCCAAGGGTGGCAAGCTGCTTTTACTGGCCGGCACAGATCGACTGGACACTGAGCTCACAATTGGACAGATGCAAGGTAGGTCGCGTCACACGTCACCTTTTTGCTTGCGGCCACGCATTAGGAAAGCCATTACTCATGTGCGGTCCACAGGGAAATATGCCTTGCAGGTGTTTCCAGAAGCCGGCCATTTTATCCACGAGGACATTCCGGAGCAGACGGCCGTCTCGTTGGCGGACTTTTACCGGAGAAACGACAGAAGCGCGCTTGTGCTGCCGCCCAAGGTATCGGACCTCTTGAAGCACGGGAAGCCGGTATGAGAGGGCGCAGAAGGTGTGCGACAGACAAGCGCCGGGGCGAGACAGAAGCTGAATCTGCCAAGGCGTGATGCTGTCACTCTGACACACGGATTCGAGGCGACTTGGACATGGCACTACGTATTACGCCCTTGACAACGGGATCGGCTCCGGGCGGGATCGGAATGGAAGGCTGTCTGGTCAGCTGAGGCCAAATCTGGAAGGATAATGTGCTTCACGATCAAGCGTGGAGTGATGGTGGCGTTCGGCACGTCGCCTCGGCGTGGCTGCGCGGCATCGCAGGATGAAACAAAGCGCGGGACTTGAAGTTGATCCCTCGCACACAGGATACGGCACGCTGAGAGGCCCCTTGCAGGAAAAGGGCCAGCGTATCGGCACGTACTGCACCGCCGAGTGCATGCTCAGAGAAGCTTACGACGCCGGGTGTTGCTGCACGGCTGAGTGAGTGCGTCGCGAGGTATACGCAAGGTCCGTCGCTCTGGCTGCCCCTGCTCAGCCATCCGCGGCTCCGATCTGGCCGTGTCTCGTTCCAGATGCCGGGCGAAGTACAGAGGGCATGTACTTATACCATCTACCCCGGTTCCGCGAGCAGTAGGTAGGTGGGCAAAGCTGAAGCGATTTGGGAACAGGGATTGCATGTCCGTTCGGAGAAGGTGGACGGGCATCTGGATCGAGGGGGTGCCGCTGCGCTGTTGTGCATGTCGATGCCGAGCTGAAGGATGGCACAGTGATTGTGCAGAAAGTGATATTTGACGTTGTACGGGCCATGAAAGGACACGGAGTTTGAGCTCCTGTAGGTCCATCGGGGATACCCACACGTGCGGCACGGACACGAGGCGCGGAGTAATATACCGAGACACAGGCGCAAGCCTCTTTCCCTCCGCACGAGGGTTCTTGTGCGGCAGCGGGGGACCGAATCCAAAAGGACTTGCATGTCTGGAGCGAGTCCGGGGAAACGGACATGTGCAAGCCCTTTTGAGATGCGACTTTGCAACACCGGGCCGCCTGCGCCTCCTGCATCTCGGGGTGTTGACGATGGCGATGCGGAAGTCTCCGAGCCCCGGCGGACATGGCGGATTTCCATGCATGTGCAAAGCCTCTCACGGAAGACGGACAGCACATTTTGACTCTGGCCGCTTGGTTTTTTCTTTCTTTCTCTTGCCTGGTGTGCGAAGCAGGGGCCGGGCATTTACATAGGGGGGTTGAGAGGTGGGAAGCCAGCCGGCCAGCCCCAACAGAGTTGCTACGAGGACCTACATACATAGGTAGGTACCTTAATTACATACCTACCTAGGTAGGTTAGGTAGGTATGTAATTAACTACCTTACCTTACCTATATGCACCATCTCCACCCCGTCCCTCGTGCAAACGGATGGGGCAGGAGCCAAATACCATAGCAGTGTTGGCTCATGCCACCTTGGAACCTCGACTTGCAGCGTCCAAGATGGCACAGCCCGACCAGTGTATGTACTGTCCATCGTGGCAGCGCCTGGGAAGCGGACGGTAGGTACCTAGGTTAAGGTAGGTTCTAGGTATTAGTGTATGTACGAATACATGCATTGGCAGACTTGACAATCCCCGTCCGGAACGCTCCGGGCGGACCTGCTTGTCTCATCCCTGCCTGGGCTGCCTGGGGCAGGAACCCTTTTTAGGTTGCTCCGCTCTCCCACGAACCTCTCCAGTTGCGAAGGCAAGAGTGCACGGATACCGTAGATACCTAGGTATCGTAGGTAAGGTAGGTAAGGTATGTAGGTCGACAGGACAAACATCCCGGTGGCGAGTGGCTGGATGCCGCAAGTACTCAGTACGCAGGCTGCAGCTAGCACCTACCTATCCGTACTGTACAGTGCTGTAGCTTGGGAGGGAGGCAGTCAAGGGCACTGTACAGTATTGAGTAGGTAAGTAGGTAGACGCCTTGTGGCGGCTTCCAAGCCATGGGGTGCAGCCAGGCCGTTGCGCAGCAGCGTCAGCCTCCTCCGTCTCCAACTCGCCCCCCTTGTGCACCAGCCCCCCTCCAGAAGCGTCTCCAGTACCTGCCGACGACATCCTAGCAAAGCATCCTCACAACACCATTCTTCAAAGCCCCGTCGGTACAAGTACACGTCACCATGAAGCCGGCCTCCCTGATGATGGCTCTGGCCGCCAGCCTGGGCGCGGCCAAAGCCCAGCTGGACCAGATCCCCAAATGCGCGGTATGTACGCCATTGCCCTCAGCATAAGCAGCCAGGGCGCGGGCTTTTCTGCCTGGCGCCCACCCGCCCCTGTCACGCGTCGGGTCCGCGTGAGCACACCGTGGCTGACATTGGGTGGCGTGCAGAGGGACTGTGTGTCCAAGTCCATGACGGGCTCCAGCTTGGGCGGCTGCAAGTTGGCCGATATTGCCTGCATCTGCAAGAACGACGACTTTCTCAACAACATTGCCTGCTGCCTGGCCGACGTCTGCAGCAAGGAGGATCAGGACAAGACGGTCCAGTCTGCCAAGCAGCTTTGCAACGCTTCCAACGTCCAGGTCCCCGACAAGGTCGAGTGCAAGAAGGGGGCCTCGGCGTCGAGCCCGTCGACCCGCTCATCGTCGTCATCGGCTACCGGCACCGCGGCCGCCGCTTCGTCCTCGTCCAAGGCCGCCGCGGCTCCGATGCTCGCCGGCGCAGGCAACCTGGCCGGTGCCCTTCTGGCCGTGGCGGCGGCATTGTGATGAGGTGCGGCGTCTGAATTGTTGTCCAAGGTGGCCGACCACTGGCCTGATGTGTATAAGTGACGTCGCCGTGGGCATTTGGGAGGCTTCCATACCTTATTAGTTCTACCGTTACGGGTTCAGCTCAAACAGAAGGGCACGAGTCCGTCAGTGCCGTGTCTCCTGCTCCGTCGCATGTTGCTCTCCGTGCCAGCGCCTTTGCCGTTATCAGGCGTCCAAGGCGAGTTGCGACGGCGTACCAGGAAGAGATTGCAAGTCTAGACTCGGCGAGGGGAACGACTGCTCTGCCTCGCCGGACTCGGTTGGACGGACTCGCGCCGCATGAGGCATCTCGGCGATTCAAAGTGCTCGATAATTTTTATCGTCGTGACTCGTGAGGGAGCTCCAGACGAGACGGGGAGCTCCGCCCAGCCCACTTCACTGCAGTACATAGTTACCAAGTACTAAAATGCTCCGCACCAGCCGGCGTGAATCCATTTGTTAATTTACCCCGCTGACATCAGAGGCTCGCGACGGGCATCTCGCCGTCATTTTCCCCTTCTCAGTCTCCCGCGCTCGGCCTCTGCCAATTGACGCCCCGGAAGACAACAGAACAGCACCGAAATGGCGCCGAAGACCATCATTGCCCCGTCCATCCTGTCGGCCGACTTTGCCCGGCTCGGCGACGAGTGCGTCCGCACCATGGACCAGGGGGCCGACTGGCTCCACGTCGACATCATGTAAAGCCCCCGCCAGCCGAAGCAGACTCTTTGTTTGCTGACGCAAAGACCCAAGGGACGGGCACTTTGTCCCCAACATCACCTTTGGAGCGCCCGTCGTCGCAAAGGTCCGCAAGCACGTCGCCCGGCCGACCGAGGCCCATGGCCGGGGCACCTTTGATTGCCACATGATGATTGCCGAGGTGAGGCTCCCGCAGACCCTTGTCGTCTCTCGCGCACGGCTGACGGGCAGCCTCGCAGCCTAAGAAATGGGTCAAGGAGTTCAAGCAGGCCGGCTGCGACCTCTACTGTTTCCACTACGAAGCCGCCCATTCCACCGCCGCCGAGAGCCCCGAGCAGAGCTCCGACCGGAAAACCAGCCCCGGGGAGCTGATCCGCTACATCCACGACAACGGCATGCTCGCCGGCATCGCCATCCGCCCGGACACGCCCGTCGACGTGCTGTGGGACATCCTCGAGACGTCGGATCCGCTGGAGAAGCCCGACGTAAGAAACCCCCACGCCGTACATGTGGGACCGCTTGGAGCAGAGCTGGCTGACGCGTGCCTCAGATGGTGCTCGTCATGACGGTCATGCCCGGCTTCGGGGGGCAGAAGTTCATGGCCTCGGAGCTGCCCAAGGTGCAGGCGCTGCGCAGCAAGTACCCGGACCTCAACATCGAGGTGGACGGGGGGCTCGGCCCTGCGACCATCGACCAGGCGGCGGAGGCCGGGGCCAATGTTATTGTCGCCGGCAGCGCCGTCTTTGGCGCCAAAGACCCGGCCGAGGCCATTGCCGCGCTACGCAAGTCTGTGGACCAGAGAAACGGCTGCTTGTAGATGTATATACGTTGGGCTTGCTAAATTGCCTATATGATAATAATAATAGAAGGGGGAGCCCCGGGACGGCATTTCCACCGGTCCACGCCGAACAGGGCCGCCGGCTGGACCCCGTCATCTTGAAACAACCCTTTCCAGCACCTTGATCAGGCCGTTGACCTCGTCCACTGCAGTAAAGCCGGTGAGCCGCGTGGCCTTGAGCCCGGGGGGAGAAAATGCCGACTTACTCGTGTTGTAGTGCACCATGCTCACCCTCACGACGCCGTGCTCGCCCAGGCGCAGGGTGTCGCGGACCAGCCTGCTGGAGTAAAAGGCGCCCCATCGGAAGCCGTAGTTGGAGACCTTTTCGACGGCCTCGACGAAGTCCTTGGAGTCCCAGTCCCGGACGGTGAAGCTGACGGTGGCAACGCGCAGGTGCGGGTCGGCTTGGGGCACGCCGTAGATGGTGCACGCGGGCATGTCGCGGAGAGCGGCAAGCAGAGCCGACTGCAGCTTGTACTCGTGGCCGACAATGGCGCTCCACATGTCGGAGGCGGGCGAGGGGCCGAGGTAGTCGACAACGTGGGTGACGGCCTGGCAGAGCTCGTAGCTGGCGGCCGAGAGGCCCAGCTTGTCGGCGAGGGTCAGGGACGGGTTGAAGAAGTGGCCGAGCGAGCGCAGCTGGGCCTGGGCGCCCCAGCTGGCGTAGAGGGTGGCGACGTGGGGGCCGAAGACCTTGTACCAGGAAAAGACGTACATGTCGACGCCGAGGGCCTGGACGTCGACGGGGCGATGGGGCGCAAAGGCGACGCCGTCGACGCAGACGAGGGCGCCGACCTTGTGGGCCTCGTCGGCGACGGCCCTGACGTCGGTGATTGTGCCGAGGACGTTGCTGGCGTGGGTGAAGGCGACGAGGCGCGTCCGCGGCGACAGCAGGGCGGCGAGTTGCTCGGGCCTCAGGTGCGGATCGGGGGTGTCGGGCGGCGGGCGCCACCAGCGGACGACGAGGTCCTGGCGGCGGGCAAGGTCCAGCCAGGGCGCGACGTTGGCCTCGTGGTCGATGGCGGAGACGACCAGCTCGTCGCCCGGGCGGAAGTCGAGGGCCTGGGACAGGTTGCGCAGCAGCTGGGTGGCCGAGGGCCCGAAGACGACCTCGTCGACGGCGCGGGCGTTGACGAAGCGCGCGGCGGCGTCGTGGGCGGCGGCGAAGCGCGCGGCGCAGGCGCGGCTGGCGGCGTACGAGGCGCCGAGCTGGACGCGGGCGCCGGCCAGGTAGTCGCGCACGGAGTCGGCGACGCTGCCGAGGGCCTGGCTGCCGCCGGCGTTGTCGAGCAGCACCTGGCCGCCCTGCTGCTGCTGCTGCTGGACGAGGGCCGGGAACGCGGCCCGGATGGCTTCTTCGCTGAACAGCATGGTCGAGAGTCGAGAGACGAGGGCGAAGGGTGTCGTTATTCGTGCTGTGGCAGCCCGGGGGGGAACAGGCAGCTTGTGGCAGATGAGGGCGCGATGCTGGTCAGGTCGTGGGTTTCCCCTCTGGCCCCGGGAGCAGCGGAATGCAAGTGCCGGCTCTGCTTCCCGCTCCTCTTCCCATCCCCGCTTGGCCGTGTCCGACGGTTCCGCTCTCAAGTGTCATGAGTTAATATGTACGTGCATGCATTGGATATTAGAGCAGCAGACCAGACTCTGACGCTTCCGTATGGACGCTGGAAGGCGAGGAGCATCGGCCACCGACGTCGTCACACGGAACGCGCGACCGGGTGATTACACGCAGGAGACAGGGGGAGCTGCCGGCGACAGGTGGCCTGGAGCCGCCGGGCCTCGCGCCTACTGCCTGCGCGCGCCAGCATCATTCGTGAGCATGGATGCGTACGCGGCGAAGTTGGTGGTTACACGCCCTGCCGCCGTGTTTGAATAGCCGCTGCTGTTCCCCCCCCTGCCTTTGCCGTTGCACGAGGCCGGACGGGATGCTATTTTGGGACATTGACTTGTGAACCTTCATACACACTCGCGGCGCGTGAGTCGTGTCTTGGTGGTGCTGTTGAGCCGGGAGCTGCCTTTCGCGGAGTTGATGGCTGGCGGCTCCCTGGGGGCACGCACTGGCTGGGGCAGCGTGGGCCGAGGAAGCGCATGTCGAGTGCACCTGGGCAAGTGGCAGCTTGAGCCGTCGGCGCGCTGTATGCGCCGACTCGAGCATGGTTTGGAGCTCTTTAGCTTTTGGCGCGCGACTAAACAAGGCCGGCAAGTTGATTGATGATGATTGATGGTTTGACAGTGTGGACTGTGGAGACGTGTCAGAATCGTCAGGCCGTTTTAGCGTCCGCTTCTGCTCCTGGCCAATCGGAGCCGCAGCTACGGCGCACCGGGAAACCTCCAAAAAAAATCGAGGTGACGAATGACTACGAGGGGGGGGATTTATAAGTCGGCAGAATCATCCCCATCATCGTCGCCAGTCCTGACCGCCTCGGCCCTCCCCATCCCGCTTCGGCCTCGCCTCTCTCCCCGTCTCGCACGCATCCGCTCGCCCCGCCCGCCATGAAGAGAAAGGCCGAGGACGAGAGCGGCCGCAGGTCCTGCGGCAGCAAGACCAGCAGCAGCAGCAAGAAGCCAAAGACGGGTGCGTCGTCGCCCCAAACAACCCCAGAACCCCAGAACCCCAGAACCCGCTCGCTCGCTGACCTCTTCTCCCCCAGCCCTGTCCGTCGACGAGGCCAAGAAGCGCTTCCGCCCGCGCCTCTTCGACACGCCCGTCCTCGACTCGTACACGCACGCCTACGCCGCCTCGACGCCCTACAAGCACGCCGTCATCCACCGCCTCGTCGACGACGCCCTGCTGCGCTCCGTCCGCCACGAGATCCGCCGCAATGTCCACTTCACCCCCAAGGAGACGGACATCTACAAGATCCACCAGTCGGGCGACCTGGCAAACCTCGACGGCCTCGACGACGCCTCCCTCGCCAAGCTCCCCTCGCTGCTCGCCCTGCGCGACGCAATCTACTCGGAGCCCTTTCGCCACTACGTCTCGGCCATCACCGGCTGCGGGCCCCTGAGCGGCCGCAAGACCGACATGGCCATCAACGTCTACACCCCGGGCTGCTACCTCCTGTGCCACGACGACGTCATCGGCTCCCGCCGCGTCAGCTACATCCTCTACCTGACGGACCCGGACAAGCCCTGGAAGCCCGAGTGGGGCGGCGCCCTCCGCCTCTTCCCCGTCCAGAGCCTCGAGGGCCGCCACGGCGACGTGGCCAAGGCGCCCCTCCCGGACGTCGTCAAGGCCATCCCCCCGGCCTGGAACCAGCTCAGCTTCTTCGCCGTCCAGCCCGGCGAGAGCTTCCACGACGTCGAGGAGGTCTACCACCCCGACACCAAGGCCCGTCTCGACAAGGACGGCGGCCGCGTCCGCATGGCCATCAGTGGCTGGTTCCACATCCCCCAGGCCGGTGAGCACGGCTACGTCGAGGGCGAGCAGGAGAAGAACGCCCGGAATAGCAGCTTGATGCAGCTCCGGGGCGACCCGGCCCAGTACGACATGCCCCGGCCCCGGCCCGCCCTCGTCGACGGCCCCAAGGCGAGCCAGGACGAATTCGACGAGGCCGACCTCGAGTTTCTGCTCAAGTACATTGCGCCCGTCTACCTGACCCCCGACACCCTGGAGCAGATTGTCGACCATTTCGAGGAAAACTCAAGCATCACCCTCGCTAACCTCCTGTCCAAGAAGTTTGCGCGGCGGCTCAAGGACCACGTCGCGGCGCAGGAGAAGCACCCACTGCCCGGGGACAGCGCCGCCATCGAGAAGGAGACGCCCTGGCGCGTCGCCAAGCCGCCGCACAAGCACCGCTACCTCTACCAGCAGCCCAGCGGGCCCGACCAGCTCCGCACCGCGCAGGAAGAGTCCCCCGTCACGGAGCTGCTCGACATCCTCCTGCCTAGCCGCCAGTTCCGCCACTGGCTGCAGCTGGCCACGGGCTGCACCGTCGAGAGCTCCGACGTCATGGCCCGGCGCTTCCGCCGCGGCCACGACTACACCCTCGCCACGGGCCACGAGGGCAAGCCCCGCCTCGAGCTCAACCTCGGCATCACCCCGACCCCGGGCTGGGGCGACGACGACGTCGACGACAAGGAGGAAGCTGCCTCGGAAGCGAAGCCAAAGGGCAACAGCACAAAGGCCAAGGGCAAGGGCAAGGACAAAGCTGTAGCCGAGCAAGCGGAAAAGGAAAAGGATGACGTCGGCGACGACAACGACGACGACGTCGGCGGCCACGAGGTATACATGGCGGGCGACGACGACGCCAACGAGGACGCCGCCGTCTACAAGTCAAGCGGCGGCGGCGACGACAACATCCTCTTCTTCCAGGCCGCCGCGTGGAACAAGCTGACCATTGTGCTGCGCGACAGCGGCACCCTCAAGTTTGTCAAGTACGTCAGCAGAAGGGCCAAGGGGGACCGGTGGGACGTTTCGGGCATCTTCGAGGTCGAGGAGCAGGGCGACGGCGACGGAAATGCCGGGGTGCCCCTGGGCGAGTCGGAGGAAGAGGAGTTTAACGGATTCTCGGATTCGGTTGATAGCGACTCTGATTGAGTGACGGGCTCCAGAGATACAAAGATGACGTGTTACATCCTATCGGCTCCTGACTTGAGCAAAGCCTTGTCATGATTCATACGTCGTGCCGCCTCCGTACCTGTCTTGGTATCCTCGGACCGGCAGACGAGGCTGTGGTGTTTAAATGTACAGGCCTTGGCGCCCCTTGTGCTTCCAAGCTGCCCAGACCTTGCAAGGGCAAGACACCTTCCGGCGCCATGTCAAAGTCCTGACCCCAGCGCTGGCCTACGTACGCGGCACTCCACCAGTAGACGCGTCCAGCTGTCCGGAGGGCCTGCCCTTGTCGCCCGCAGCTGTTCCCTACATTGGAGGGGCCTCGCAATCTAACACCATCTTTCTGCTTGCCGAGTGTCTCCAAGTATTCCGGCCCTTGAAGATGGTGGGTGTAAGGGGGGGGCGGGAAGGAGGGCGGCAGATGGAGGCTTGGCGTCTGTATACATCCGGACGTTTCTCGTCAATGGTGGTGCGTGTTGAGAGGCTCGACCACGGTCACGTGAGGTTGGGGGTATTTGTGAACAAATCCGGCAGTTCTGAGCAGAGGAGCTCCGTTACGTCCTCGGCATCCCGGTTTCTGCCCAGGCGCATCAGGTGATTGACCGTGTCGTGGCCGAGAAAGGCTATCCAAGGAATCACGCCCAAGCCCTTGAGTTTTGCCGTGTCCATCTTGCCCGGATGAAGCTTCAGCACCAGCTCCCTGAGCCTCAGTCCATCCTTGAAGAAACGCAGGGCCGGGGTGAGATCGGGGTGAGTCGGGTGGCAAAGGTTGAGGTGGGCCCTCTCGACGGTAAAGGGCCCGGGAAGGAGATCCGCCGCCGCTAGGTGGGCGTCAAAAAGCTCCTCCGAGGGCGTCGTCCTGCTGTAGGCCTCAACGGTGGAGAGCCACGAGACGGACCGCCACGGGAGGGTCAAGAGGCCGGGGAGCAGGGGGCTCGCGTGGAAGCGCTGCTCTGCCTCTATGATAGTGGAAATGGCGGCGTCCAGGTCTCCATGGTGCGGCTGGCTCTTTGAGCGGACAAGCTCGGCCAGCACGCGCGAGGCACGCTTGGTGCGGAGGGCGCTGCTCCAAGCTTCCGACTCGTCATTGACGGTGCGAGTGGTCCAGTCCCACGCCACGTTCTCCAAGCCCTCGGCAACGAGGAAGGGGACCAGCGAACGGATAAACTGCGGGCCATCCAGGAACTTGAGATCCGCCTCCGCGCCGGACGATCGAAGCCATCGCACGACGCGCGCCGCGGTCTCGGAGGAGGCCAGGCCCGAATCAGGTCCCGAGGTTGAGAGCTGCTTCCTCTTTGCCATAATGCACCCCGTCGCCGCCCGGAGCGTCATCATGCCCCTCGCAATGGCATGGTCAAAGACATCCATGGGGTCGCGGTTCGATGCGGGCAGCGAGGACATGATCATCTGGGGCTCCGACTGGCGCGGGTAGCTGAACAGCGGGTTCGAAAGGATCGATTTCAGATGGCGCGTCGCGGCCGAGTGTCGGACCTCGAGGTCGCGGCCCGTGACGCTGGCAGGTACGACGGCGCGGTCCGAGGCGCGTCCATATTCGTGGTCGAGCTGGCGTCGGAAGGATGCCTTCAGGCCGTCTAGTAGCTTCTGGGACTGCTGCTTGGACAGCGGGAGCGGCTCGTGGTAGCCGGCGAACAGCCTTTGCAGCGACTGGACAGACTTGGAGGAGAACATGGGGGGGCAGTGGGCGAGGGTTGATGGGGTTGAGCACTGCCCTTGGCAGGGCTTGGTCGAGGAGGGCCGCCAGTAGCGATACGGGCTTGACGACGTGGTTGTGGGCTTGTCGTCCGCCAGTCCTCGAACGATCTGAAGATGATGGGGGGGTTGTGACGGCGTTGGCGGATGGGTCACGTGATACAGCTCATGTTTTCAGTTGGCTGGCTGTAGCCAAGGTAGCAAGGTAGCTTGCACTGTACGCCGTACTGTACATAGAGAATCTCCACCACCTCATCAGTCCTTCGTCAACATCTGACCAAAAATGTCATTGGACATGCAGGGCCCCAGTCCAGGGAGCTGGGCAGCGCACCTCGATGCCGTAAACGAGGCGTTGGGGCGCTCCAGAGCCAACTGTGTGCCGGTCCCCGGCCTGTACCGCATCGTACATACATATTTGCACGCCTCGCAATGAACAATGGGACTCTGCGAGCGTTCAAAACGTGTGTACTGTACAATTCACAGTCCAACGAGGCGCCGTGCTGTGTGGGTTTCAACGTGCCAAAAGTTACACCCTTGTATGGAGTACCTGGGTAGCGGTAGCAGGCGAGCAAAAAGGTCCAAGCCACTTGGGGCGGTGCAAGTGCGAACAGCATTGTGCTCGCACGTGCTCCGTACGGAGTAAACGCCCGTGCAGTTGGGCGCGGTGAGAGAACGAACAACACCGAGCACGTATTCGTGCTTTGTGCCTGATGAATATTCTGTCTGCACCCAATTTTCGTGCCGTTCCATGGATTAATCACCTGTGAGGCTGGCGCTTCGAGACCTCGAGCCGTGGCGGTGACCATGTGCACATGCGCGGGAAGGTTCCGGCCTACCAGCAGGTACTTACGCCAGGGTTCCCTCCCTGCAAGCTCAGTCGCCTTTTCATGTCTCAGGTGCTGCGGCCCTGGTATCTGGGAGAGGTGCCCACCTTTTAGGCTACGCGGACAGACAGGTAGACATCCTAGTGCTCAATACCTGCCCTTCCTGGGGAGCACTAGCACAGTGGCAGCTGGGAAAGGCAAGGGAGGGGAGCGCGGACACAGTGCCTTCCATTGCCTTTGTCGTGCGCAACAGGTAACCTGGGAGGCGGTAGGTACCTAGATAGGTATGTACTTGGGGGGCTCAAGTGTCCTGCCGCAGCTGCAGTCCTGGGAGCTCGGAGCAACCTGCAGGCTACCTACAGTACAACTCGACTTGGCACCAAGTATCAGGCTGACGAGATACATTGGGGGTCTCGGACAGCGCGAGGAGGGGTCCATTTTTAGCGGCCCTCCAGGTACCCCGTCAGGTGAGCTACCTCGGTGGAGGGCAACTCGCCCTGGGACTGGCAGCAGTTGGCGGTGGGCGGCGGGCAGCCAGCGAGGCGCTGCAGGGCCAACTGAACCGCACTGGACTGGGCTAGGCTGGGCCCGGCCCACGGGTCCGTCGCGGTAGCCAGTCGCCAGAGGTCAAAACCTTCCCGTCGTCAGTCAACTCGCTGCCTCTGGGGAAAAACCTCGTGCCTCCCTTTGCCCTTTCACCTTCACGACCTCTCCCCCTGCACAGCACACACAACAAACCATCTGCTCGCTCCACGCCGCCGTGCTCGCTCGCACGCTGTCCCACGCCTTTCACCGACCTGGCTGGCCATTTGCCAACCTCGTCGTTTTTTTTCCTTCTCTCCCCTCCCCTTTGGCAGCGGCCGGGTACCCAACCTGCCACTGCTTCTTCCAACACCTCATCAGCCCTGCGCTCGCCGCAACATCTCCAAATCATCCTCCATGTCCGAAGTCGCTTCTCGGCCGGCCGCCTCGCGCGGCAGAGGCTCTGGTCGTGGCGGCAGAGGAGGCTTCGCCGGTCGAGGCGCCCGCAGGATCAACGGCGACAAGTCTGACCACAAGCCCGCCGACGACAGCATGGCTGCCTTCGACGATGAAGGAGACTTTGCCGAGCTACGCAAGCAATACGGCGATAAGACGTCTGTCATCCGCGAGATGTTCCCAGACTGGTCCGAAGCCGACGTCCTCTTTGCCCTCCAAGAGACAAACGGCGACCAGAACGAGGCCGTAGCACGCATTGCCGAAGGTACCACCCAAAGCCCCCGGCACATCATGTGTCGACTTCCCTCCCTACGCAGCTCTTGCTCGTCGGCGTCCAGTTTGGCTGACATGCAACTCTCCCTCGACAGGCACCATCTCCCAGTGGGGCGAGGTCTCCAAGCCCAAGAAGACCACGCGCGCAAAGGCAGCAAAGGACCCCAACCACGCACCCGCTGCACCTGATCCCGCCGCCTCGAATCCTCGAAATATTCGCGGCGGTCGTGCTGTCTCGGAGGGAGGTCGAGGTAGGGCTCGCGGCTCCGACAGGGGCGGTCGTGGCGGTCGCGGCCGCCCTGCCAACGCCGGCGTCAACGGCACTCGCAACAAGGAGAACCAGCAGCTATCTGTGCCTACCGAAGAATCCTCCGCCTGGGACAACGAGCAGCCAAATATGGATAATGCCGATCCCAAACCCGCCGTTGCCGCCAAGCCCACCACTCATGATGCTCCGCAGTCCGCCGCTCCTCAGGCTAAGACCTGGGCCAGCATGCTTCGCCAATCGACCGCCCCGAAAGCTGCTGTTGCCCCCAAGGAACCGCTTGCTCCCAAGCCCGCCGAAACCACAGAACTGCAGCCCACAGCAGAGCCGGTTCCTCCTGAGCCTGAAGCTGCCGAGCCGATTGAGGAGACGACACCCGTCGCCCAAAACGTCGTGCCTGCTGCAGTTCCCACCATTGCCGAACCAGAAATCACTCTTCCCTCCGCCAGGGCCGAACTGACGGAGACGAATCTTGAACAGGTTGCTGACGCCTCCAACCCGCCCGCGACCGATACCGCCGCTAGCACCGCTGCCGACTCTTGGGACCCTCGACAGAGCCCTGTCAGTGCTTCCGCCACTCCTCTCTCGGCCGCTCAGCACCAACACCAAACCCAGCGCACGGCAACCAGCGGTTTTGCCGCCTCTGCCATCAAGGCGACGGCGGAGCGATCCGCGCGCACGCCTAGCCACCAGCGGCGAGTGCTGGACCAGGAAGAGGCTGTCCGCATGCCCGGTAACCGCGAGGTGGATCGTGCAGCCGTGCAGTTTGGGGCCTTTAACCTCTATGGTGGCGACGAAGACATTGACGGAGAGCGCGAGGAGCCTGAGACGCGAGCCCAGCCTCCGGCCGACTCCCCTGTCGCGCATCCACGTGCCTCGTTGCCTCCGGTCTCGCAGCCTGTTGCTGTGCCCGAGGCTTACCCTCAGAAGCCTGCTGCCGCCATGCCGGCCAGTGCTTCCGGAGTTGGTACGGTAAAGCCTGGCGATAGCATGCGGGCGCGCTTTGCTAACGTTGCCACAGCCGCCACGACACCTGCAGCTCATCCACCAGGTATGCCTGTCCCCCCTCTTGCAGCCTATCTCATTCTCTGGCCAGCTTTGCTTCACCGCCGTGGTACTGACCGAAATCCAGCTCCGAGTGCTCAGCAATATGGCCGGTTCGGCCACGGCGGCGCCCAGGACGTTGCAGCGACTTCGCAGAAACCAGCGGATCCGTTCAGCCACCAGAGCACGTCGGCCGCGCAGCCTCCGTTTGAAAACTTTGGCACGCAGTCGTCGCAGCCCCAGGCTCAACAGCCAGGCGCAGCGGGGGCGTACAGCTCGGCTCCGAGCGAATACTCCAACTACTACACGGCCAACCAGCCGGAGCGCAACCCATACAACTTTTACGGCCAGCAGTACGGCAGCCAGCAGGGCGCGCACGGTCAGCACGAGGGCGGCGTGCCATCTCAGCAACGACCGTTTGGTGGGTACAATGCGCAGAACGATAACCTCAGCCAGTACCCGCAGAGCGGCGCCATGCACGGGCAGCCTCGATTCGGCGCGTCAAGCGAAAGCCAGAACAGCGGGCACTCGACGCCCAACCCTACGGCCCAGGCTCAGCAGCAACAGCAGGCCCAGCAGCCGCAGGCCCAGCAGCCGCAGCAGCAGGGCGCGCCGGGCACGCAGCCACAATCACATGGTCAGCAGTATCCCGGCTACAGCCATCCATACTATAGCAACCCCTACTACCACCAGTACTACTCTGGATACGGCCAGGGAGGCTTCGGACCGTACGGCGGCAAGGGGGGCATGTACGGCCAGCCGTACGGCGTGTCGCCCAACGCTCCGTATGAGCAACACGCATCGTCGCCGGGCACCTTTGGCCCGTCGTCATTGCACAGAGAAAGCGGGCTGGGCTCTGGCCTCGGCGACTACGGCCGGGCAGCGTCGGGACAGGCGGGCAATCAGCCCGGGCTCGGGGGCACAAGCTTTGGCGGATCGCACGACAGCTTTGCCCGCGGAGCGTCTTCGTTCCAGTCGCAGGGACAGTCGTTTAACAGCCAGGGGCAGCCGCCGGCTTCCGGGTCGTCTGACGAGCTGAAGTCGTACGGCGAGGCGAAGGCCGGGTCGGGCCCGTCGCCGTCTCTGGGAGGCGGGCCGCGGCCGGGATCGGCGGCGAACAACGCGCCTGGGCAAAGCGGGCTCCCGCCGCCGCAGACGTCGCAGATGGGCGGCGCGTCGTACGGCGGCTACCCCAGCCACCTGCAGGGCCACGGGCTTCACGGCGGCAGCGGCTACGGCGGCGCGGCAAGCCAGCATGGCAGCACGCCGTACGGGTCGTACGGACAAGGGTTCGGCAGCGGAGGCTACTACGGCGGCGGGCAGCAGCAGCGCGGCGGCTGGGGCGGAAACTACCATTAGGGGGGTAGGAAGCGCGAGAGAAGGCGGCGGGCAGGAGGTCGAGAGGAAAGCATCATGAGGGAGCTTCGATTGGGCTCGGGTCGGCGGTGAGCAAGGATGATTTGACATGGCAAGGGGAGGCTGGCACGGAAAACCGGGAAAGGAAGGACGAAGAAAGGCAAAGCATGCTTCTGTGCCCGTCGGTGCGCACGTGTACGATTGTCCTGTTTTATCAAGCTCTTTTTCTCTCTCCCTGTCTCCGTTTCGGCGTGTTTGCGGGGAAACGGCCGAGCGCGAGAGGGGCTCTGGGGCTGGCGATGGCGATGGCGGATACGGGGGAATATTGGATGATGGACGATGCACGGGGACGATGCACGGGATGGTGGCCGGCATTTTTGTCCATCATTCATGCAAGGGCATGAAGCGAGTGCCGGTCGTCGGACCCGGGATCTTTTCTTCTTTTCTTTTCTCGGCCCATTGCCGTGCTCGACTGCCGCTCGCTGACGGGGCCCTCGCTGATGGGGCCCTCGCTGGTGTGTGGGGGGGGGGGGGCGAGGATGCCCGTTGCAGAAGCTAAAGTGGGCAATTGTTACGAATCGTCTTCTCCATATTCATCTTTCTTCTTCATCACGAGGTTGCTGGCATGGCGGCGCGATGGTCCAGCTGTCTTTCCTCACCCCGACTCCCTCTCCCTCTCCCTTTGCCGTTTCCAGCTCTTCAACTCCATTATTTACTCGCATACACCTTTGATGGGCTGTTCCTAGACGGACACGGTAAGGTTGACCTTTCGTTTCCTTGTTTCATGGCTCTAATCGGATCCTTTAGCGGGCTAACAGCATACCGCACAATAGCAGTGCAAAGACGGCTCCGGACGAGGCACCCGTGAGACCGTCCGTCCCCCAGACGAGCCGCATCTGCCGAGCTTCCAACTTGCAAAGACCTCTCTCTCTCTCTCTCTCTCTCTTCCCCGGGGAGGGGTAAGCAACGACTCGAAGCCGCCATCTTGCAACCCGAATAGCAAGCCTCATGCTTGCGCAAGACGCTCCCAGGCAAGGAGGGAAGAGAGGCTGGATCGAAACAGCGCGGCATCCGTCTCTTTCGTCTCCTCATATCCACCGATACCAACACCACCGTCCTCTGGAGCCATATACACACATACATCTATATACTCGCCACTTCCGAGCCCCCGATGCGCCCGGGACCGTGCCGGTCTTTGCCTCGCCGAGATAGCTCCGCCGCCGCCCCGATCCGACCCGAGACATGGCCGGCGGCCTGCCAGGGCTCCCGCCCGACAAGACCGACGACGGGCCGGCCCCCGCGCAACTGCTGGCCGGCCCGGCGACCGAGACGCGGCCGACGAGCTCCAACGCGTCCCGCGATGACGCCAAGGACGCCGGCGACGCGCCGGCGCTGCCCCTGTCCAAGGCGCGCTGCATCGCCCTCGTCGCCACCGTCACGGGCGCCGCCTTTCTCAACGTCGGCCGCCTTCCCCCCCTCTCCTTGACCCTTGACCGGCCTTGCGGGCGGGCGACATGGACGACTAACACAGCCCCTGCAGACCCTTTCCATCCAGAGCGTCGTCATCATCCTCCCCGCCATCGGCCGCGACCTCGCCGTCCCCGACAGCCGCCAGCAGTGGATCGTCTCGTCCTACTCGCTCGCCTTTGGCTGCTTCCTGCTCTTCTGGGGCCGCGTCGCCGACATCTACGGCAAGCGCCTCATCTTCGTCCTCGGCTCCGTCTGGGTCACTGTCCTGGCCGCCGCCAACCCCTTCATGCCCCACGAGGTTGCCTTTGACCTGTTTCGCGGCCTGCATGGGCTGGTATGCGCCCCCTCGAGAAGCCCGCCGTACGTGGACGCGGCTGACCCGGTGGCATGCGCCGTGGGCTGTACAGGGCGCCGCGGCCAACGTCCCGACGGCCATCGGCATCCTCGGCGTCACCTTTCCCCCGGGCAAGGCCAAGAACTACGCCTTCAGCACGTACGGTCCGTTTCTCCCATGCCCTTCCCTTGCCTTTTGCTTCCCACGTGTCCCGATGCCCGGGCTGACGCCTCCCCCCCCTGGGCTCGACGCAGCCGCCGGAGCCCCCCTCGGCAATGTCTTTGGCAACCTCTTCTCCGGCCTCATCGCCGAGTACTCGAGCTGGAGATGGGTCTTTGGCGCCTCGGCCGTCTTGGCGGGCGTCATTGCCGTCGCCGGCGTCGTCTTCATCCCGTCCTCGACGGAGCTCGACGAGGCCAGGCCTGCCGCCGCCGCCGAGGAGGCTCCCATGGTGCAGGCTGCTACCACGACTTGCGGCGCCGAGACGCGGCGGACCGGAGACGCGGTCCCCGTCAGCAGCAGCTGCGCCGACGACGCCTCGCCACGGGGGCCCCGAAACCCGTCGCCGCCGCCGTCCATCGACTGGATCGGCGCCGGCCTCATCACCACCGGCCTCGTCGCCCTCATGTTCGCCCTCACCGAGGGCAGCGCGGCCGGCTGGAGCACGCCCTGGGTCCCCGCCACCATTGCCGCCTCGCTGCTCGTCATCGCCGGCTTCGTGCTGTGGCAGCGCCATCTCGAGCGCCTCGACCGGCGAGGCGGCCGCCGTCGCCACCGCCTCCTCGGCCCGCCGCCCCTCATGAAGGTGTCCATGTTCGGCAACGCGCGCTTCAGCGCCGTCATGGTCATCATGGGCCTCTTCTTCGCCTCCTTCAACAGCTTCCTCGTCTACGCCACCTACTTCTTCCAGGACTTCCAGGGCCTCTCGCCGCTGCAGACCATGCTGCGCTTCGTCCCCGCCGGCGCCACGGGCGCCGTCATCGCCCTCGTCGTCGCCCAGCTGCTCGGCCGCGTCCCCACCCTGTTCATCCTCGTCTGCGGCAACCTCGCCGTCGCCGCCGCCTCCCTGCTCTTCGCCCTGCCCATCCCCCCGTCCACGTCCTACTTCGCCTTCGGCCTGCCCGCCATGATGCTCTCCGTCCTCGGCGCCGACACCACCTGGCCCTGCCTGACCCTCTTCACCTCGCAGGCCCTGCCGCGCGAGGACCAGGCCGTCGGCGGCGCCCTCATCAACGCCGTCGGCCAGTTCGGCCGCGCCATCGGCCTCGCCGTCAGCACCGCCGTCCAGACGGCCGTCGTCGCCCGCGCCCGCGGCGTCCCCGTCGGCGAGGCCGACGGGGTCCGCCCCTGGGAGCCCGAGTCGCTCCGCGGCCTCCGCGCCGCCAACTGGGTCAACTTTGCCTACGGCATGGCCTCGCTCGCCGTCGTCCTCGTCGCCTTCCGCAGCATGGACGTTGTCGGCAGGACCAGGCCCCTGCCCCTGGCGAGGTCCGGCGTCCGGCAGGGCGACGCGAGGCAGGACAAGGGAGCGAGGCCGGACGTGGGGACCAGAGTCTGAGTTTGCTTGTCTGGCGTGGGAATCTCCGTCGGCGCATGCGCATGTAACATCAAAGGGCTATAGAGGGAGTGGCGTAGCAAAAAGGAGGATGAACCGACTCTTATGTATATATCCTCAATGTTTCTGAGAGCATCACACCCACATGGTTGGATATTGCAAGAGTAGATGAGGCGTCGCACGACGGGGCCGCAGAGCACATGTCTGGATACCTTACAGGTAGCAAAGCAGTTTATGCGTTTAGAGCCCGCGCGAGGCCGATCCGACCAGCTCGTGCGCCCCTGCCTGGAGACTGAAGCTTTGAAGCACAATCATGAACTGGAGTAGCTTATTTCACGCACGCGTACATATGTCGGCCACCATCTTGCATCCATCCCTTGACGTCCAAAAACAAATAAAAATATATATAAAAATTCCCCCAACGACCAGCCGGCTTGTCGTCGTCGTCCATCAATTTGGCCCCCTTAACTCTCCCCGTTCTCCCCCTCACGGCCCAGTGGGTATCATTTGTAGCAACAGCCCAGGATGAAACAACAAGGGCGACCGAGGTATTATAACCAAAAGAAGAAGAAAAGCAAGGGACAAGCAAGGGGGACGGGACAAGCGACAACACGCCTGGGCTTACGTCCTCGTCCTCGTCACGTCGTTCTCGTCATCATCATCGTTTGCGTCCTCATCCGCACGTGCCTCATCAACCACGCACTCTTCGTTGCGCGCCAGGGCCCTGAGCCGCTCGCGCACCGCCGGGTCCCGCTCCATCTCCTGCCACAGCTCCACGTCCCATTCTTCCACGTTGTCGCCCAGCGGCTGTCTCCTCCACGGCGGCCACTGCCACAGGCCCGCCACGAGCATCCGCCGCCGGACCGCTTTGCCGCAGAGCTCCAGCAGGCCCAGGAACGCCAGGACGGCGAAGAGGGTCGCCCACCAAGCCGCGTCTTTGCCCCACGCGTTACGGAACGTGTGCCGGATGGCGTAGGGCCCGAGAGTCCCCGCCGGATATATCCCGTCGAGGAACGCGATCCATGCGAACCAGCCCCAAGTTGTCACGAGGAATGAGGCTATCACCACGGCTGGCTTGTAATGCGTCTCCAAAATGCTGTACCAGCTTGTCAGTCTTCCACTCTGCTCGAACCGTTCGTGCCGTGCAGGTGTTGCCACTCACAACAACTTCCAGTTGATCCACAAGACCCCGACGGTAAAGGCCAGGGTTCCCAGCGCGTAGAGGCCCTCATCGCGGGCGCCCGGCGAGATCCATCCGTAGCCCGCCGAGACGCCGTGCCAGACAATGATGCCTTCCACGGCGGCCAGAAACATCCAGCGCAGGTACTTCCACATGTTCAGCCCCAAGTTGCGCTGCCCGTAGATATAGAGCTCCGGGACGGCCAGCAGCGTGTCGGCGCTCAGGTCCTGCTCCCAGATGCCCATGCAGATGGTGCAGAGGCTCGTGAACAGCGTGTTGAACACGGTCAAGCTAACCTCTTGATACAGCGAGGTGCCGCTGTAGCCATTGTACCTTTGATACTGCGCCGTTGGCAGGTAAAAGAACATTTCCTTCCAGAAGGTGCAGAGAATGAACTTTGCCGTGCGCACGTAGTTCCAGCGTCCGTGGACGAGGAGCAGCCTCTGCAGAAAACGAAACTGCGCAATGGCGTAGTCGGCGACTCGAGCAGCCTGCAGGCCCTCGTTACCCGAAATGCCTATGCCAACGTGGCTTGCCTGGATCATGGCGAGGTCGTTTGCGCCGTCGCCGATGGCCAAGGTCAAACCGCGTCGGTCTTTGCCCTTGGACGCGCCCAGCCGCGATCGCACGGCATGGACCAGTAGCGCCTTTTGTGCGGGCGAGGCCCGACAGCATATGACCGAGTCGACGAGAATCGCAATGGCGAAAAACTGCTTGGATAGCTCGACTGACTTCTCCACGACGCTTAGGGTCTGTCCGTCGACAACAACGACGCTGTGGACGGAACCGGCCTGCAGATCTTCGGCCAAAGCTGCCAGCTGCGACTCGACGGTGCTCTTCGCCACGTCCAGGACATACAAATCCGACCCCGGGCGGCAAATGCGCGCTGAATGGGCAATGTTGATGGCCGTTTCACGTTTATCGCCGGTGAGCATCCATATCTTGATGTTGGCTCGCCGCAGTCTGTCAATGGTTTCCGGGACGCCCTTCTGAAGCTTGTCCTCGATGGCAGTGGCGCCCACCAGGTCAAACGATTGTTCCATCATATCGCCCGCGGCCTCGATCTTTTCCTGACGATTGGTGAGGCTCGTCGTTGCGTCGTCATATAGCGTTTTCCACGCTCGGTAGTCCTGCTCCGACACGAACTTCTGAGCATAAAGCAGCGTTCGAAGACCCTCTGTCGCGAAGTCATCCAGATGCTTGAAGCATTTCGTGAAGACTTCCGACTCATCGTAGATGGCAGGATCATCGAGAAAGTCCAAGCGATCAGGCACGGGTCGGGTGTGAGTCGTCGGCGGGCTTGCAAACTGACTTCTGGATACGTCGAGCGAGACGCCCCGCGGGGACGCAGCCGATGCTCGTGCGCGGTCGACAGATGAGCGCGTCAGCTTGTTAATCTCAAACGACTTGCTTCTGGCCGACGGACGCCGGCCCACGCTCAAGTCCCTCGGCACTCCAGCATTCCGCCGCACGGTCAGGCTTGGTCTCCCACCAAAGCTGTTACGCGGTTCCTGCTGCTCACTGCGTCGATACAGCTCGCGTTCAAGGTCGGCGCTCTTCCGGACTTCGTTTGCCTTTTGCATCGCCAATGAGGATAGCCTCAGCCGCGGCAGAATAGCGGAGTCGGCACCCTTGCAGATGATGGAGATGCGTCCATCCGGATAGCGAACAATGATGGACATCCTCTTGCGCGCGCTGCTGAATTCGACCACATCCAAGACCTGGAAAACCATCCTTTCGTTCGGGCCGTTCGGGCGCGGAACCTGCAGGGTTATGCTTTGCGGCGTGCGCTGGGTCACCAGATAACCAAGTTCCTGGGCGGCCCTCACCAAAGCCAGCTCGTCTGGCGACGATGCCTGGAACTCAACCTTCCCGTCCTTTGTTTCAGGCAGGCAGGTGTGACAGATGGCAACGGCCAGCAAGTACTCTCTGGCCTTCCGGGAAAAAGCCGAGTGTGGACGGAGTCTCACATATTCCAAGAGGTCCGATGTGTTGACTTCAGGTTGAGCATGGTCAGGACGGCCAGTGGATCGCCAATGGGAAGACGGCCTTCGCCCGATGGATGATCGCGACGGTGACATGGGGACTTGGGCCGATTCACCACCATCCTCGGGGATGACTGTCGCGGTCGGCTCAGGCTTGTTCGGGGGCGACCTCCAAGTCGAGTGCCCATCGTTGGGATCAAAGGCGGGTGGGCGTTCGAGGTCTGCTTGCTCAAGGTCCATCTCGTGAAGCCAAACTGTACCCGCCACGCTCAGCTTGCGAAAATTCATGACGTTGTCCGTCAGAGTCCCAGTCTTGTCGGAAAAGACGTAGCCGACCTGTCCCAGGTTCTCGAGGATGGTGTTGGTGTTGCACCGCGCAGGCGTATCCGTCTCCTCGTGGTACATCTCCAGGTCCGAGTTGAGCAGGAGAAGCTGTCCAAGCTTGACAATCTCCAGGCTAATGTACAAGGATAACGGTACTATGTTGTTGAACATGATGATGAAGGCGATGATGATTTGGTGAAAGGGGACGGCCGCGCGATCCAAATACCACGCCTGGCGCTCGTAATGTTTTTGCCAGCTGAGGTAGCCCATCGAGACGCCAACCGAAAGTACAATGACGTAGATTGCAAGAGTGACGACGACCTTGTTGACGACCTTTTCGAGAGCGGGCCGCTTGGCACGCGGGTGCTGGTTCGAGTTCATCCGCAGCTTGCACTCCTCGCCCGTGTTGATAACCAGGCCGATTGCGCAGGTAGTGTTACGCAAGACGCTACCGCGGTAGACAACATCGTTGAGGGTCAGTGGCACGACCTTGCCATCGACGGTGACACGGCCGTTGAAGTTGAACAGATCCGGATTCGGATCCTCCACCACAAACTCGGCTCGGCATTTTGCGATGCTCTCGATGGAGTCACATCCGTCCAGGGCGTGGCACACTTGCTTCGTCTTGAGATTGGTTTCGCCGTCGAGAGCCATTGTGTCGACGTATGCAATGCCGTTGTTGCCGTCACTATGCAGCAGAACTAGGTCGGCGGGGACAGGTTCATCGCGGGACAGGCGGACAATGTCGCCAACCTTTACATGGCTCCATCTGGCGGCAAACCACCGGATGCCTTGAAACTCGTCGTCGGAAGCGACTATTGACTGAGTGGCGGCCTTGGTGCGGAGGGGGTTCCAGCGGTGCAGCGAATGCGTCGGCTTGGACGTGGCCATGTACTTGTCCTCGCGGCCAAGCAGGGTCGCCAAAGTGGCATTCTCCACCTTGTCCAAGCGGTGTCGCCTGTAGTCATCGAAGCCCTCCTTGGCGACGGTAAGCAGAACGAAGAAGAGCAAAGGCAGGATTGTCGTGAAGGAACCGGTTGTTGACAAGCCGGGAATCTTGACGGGAGGTCAGCTCAGTCCATTTCCCGAGGGAATGGCTTCAAGGGCCGCGGCACATACAGTTTGCGGGATGCCGACGCAGAGAAAGTAAAAGTTGCCGATGCGGGAGAACTGGAAGAGGAGCTGCTTCGGGATGAAGTCCCAGATGGTGTAGCGAGAGGTGCGCACATTATTGGAGACGTAGGCGTGGCCGCGGCGAGTGTCGACAAGCGGCTTCTCGTGCTCAATGGCAAGCGGAATGTGCCTCCCGTCCTTTGAGGCTCCAATGTGCCTTCTCCGCAAGATCAGCTCGACGACGGTAGCTTGATAGAGGACCCTGACGGCATCCCTGGCGCGTTGCCGCAAGGGCGGCCTGGAGGCATCGCTGTCACGGGCGAGAGACGAAATACGGGACAGACTGGCGGCATGGTAGCCGGGGCGCTTCTCTTGTGCCGCGGCACGGCCGGGCGACATGGCGGGCTGGGTCGACGAGGACGTTGAGGCTGGTAGGGTGAGCTGAGGCAGCGAATGGAGAGGACGCGTCACGGCTCGTCAAGACGGGGGATTCGGATTCGACATGCCCGCCAGGCGCAGCTCCCGACCTGCGGGCTCTGTCAAAAATCGGGCTTATTGATAGGGAGGTCCGCGATGGAGGTGCAGGCGGGCGAGGCGTCGATGATGGGGCCGAGGGGATTGGGCAGCGAGAGGCGTGAGGAGAGGCGACGCCGACATGAGGCTAACGAGCGTGTGTTTCCGAAGAGACAAGCGAGGGGAGAGCCCGGAGAATAAGGCGAAGCAGCAGGAGGGATGGAGAACAAGCGAGGGCAAAGGTGCCGTCGTCCATGTTGATCGAGTCCCATCCACGGAGGCTTTTGACAAGGGTGGAATGGGGAGGGAGCACTGCGGCCTGTACAGGATACACTCCACGAGGTACCCGGACCTTGGATCGTCGTGTCCCAGAGACTCCAGAGGTACCTCTTTTACTATGCGGAGTATGTGCACACATGCTAACTGCAGGCAAGCGGCTCTCGGTTGATGTGTAGCGCGACGGTTGATTGAAAGCGGGCAATGATTCTGCCTCTTTAATCGGCTCCATGCCCGTAGACCCGTCCTCTTTCTGTCCAGGAGTGTCCTATGACATAACTTACAGTACTTGCAGCCCGTGGGGAAATGTTGAAAGCGGCCCACCGGATACTTTGGGTGGGTGGAGCTGCAGATTATCGAAACGACGTGTACAGCTCAGCCATGTACTGCCTACCGCACTGCCGACCGCCAAGGCCAACGTCGTCATTGTGGGAATCAGGGAATCAACGTGAAGTCGACAGGCACAAGCTGCTGCCCTGCGGCGTTTAGAACGGACCTCTCGCCCTCTGAGACGACGCTTGTCCATAGAGTGCCGGTATTCAGACCGGCAGTGCCTCGCAACCAAGCGTTGCCAAGGGACAAACGAGTCCATGCCATGCGTACCAGGTAGCTGCCCTCTAGCTGCCCTCCTATCCGTCCGTACAGCTGCCATGGATCATGGATGTCGGCGCGTACAAGCATAAAGGGAAGACGCCGAGGAGCGTGGAACACGATGCTCATAACAGAACACGGGCTCGGACAACTACCCAAGAATACAGCCTCGCCAGCTGACCCATTGCCAGGTTCTAGGTCAGTTGTTGGCTCTAGCAGACTGACGGTGCCTCGAGTTGGCAGGTGCTCAAGACGAGGCACCTCGGCGTGGAATGTCCGGGCCGTACGGTGTAGACGCCCGAGACGGGGCACTGTACGTGCTGGCCTCGAAGCTGCCCGCAGATACGCCACGCCACGTGCTGAAGCTTCTTGACTAGCGTGCTGCTTGTCCCTGGCTGCTGCTCCCCCCTGACTGCTGCACTGTGGAGGTGGAGATGCAGATGCCAAAATGCCCGCCGTCGCCCGCGCCGCATGAACTTATAACGGTGCGCATATCGACGACTCCCTGGACATTGATGCCTTGATCGCAAACGGTTCTCCTTCAGCACGAGGCGAGAGGGACCTTCACCCCCTTCTCGGCGCCTGTCTCTTCTTCAGCCGCTGTATCCCGTACATGCAGCACCCTACAGCGCGATACTTCCACAAGTGCTTTGCGTTCGTAATGGAAGAATACGAGCTCCACCTCGGAACGGCAGCAGTGGATCAGCCTGCACGTCGTCAGCTCACCAAACCGTCGCAAAGGAATGGCGACTAAAGTCCGGCTTCGCCAGACATGAGGCTGCATCTGCCTCTCGCGCGCGGCCCCGGGCGGCCATGGCAGTACCTGCTGTAGGTACCTTCCCCCCATCAAGCCTCCATCAAGCCTCCATCCTCCACGTCAGGCTCTCAACAAGCTCTCCAAAAACTCAACCTCTCGCCCCTTTCCTCTCCTTGCTTCCCATTGCCTGCTTAGCCACGCCAGGTAGGTACACAAGGTAATGTGATTTGCCCCTCGCCTCCCTCCCGTGCTCCTCAACGAAATAAAAATCATATCAAATACCATTGCCACCCCGCCAAGATCAAGAGGCGAAAGCTTCCTCGCAGCCTCTTCCCCCGGGAGGCCAACCTCTTCGCCGCCCATCCATTCACAGCCAGCCACGACTCCCTCCGGCGTCACCCGAGCTCTCTCATCTACAGGACGCTCGTCCGCCGAATCCTGGCCTCGAGCCCAGCAGCCGCCCGCTCAGCCCCATGGCTCTCAAACACGTCCCTGATGGCCTTTCTGTCCAGTCCCGACGCCAGAGCAAGCTGCAGTTGGATGCGGCACCTGTTGGCGTCCAAGAGGCCCCCTCCGATGCAGCAGTCCTCCAGCCCATAGTTGGACGTGCCCCCGACAAAGCCCGAGGCCATCCGACGGCTCACCACCACTGGATAGTCCCTCGCCCTCACCAGCTCGGCCACCCTCCTGCCCGCTCCAGTCGCCCAGCACCCCCCGCCCATGGCGGCCAGCACCACCCCCTGCGACGTCTCGGCCGCCGTCTTGAGCAGCGCCGGGTTCATGTCGAGGTGCCCGTACAAGATATCCACCTGCGGCAGCCCGTCCCTGGGGTTGCGGTCCGCCACGTTGAAGTAGCTGCGGTTGAGCGGCCGGCAAGGGGGGTAGTAGAAAATGGGCTGCGTGTTGACAAACATGCCCAGGTAACCCTGCTCCACGGCCCTGAAGCTGTCGAGCGAGTTGGCGTTCGTCTTGGTGGTGAAGCGCGCCGAGCAGATGCGGTCGTTGAGGGCAATCATGACGCCCCGTTTCCGCGCGCTCGGGCTGGCCGCCAGGTTGACGGCACACAGCAGGTTCATGGGCCCGTCGGCGCTGTAGGCCGTGGCCGGACGCATGGCGCCCACGAGCACCACGGGCTTGTCCGAGTTGATTGTCAGCTCGAGGAAAAAAGCCGACTCTTCCAGCGTGTCTGTTCCATGCGTCACCACAACGCCCTGCGTGTCCCCCTGAAGCTCCCTTTCAATCGTTTGGGCCATGCGCACCAGGTCCTCTGCCGTCATGTCGGGACTGCCCACGTTGGCAATCTGCCGGCTTCGGAGCTTGGCCACCTTGCCCAGCTCCGGGACCGCCTTGATGAGCCCGTCGACGGACAAGACGCCCGACTTGTATCCCGCCGTCTGCCCGGCATAGGTCCCGGAACCGGCGATGGTGCCGCCCGTGCCCAGAACGGTGATCTTGGGGGGCATGGCAAATGCTGGCAACTGCGCTTCTGCAATCTGGCTTGGCGGATACCCCGGCGCCCCGAGTCGTGAGCAGGGGGCCAAAGGACGTTGAGCTGGGCGGGAGGGCGGCTCTGGAGCGCAGGAAATCTTGTGGAACTGTCGTGGTGGTTTCTGTGGTGCCGAGGCCATGATGCCGTTAAAGGGCGAGCCCATCCACGAGCGAGACCTTGTACAACGGGCAGCCGTGAGAAAAGCTCGTTCTCGTGCCTTCCTCATCGTCTTCCGCCCTCCGCTCTCCTTCTCCACATCGTCATGTTTTGAAGTGGGCCTGTTTGCCTGTCGCTTTCGCCGGGTCAGTCCACCGGCTGTCTTCCTCGCGTTCTTGCGCCTCGCCCTGGACCGCCTCGCCGAACTGTATTTGCCTTTGTCTCCAATGGACGGGCACGCGCGTTTGGCAGCGAGGACGGGCATGGAACTCTGGAACCTACCTTTGCCCATGTAGAATTCGCTGGACAAAGCTCCCCCGGCGCTGCAGGTGGACGTCGAGCATGTTGCCGGCGCTGCAGTTTGTCCCGAGATGCGGTACACATGGGGAACACAGCTGGACGAATCGGTCGAGAATTTTGCCTCAGACCTGTACCACTCACCGCCCTCGGGCCACTAGGCCCAAGGCCCCTTGAAAAAGCCTGCCAGGGAGCAGCTCGTGACCGGACAGTGGCCGGGCATCCCTTCGAGGCGCGCGAAAAGCACTCTCAGCAAACCACACCTCGACTTGCTCACGCCCGGACCCCCACACCATCGGGCTTGTCGTGTGTGCGACCGAGGAGAGCCCTTTATTGGCTACCGAGCGTCCGCTGCATGGCCCGCAACATCATACGTGGCCCCGTTTTAGAACACAAACCTACAAATCCTCCGACCCTCCGTTACGCAAGCTCGAGTGGCCCAGGGTTGCTGGACGCCTAATAAAGCGGCTTCGGTGCCGCTTTCATGGATGCTCAGCCGCGAGTCACCTGCAGCGCTTTGGAAGCTGGTTCTGGGATAAAGGCAAGGCGGACGGGTCATGGCAAGGCTCCATGGCCACCCACTTGAATCGTTGGCCCTGCCCATAGAGATATATTCAAGGCCCCTGGGGGTTTTTCTTGTTTGCCGCCGCAGATAGCAAGGGGTCCTGCGTGTTTCACTGGGATCAAGTGCCGGCGAGTGTCAACATCACGCCAGGCCTCAGGGGTCTAGAACGCTGCAAAAGACCATTTTCTGCACGAGGGTTCTACCAAAGTACCAATCTGAGCCCGCTGGCTTCTACAGCCCAACGCGCGGGAATTATCAGGAGAAGAAGAGGCACACCAAAGGACAGCCCGCCATTGGATCCCCCGGCTTCAATCGCAAAAACGCCATGCATGAACCGCCGCGTCCCCGAGCCCGCTACAAACAGAAAGCCCCGCTTGCGTGTACTGACAGACAATGGTAGGCCCGCCTCGGAGGCTGATGTCGGCCTGAGGACGCCCTTTGTGCGCCATAGCCCGCCCACGCACCACTCACGGGGCCGACACAAGACAAGGTGAGCCGCGAGGCTTTTTCTATGCTTGCACCTGCGGGATGTTATCCATGCTGGCGCCGTCGACAAGCCACTCCTTCTTGATCAGCTGCTCGCGGGCTGCAAAGAGGTGCTTGTATGCCGTCTTGACGGTGCCGTCGCTGACGCCCGCCTGTTTTGCGATGGGCATGGATGACCGCGGCTCACCGATGAGGTGGCATGCCATGTAGATGCACGCGGCTGCGACCGACAGGGGCGATCTTCCGGCCAGGGCCGAGATATCATTGGCCTTTTCGGCAAGGTCCCTGGAGATTTTCGACACCTTTTGCTGCTTCTTGAAGCCAAGCTGCGACACGTAGCGGCCGCAGAGGTCTTCGGCACCCACCGACGTATTCTCGTAATTGGTGACCGTGTTCAGCCCCGTGGCGCCTTCCCCTTCCGTGTCCTGCAGCTTCTGGAGGAACTTTTGGAGCTGCTTGAAGACCCTGCCCACTTCCTTCTTGCTCACGCTGGTCAGGTTGAAGATTTCCCGAAAGGTCCGCGGCACGTTGTTCTGTCGGCACGCAATGAAGATGCAGCCGGCAATGACGGCCTCCTGCGGCTTTCCCTTCATGAACTTGTACTTATCCACGAGCTTGAAGATGTGCTTGGCGGCGTTGGAGACGTTTTGGCCCATATTAATGGCTTCGCAAAGCGAGACAATCTCCTTGTAGGCCTGCATCAGTCCCTTTTGCGCCTTGTCTTGGTTGGTGTTGTTCTGGATCCGGGACAGGGCCTTGTGGGCCTTTGACTCGGAGAAGGCGACGGTCGTTGCCAGCTGTTGCCCCTCGACGAACTCGTCCTGCGGTCCGCCGACACGGCTGGGGTCGTCACCACCATGGTCGTCGTTTGCAAAGGTACGCCACTCGGAGCGGGTGTCGATGATGCGAGTGCCGACAACGACGCCGCAGCTCTGGCAGACCATGTCGCCGCTTGAAAATTCCTCGACGAGATTGGGCGGTATCTCCTTGCAGTCTGGGCAACAGAGGACGTTGCTGAGGTCTTCCTGGAACCCCCCACCGTTTCCGTCTCCGCCTGGCGAGATCATCTTGGGCGCGTATGGCTTGGCCGTATAGATATTGGTCAACTCGTCAAAGACCTTCCGAGCACGCTTGGCCTCCTTCTTTCGCTTTCGAAGCTGCCGCCTCTTCTTCTCTACTGCCTTTCGCGCTGCCGAAGCTGCGTCGCCGTCGAGGTCGCTGTGCCAAAGGCGATCGTGAATGAGCTGAACAAGAAGTGGCGAATGCACTTTGGCGGTTGTGTGTATGACTATGGACTCTAGGTAGGCCGCGAGCGTCACGGCGCGGCGACGCTGGAGATGGAAACGAGAGGCTTTGTCTTGATCCTTTGAGAGTTCGATGGCCCTTTGACGACGTGGGCACGCGGGCTCCAAGGCGTCGAGGCCAGGGCAGGCTTTCTTTCCGCCTCTCTCTGTCTCTTACGATTCTAGGTGCGGTCGGTGCGACACGGAGCGTTGGGAGTCGATCCCAGGATCTGGGCGAGGCGCGAGGCGGCGTCTCGAGATATATTATATTCTATTGAAATTTTTTCGGCTTCCAGACAGCCGCGAGCTTGGAAGGTTTCACGGTCGGGAGTCGAGGACGGCACGCGTAGGTTGGAGGTCAAAGACTTTAGGTGCCAGCCGACTGTTCTGTACCAGTAAAGGCGTCTGAGAAAAACTCAGATCAGCGAAGAGTCGGCTCGAAGTGGTCGTCGCGATCGCTCGAGGGCGGTGACGCCAGCGCTGTGACGAGGAGAAAGCGAGGGCGGACCGACTTCTGGCGGCAAAGGAGAGACTGGCAAGGGAGGCGAGGTTGATGCAGGAGGATGGTTTGACGGGGCGGACGGCCAGGCGGAGACGCCGGCTTTGTGCTGCTAGCGGCAACCTGAGTGAACTTTCAGGGAGGGGCCGCTGAGTAATTGTGAGGCGGAGGATGAACGGGCCGGTGGGCTACATGTGTCAGATGCTTTCGGAGTACAGGAAGCAGTAGGTACATCCACTTAGGTACCTTGGGTACTTCGCTTGTACTCCGTGCGCGACCCAGAATCCGAACCCTTATCTAATTACTCCATGCACCAGGCTGGGATTGGCCAATTCCGGGCCTGACTCATGGGCAATTCGCAATCAATGGAAGCGCTTGTACAGGTCGCTTCCCCAGCACAACGTCGCCAATGGAGTCTCATCAACGGCACCTGCTAATACAACCCAATCGGGTGGGTCATCAGGGCGAAATCTGAGAAATTCGAGCCTTAAGACGCTCGCGTTGCCCCGAGAGCATTGTTCTCGCCATTTGCAGTCCTCAAGGCTCTCGATCCAACTCCTTTCCCCGCCATCACCAATCATGGCGTCTCCCGTCATCGGCCAGGGCCAGGACGGCCTCCCCCCCGTTGATATCAAGCCATTGTTGACCAAGCTCTGGCCAGTCGACTCCGAAGTCAGTCCGGGTGAGATTGCCGAGGCCATCTCACACTTCTTCACCAACCAGGTCAGCGAGGCCCAGACAGCATCGCTGCTCATGGCCCTTCACTTCACCCGAATGGACTTTCGCCCAGACGTCCTGGCCGAGTGCGCGCACGTCATGATGCACGCGGCTGCGCCCATCCCCGTCAAGGAGCTTGGGCAAGTGCTTGAGCGCCGGGCCCGGAAGGAAGGCAACTACAGAGGCGGACTGGTAAGGCTCACGGACCCATGTCGCGTCGCCAGGCTTCAACAACTGACCTGCTACGCCTCAGTGCGATATCGTTGGCACAGGAGGAGACTCGCACAACACCTTCAACATCAGCACCACCTCGTCCATCCTTGCGTCCGCCCTTGTCATGGTCTCCAAGCACGGCAACAAGGCCAGCACGTCCAAGTCGGGCAGCGCCGACATGATCAACTGCATGAAGCCCCAGGCCCCGGTCTTGGGCGCAGTCAAGCCTGACACCCTGACCAAGGTGTATGCGGCCACCAACTACAGCTTCCTGTTCGCGCCCGTCTTCCACACCGGTATGCGATACGTGGCCCCCGTCCGGAAGCAGCTCCCATGGAGGACAATCTTCAACAACCTGGGACCGCTGGCCAACCCCGTAGAAACCGTGCTCGAGGCACGAGTCGTCGGCGTCGGCCGGCGAGATCTCGGCCCCGCCTTTGCCGAGGCGCTCCGAAGTACCGGCTGTCAAAAGGCCCTGATTGTCTGCGGAGAAGAGGAGCTGGACGAGATTAGCTGTGCGGGCCCAACACTCTGCTGGATACTCAAAAGCCAGACTCCCGGGGGCCAGGTGGAGGTTGAGCACTTCAGGCTCGAACCCAAGGACTTTGGCGTTGCATCTCATGCGCTCAGCGAAGTGTCGTCGGGCAAGGAACCGGCCGAGAATGCCGAGATCCTGAGCCGAATCTTGTGCGGCCAGCTTGCCGAGGACGACCCTCTCATGGACTTTGTGCTGATCAACACGGCGGCGCTTTTGGTCGTGTCCGGCATTTGCGAAGCCGACAGCAGCAACATGGGCCACGGGGACGACGGGAAAGTCGTCACGGAGCGCGGCCCTGCCGGCCAGCGGTGGAAGGAGGGGGTGAGGAGGGCCAGGTGGGCCATCAAGAGCGGCCAGGCCTGGAAACAGTGGCAGGCGTTTGTGAAGGTGACCAACGAGATTGGAGCCTAGCCGCCCACTGCTTCCGCTCTGATGCGGCCCGGCAGCTGTCCACCAGCAACCCCGACCAGTGCGCGCAACTCGGCGACCTTGAGGTCTGGGAGTCGTACGGGTCGCTTCTGCTTCCTATTTCTGTCGATAACCGACGGCACGTGGCAAGCACTCGGCTGTGCCCAGGGGAGATGCCGCGGGCTGACGAGCCGAGGTGGGCACTCAGAAGATGCTCGTCGAGGGTGGATGTGATTGGTTCCAAGGGCATGTTGGGGCATGTTGGTGGTGCGCTGTGGCCCGGGAGGTGCCATTTCGCGGGGCGGCCCGATGCGCCTCAGAAGACGTCGTTGTCGGCTGGGGCCGGAATGACTTGGCGTTATATTACTACGTATCCGTAATCCAGGCCGACATGCTCGCCAGTAGTATCAGCTTGTCAGTTTAACGCCGGGGGCCCTGCCTGCGCTAGTAGGCCGCAGAACGATGATTTCTGGGGTTAGTAGATGCAGAGTGAGCAAAGTCCCTGGTCAACGGCATCTGCCACTGCTTAGGTCAGGCCTCTGTAATGCCGCAGCTACTACTCCGTGCCGCCTCCTGAGCTGCCGGAGGCGCGCCAAGCAGACTTTCATCCGTCTCTCCCGTCCCCTCTGCGCCACTCGGCCCTCCATCCCAATAGTTGCCGCCGCCGCCCTCCTTCGCCCACCACCACCGCCAAGCCTACTCGTTCGGGGCGGTTCGAGGGCCATGTCTTGCCTCGCCCGATACCTACGCCCCGCCCCGGCGGCCCGGCTGCTGCCCACCGCCACGGCGCTCCGGGATCTCCGTCGCCGATACTCGACGCCCGCGAGCGGCGCGCTGCCCCTGCAGGGCTATCGAGTGCTCGACATGACCCGTGTGCTGGCTGGTGTAAGTCGTCGACCACCGGGTCGTGTTGTTCTTTTGCTGACGTTTTCATCACTGCCTTTCACAGCCCTACTGTACGCAAATCCTGGGCGATCTCGGGTGAGCTCATTTCGTCTTCTCAACTTTTTTGATGGGCTCTTTATCCTTTTTTTAAAAACAAACAGGAGAGGACTCAGATGCTTTGTCTGGAGTCGCAGACTCATCCATTACCTATTCGCATGCGCTAACAGTCGATTGACGACAGGGCAGAGGTCATCAAGATTGAACACCCCGTCCGCGGAGACGACACCAGGGCCTGGGGACCTCCGTACGCAGAGTACAAGCCGGATTCCACCGCGCAGGGCCCCGGCGAGTCGGCCTACTTTCTCGGGGTATGTGATCCACGCCGGCCCTGAACCCAGTCGTCTGAACCCAGTCGTCGACATGATGCTCATGCTCGTCAACCATTTCAAGGCCAATCGCAACAAAAAATCCCTCGGCCTCTCCTTTCAGCACAAGCAAGGCGTCGACATTCTCCACAAGCTCGTCGCCAAGTGCGACATTGTCGTCGAAAACTACCTCCCGGGGACACTCAAAAAGTACTCCCTGGACTACGAGACGCTCCGCGCCATCAACCCGAGCCTGATTTATGCCTCCATCACCGGCTACGGCCAGACGGGGCCCTACTCCAACCGCGCTGGCTACGACGTCATGGTCGAGGCCGAGTTCGGCCTCATGCACATCACTGGCTCCCGCGACGGCCCTCCCGTCAAGGTTGGCGTGGCCGTGACTGATCTCACCACCGGCCTCTACACCAGCAACAGCATCATGGCCGCCTTGCTGGGCAGGGCCAGAACCGGCAAGGGCCAGCAAATTGACGTGGCCTTGAGCGACTGCCAGACTGCCACCCTGGCCAACATTGCCAGCAGCTGCTTGGTCAGTGGCAAGCGAGACTCGGGTAGATGGGGCACGGCGCATCGTAAGTCAGCCCCGGTCTCACCCATGCATGCCCTTCCTCAAGCTCATCACGGACCTTTCCCTCATAGCATCCATTGTGCCTTATCGGTCTTTCAAGACCAAAGACGGGGACATCCTCTTTGGCGGCGGCAATGACCGTCTGTTTGGCGTCTTGTGCGACGGGCTCGGCCGGCCGGAGTGGAAAGACGACGCCAAGTTCAAGACAAACGCCGACAGGGTGGCCAACCGCGCGGACCTCGAGGCCGAGATCGAGGCCCTCTCGCAACAAAAGACGACACAGGAGTGGCTCGAGGTGTTCGAGGGCAGCGGCATGCCGTACGCGGCCGTCAACGACGTCCAGGACACGCTGAACCACGAGCACACGAGGGCGCGCAACATGGTGGTCGAGATGGAGCATCAAGCCTGCGGGCCCATCAAAATGGTCAACACGCCCGTCAAGTTCTCCGAGAGCCAGCCCACAATCCGCGCCGTGCCGCCCATGCTGGGCCAGCACACGGACGAGCTGCTGAGCGAGCACCTGGGTCTGGGCGAGTCGGAGATTGCCAGGCTGAGGCAGGATGGAGTTGTTAGATAAAGGGCCTTCTTCTCGCTCAGTAGCGGAGAAATATAAAGGGAAGAGGCCTCCGCCTTGAATGAGCCCATTTATTGCCCGAGGTGGTCGAGTGACTTCTGGTACTACAAGTCATTTTGCGGTTGCCGAGTTGAGGCCATCACGTGATTCTCGCACGTGCCGGCCTGTCGTCTATTAATACATGCAGAACTACGGGTCGATCCTCTCCAGTTCAGTCGCCCATCGACTCATCAATTGTAAGAGAAGCTACTAGAGAGAAATCGATAATCACGGCCCACGGACTCATCCATCGCCTCAGTTGCCGTCTCTGCTTTACACGAATCCGTCTCTCGTGGCGTCTCACTCGCCACGTCAAGTCTTCTTCTGACCGATCCCCGAAGCCATGAGATGACATTGCCATTGTCGGCAGACCTCGCCAGCGAAATGGACATGTCTCCTTCGACGGTCGAGGTTTCGTCGGCGCCAACTGCCCCGAATACCGAGGGAAGCGATGCCCTCAGAGATGCCGCCTCGTCGCAGGCAAGTCCAGCCTACAAGCCCCAGTTCTCCGCGTCCAGCTCATGGATACTCGAGCGGCTGAGGAACAGCGAGGATGCACCGGACTCTTCAAATGTCCCCTCGCTGCCTGTATCTGCCGTAAAGGGAGAACCTGACAATCTCGCGATGCAATCCACGCAGCCCATGGCTTCTACGCTGGCCATGCCCGAGCCCAGAGCCCAGCAACCCCTGGCGGGCGTGTCTGACATTGCGAAGCGCTTGATACACTTCCGCCCTCCCAGTCTGAAGAGAAAGCGCAGTTCAGATGATCTCGAGGCCGACTTTACTCAGAATACAGTTCCCTTCCGCGTCCCTGCCCCGGCCAGGCTCCCTGAATTGACCACCTCGTCACTGCACCTCAAGGAAGCGTCAGAGCTTGGCAGCGCCCGCCACTGTTCCAAGTGCGGCCAAAGCTCGCTCCCGTCCGAGGACAATGCTTTCATCGCATGCATCGGCTGTCAAAGTTGGTCACACCTGCAGTGTGCATCTGCCACGACCGATATGGCAGACAATGCAAACTACCTGTGCTTAGATTGCAAAATGGGCCCTGGAAAGGAGAAGCAAACTGGCGCCGAGTACGCGGAGGCGCATGAACGTCAACTGTTAGTCAATAGGATTCGAAACAAACGGCTGTCCAAATTGCCCGCCGGCGTCGTTCCAGCCAAGCCTGAGTTGGTCGGCTTTCTCGCGAAACAGGCCTCGGACTCTGAGGTAAGTATCGCCTCACTTCGTGCTCGTGCTATGCTACGATGATGGCTGACCAACCCTCTAGCGTACGGAATATTTTTACAGCAAGAAGAGAAGGGACCTGCTCAATATCCTATCACTCTGTGACCAGCTGAAGCCTCAACTACTCGTCGACATCCTAGTCTCGGTGTCTAAGAAACACCCTGATCTACCCATATTTGACGATCCGGATTGGAGGGCCAACTTGCCCAGCCGTGCCGCGCACCCAAAATCCAAATCGACAAGCCAGAGCGTGCGGGTGTTCAGCCAGCCGAGGCATGGACTCGCTCTACTACATGCAAAAGAATCCCGAAAACCTAGGGGTCGCCCAAGGTTGATGAAGCAGAACGCCGTGGCTGAGGCGGAGGTGGTGAGTGCCGAAATAGCAGTCGGGTCTGCGGGGGATGGAGGAGAAAACTCGCTCCCACCGACGTGGCCCCAGGCCGGCCAGGGGCTGTACGCCAAATTACCCCCGGAAGACGAGGACAGGGATTTTCTGGTGGACGACAACGACGAAGAGGCGTTCAGCCACTTTATGGTGGACAAAATGGGGAAGCAGATGGTTGTTTCAGTCTGTGCTTGAATGTCGACGGAGCTGCTCGTGTACTGTCTCGTCCGCAGCTGCTTGAAACCTGGTTCGGTATGTGGCAAGCAATCCCAAGAAACATTCCTCACTTATGATTCATGTCAGAAGACTGTAGCGAATGTCGCGTCTCTCGAAAGCAGCAAAGGTCAAGTCCTGGTCACGGCGAGTTTGGGATGATGTGGACGCCGCATGGCTAATTATGATTGTTGCTCTAACCCCTGAATCGCAACGCTGGGGGCAATGGAGGCACATAGGCGCTCCGAGTAGTAAGAAGAAGATATGTACATCATTAAGCATGGTCGTCGAGATCCTCAGACGGATGCTCTGTTCTTCTCCATCTGCCACTTTACCGGCAGCCAACCAATTTTCGCCAAAAGACAACTCCCTACATGCTTGTTCACCCTCCCTGGGCTGCTTAAGAGCAGTTGCAGTTGAAGATGCGGAGGAGGCCGCCGAGCAGGCCGCCGACGAGGCAGAGCAGGCCGTCGACAGCAACGGTGACGACAACCTTGGCGGCGTTCACGATGAGCAGGATGTTGGGGAGGATGCAGAGGCCAACGAGCCCCTCAAGGTTGGCGCCAATCTCGGCATCGACGTCGATGTAGTTCTTGCAGCCCTTGGTGCTATAGGAAACGCAGTCGAAGTTGCACTTGCCGAGGCCGACGGCGCAGAAGACGCCGCCGAGGTTGCCGAGCAGACCGAGAGAGACGTGGGCGGCAACGTCAGCCTGGAGGACGGAGTGGCCGAAGACGTTGGTGTTGAAGAGGACGACGGCGTCGATGACGCTCTCGAGGTAGAGGCCGGCCAGACCGGCGACAACGGCCTTGAGGTCGACGCTGATGTCGGCCTCGACGTCAATTTCGACGAGGGCGGAAATCTCCAGGGCAATGTCGGCGGCGGCGACAAAGGCAATGGTGTTGAGGCTGGCCTGGCAGTACTCGTGCTTGCGGCTGTACTTGACGATGCGGTAAGGGGAGATGGCGCAGTAGGTGTCGAGCTTGACGCCCTTGGAGCCATAGACGTCGGTCTTGGGCTCGGGCCAGGCGCCCGTCAGGCGCTTGCCGCCGCACTTCTTGGACTTGTGGTCGAGCTTCTGGCCCGGGGCGCAGGCACACGACTTGGTCCAGGGGCAGTAGCTCAGGCCCGAGGGGCACTTGAAGCTCTTGGCGGCGCGGCGCGCGGCATCGACCTTGCCATCGGCGTGGCGGGAGACAAGGACGTCGACGTCGGCATCGACGTCGACGTCGGCAAGCTCCTGGCGGCGGTCGAGGAAGTCGGCGTCATAGATGTCGGCGTCGTCACCATCGGCATCGGTGAAGCTGCCATGGTGGACCGGGAGGACCTTGGCATTGACATCGACGTCGCCATCGACGAGGCCATCGACATTGACGTTGGCGTCAGCAGTCACGTCGGCAACGCCAACGCCAGCGGTGGCCGTGCTGGCCAGGAGGCTGGTGATGGCAAGAGAGAAACGCATCTTTGCGAATAGAGAGGCAAGGTCGAGGGGAAGGAGAAGAAAGCAAGGCTGAAACGAGGGAAGAGAGCGAGTGACTAGTGCTGTAGAAGCAACTGGGGAAAAGAGCGATGGCTTGGTGAGGCTGGTGAGGATGAAGTGAGAGGAGAGAGAGGCAAGGGGGCCGGGCAGAGAGGCCTTATATAGGCGGAGATGGAGACGACGATGGGCCCCTTTTCCCCTGTGGCGATGTCGACTCGGACTTACACGGCCGTCATGGATGCGGTGTCCTCCCTAGGGGGTGTGGGAGGAGTCGTTGTCACTCGGCAGTGCCAGCTGGTTGCCGAAGAGATCCAACCCCCTTTCTCACACACACACACTCTCTCTCACTCTCCCTCTCTCTCTCATCCTCGTCTGTCCCCGCTCACGTCCCCGCCTCTCCCCACTCCCGCAAATTCAGCTGAACAGCCAAGCAGCCTCGACTTGGCCATGACAGGCGTGAGGCGTTGGGTCTCTGGATATACCGACGGGCCCGTGCTCGGCCGAACCGACATGACGGGAAGGGGCAGGGATGTCTGTGTGCGTGCGTGGCGAATGTGGGAAAAGGCGCGGGAGGTCAATTTTACCGTGAGGGCCCGGTCCACCGGATGATGGGCTCCATTTACGCATAAACACGGACGGACGAGGTCGGATCGAGGACCAACACGGGGGCCCATTGTCGATGACATGGGGGGGCACGGCCGGCCACTGGATAGACGGCTATGGGCCTGGCCGGTGAGGAGTTTTCCTGCCAGTCGCTTGCCGCGAGCTGAGGAGGAAGAGCGTCGTGCAACAAGAGAGGGCCCGTGACATGCTTCGTGTCCCCGTAGCACGGCGGCGGCGTGTCTGCGAGGTACGGCAGTTGCAAAGAAAGCCCGTGCTCCACGCACCGACGGCCTGACGGCCAAGGCAAGGAAGATGCCGGGGCAATCTTACTCTTTCTTGCTTGTCTGCTCTCGACGGCGTGGATCCCATCCAGGGGCAACCAACCAACGACCGTCCTGGCTGCTCTTCGCACATGAGAGTTTTGGGGGGGGGAGGGGGAGGGAGCTTGGGCGTGGATGAGGCCGCCGCGGCGGACATGTTGACGCTTATTCAATGGGGCGCGAAGGCCGTCATCTTATGTTTTGCGCTGTTGGTTCGTGGTTTGGGGGAAAGGGGGCTCGGGTTGTGGTTATTTTGGAGCCCCGAGTGCACGGCTTTTCGTGAATGGCCGAGGAATGGGGGCCGGAAACACTGTAGCTAGCCCAACATAGACCAGAGGCAGGGCAACCAGGGGGGAAAGCAGGCGAGGCAAGGGGGTGGTTGGTTTGCTGCTGCTGCTGCTGCTGCTGTTGTTGTTGTTGTTTGTCCGGAGCCTGCCGCTTCCCGCTCTCCTTTTTTTCCCACCATCTTCTCTTTGCACATGGGCAATGCAAGTGCAGTCTCCATTAAGAACCTCCGCATGTTGTACCTGTATGTTTGACTGTCTGTCTGTATGTATGTTGTCATGGCACGTACGGTGACACTGCCTCGCTCGGACATGTAAGGGCAAAGCAGGCATCCGAATGGCAGCCGGCCCCTGAGCCGGTCATGTACAGAAAGGCATCCATCATATGTACCGTCTGGCGGGTGCATGCTCCTCGTCTCGGGCCGTGGCATCTCCGTCTGCCTGTCCATCCATCATCCATCAGATCTGAGCAGCCAATGAATGCCCAGGCATGTGAAAACAACACATGATGCTCATCATCAGCCAACCAACGAGGCGAGAGACGAAGCGAAAAAATCATACTCTGCCGACATCTCTCTCTCGGCCCTTTTGCTCTCTTTCGCCTCCTCGCCTTCTGTAATCTCTTGGAATTCTTTTCCATCTCAGCAAAACATGACGGGAAAAGGAACAATGGCAAGGTGGGGGAAACTGCGATCTTCATTGTCATGCGGCAGCCACCAACAGCCAACACAGGCCTCGCTCGCCTGTCGGTCGATATATCCCTCTGCCTCCCTCTGCTGCACTGCGCTGAGCTGACCCAGGGCCATGCACGTGTGCGTCACATCTGCTGTGCGCCGGCTGTCGTGCACCTCTGTGGCCGAACCGTCTGCCGCCGTCATCGCCTGCTGTGGCACTCGCCGTCTCTCGTCTCCTTTTCCTTTTTCCCGCTTCCTTCATCGCTCTCGGCAAGCGTCGCCGTCCAATCGCCCATCGTGGCGCGCCGCATCGCTGTCTTATTGCTAGCTGCGATCCGAAATGTCCTGCTGCCTGGCAGGGCAGGGATAGCCCTTTCTCGGGCTGAAAGAAAAAAGCAGGCCCGCAGCCCGAGGGGAAAACAGCATGTAAGCCATGTGGGTTGAGAGACAAGAACCAAATGACAAATGAATCATGATATGACCGGCTCATGTCTCACGACCAATGCCTGGCCTTCCATTCTCGTCCTCGGCCAGTCACCAACGAAAGAGACAGAGAGAGAGCTGGGGAGAGGAAGAACACAACCCAGCCCCTGGTCCCCATGGTCCATCGCCATCTTCCAGACGAGTCTCTCCCGTCATCTCCCGCAACTGTTGGCAGACGATGCCCCCTTTTCCGTAGTGGCTTCGGCTCTTTCAATCAACATCAAATGGCTGCCACCGCCAAATACACTTGTCTCTGGCGGGCGAGACTGTCTCGGTACCGCCGCAGATGACTCGGGTCACGAGACGTCCACTCCCCAAATACGGCATCGCCAAACGAAACATTGCCCTGTATCGAACCGGTTGGTCCCCGTTGAGCAAGGGAGGAAAAGAAAAGGAAAGTTGAGCCTAAAGTTGGCTCGTCGTTGCGTGCGCTGCTCAGCAGCTAGCTAAAGTAGATCATGGCCTTGCTTCAACTGCTCATGCCTGCCGTTGAAAATCTCTCCGCCCAGTTGCTTCTCTTCGTCTTCGTTTCATTGGCTGTTTGCTCTGATCCCTTCTCTCCTGGTCCCTTCTCTTCTGCCCAATCCATGGCTTGTTGCGGGGCCCGTGAAACTCTCCCATGGAGCTGTATGGCTCGGCTCAGACTTGCCTTTACAACGTCATCGCCTGGTTGCCAGTGACAGCGCTCGGAAGGAACCAAGGGTTCGCTTTCGCAAACGCACATGTGATCCCAATGAGGCCATCTTCTGCACCACAGCTCGGAAGTATCTGTTTCGTGTCATCACAGCCACAGCCATTGACGCATCCGGACACTTGTCCCGGGGCTTCATCACCATGAGATGAGTGTTGTTCCCTTGACTTTGCCACTCTCCATCTTGGCCGTCCTGGCCCCAAACTGAATCTGTCCAAGGCCGTCAGTTGACTGTTTTTATGGAATAATCAAAAAAGACTAGCTGACGAAAGGACGCTCCGGTAATTCCACTTACTGCTCGCTTCTTCTCCCCTGCGACGGTTCCCATGCCCAATTCTTCCGCCAGCAGCCGCAAGACCCTCTTGCCAGGCTCGACGCGCTCGTCGGGACCTTGGTTCTCAAAGTCACACTTCTCCCACACGGGAGACTCGATGGCCCACCTGGCCAGGCCTTCGTCAAGGTAGGGAAATCTCACCTCTCGTTCCCAGTGGGCCATGACTCTGTCGTCTCGGCCCAGGTTCCTCTTGCCCACGCGGCCCATGTCCAGTTTGAGCTCTTCCACGAGGCCTGCGTAGCCCTGTCTGGAAAAGGCCGTGGCATGGCGGACGTACCCTCCGAAGAGCTCGTCTGCGCCAAGTCCAGAGAGCAACACGCGGGCTGTCGTCGAGTACGGGCGACCTTCTGAGCCGGGGCTCTCCTGGCAGAACCCCTGCCCCCTGGCAGCGAAGTACAGAGCGTAGGCAATGGAGAGGTCCATTTCAGTGTTGTGAGGAGACATCAAATCAATGACTTCACTTCTGTGACTAGATACGAGAGAAAAGGGGACGTTCACCTGATTGAGGGATGAGCCAAGTCAAAAGACGATGGGCGGTCAAGGTTGACTCACGCAAACGAGACGCCATGTCCTTTGGGGACAAACTTGCAGCAGCTCCTCAAAGGATTGTCGGCCCGTGACTCGGTCGGGACAAAGCTCGCACAGGTCGGCTTGTGAGGCACTTGGATGTCGCGCGGCTATCCTGGGGTTCTCGAACGCCACACTAATGAGGTCAATCACTTGGTCAATAGGAAGAATATCACTGGTGAGCCGGGCCAGTACGGTGCAGTCGAGGCCTCCGGAGAACAGAATTGCAATCCTGGCATCACAGGGCGATGCCTGAGGCGGCACGGGCACGTGGAGCACTCGAGGCTGTAGGGACGCTTCGAGCTTGTGCCGTAGCTGAGCCACCGAATGCGACTTTCGAGTCAACTTGACGTTGGTAGTGGGAGTGGCAGCGTTGAACACGCCGAGACTGGACACCTGGGCAGCCGAGTTCTTTAGCATAAGCAAGCAACGACGGAAGGCCAAGACTGACAAGGGCGGGATCTTGGGCCCAAGCACATCTAGCAGGGACTAGTTCAGCCGACACGTCGGTACGCGCATCGAGTTGGAGAAAATAGCACCCGTCAGCTTCGACTTCGACCCAGCCAGCCGCTGGCGACCCGGCAACACTTGAGAGCGAAAATGGGTCCCCGGGCTTGATTAGCAGAGACCGACGTCCCAGGCGATCCCGCCCGTAGTAGAGACGCCTTGCGGGATAGTCGAGATATATGAAGGCAAAGGGACCCTCAATGGCACGAAGCACGTCGAGGACGCCGTCAACGTGGCCCCGGTCAGCGGCACTCAGCTGGGATAAGACGGCCTGGGCGTCGTTTCCCTGGACCGGTTGGCCCCGGATCCTCCAGGCCTCGCCATTCCAGCAGAGAGCGGAGCCGTTAGCGGCATCGACGAGGGGCTGCTTGGCAATGGCGTCGCCGCGCAGGGACAGGACCGTCGAGGTGAGGCTCAGGAAGAGAGGGCCGTGGCCAAAGTCCAGCCGCTGCGTCACGGAGCCAGCGTGATCAGGGCCTCGCCGCCGGAGACGCTCATACAAGGCTGGGGGGATGAGGCTATCGTCGGAGGCAGAGATGGTGGCGTGGATGCCGCACATTCTGCTGCTGGCCTTGTTGGCACGGGGATCTTGAAGTGCGGTTGTGAAATGGTGGTGTTTTAATTTATTTTGAGTATTACTATTTGCATAGACAAAAGTCTCTATTTGCACAGACGATCTACTTTTTCTGCGCGTACCCCGCTCGCCCAGCCCCCGCCACCCAATTTAGCTGCACTAACGTGGCAAAGGAGGGAGCCGCGCCAGCATAAAGATCATATACACCTATAAGCCTAGGGCACCTTAATTCGTTTAAATAACGCATCTTCGCGATTATCGCGAGATATGCGTATATTACGTCGTATATTACGGCCCGGCTAATAGTCCGGCCTAGGCTACGTGGGCGTGGGCTGCGTAGCTGGGATAACCTCCTCTACTGACGAGGCCGGCGTAGCCCTTGCACCTCTGCCCCGTCTCCCTCGAGATCCCCTTCCCCGTGTATTTGCGCGCGCTCGCGATCTTCCTAATAACGGCCGGGTAGAGCCCTAACTGCCTCCTTTATCAATCTCGGCTTATGTGCGCGTGCGGCGTACGCTAGCGTTGAGGCGGCGGGTGCTTGCCTAACTAGACCGCGGCAGCCGTCTCTGCGTGCCTCTAACTAACTATAAGGCCGGCTGCGAAGCTAGCTACGCGGCATCGTCGTCTTCGTCTCGATATGGCCTTAGGTCTTAAGGCACAGGTAGGCTAGTGTTCTTAGCAACGCGAGGTCGGCCACGGAGGCTTTAAACGATATTAGGGTCTCGGATTCGAAGAAGTAGCTCGTCGAGATCCTAATAGTAAGGATTAGCATAATTCGTATATAAAAGGAGGGGCTTCTCTACTAGAGGCTTCTTAAGCTACTACTAAGGGTAAATATCGTACTTTATAAGCGGAACGTTAGCTTAAAGGCGTTAGAAGATCGTATATATATAAGGAAGCCCTTACTATTATATAAATTAACCCGTATAATACGGTAGCGGCTATAACTCCCGCTCTTACCTAGGCTCTAAGGGCATCGCGGCTAAGGTAAGCCGGTATTGCTTAGTAAGGAGGTTAACCGCTTAGTAGGTAAGTTTAATATTTAGCTTACCTAGCTATTTTTAGCTAAGATAAAGAAGCCGCTGCCTTAACTTTTAGCGGGCCGCCTCTTAGATATAGGAGCGTTCTTTATTCGCGATTATTTACTCTAACGTAGTATATAGGTAGAAGAGATCGCCGGTGCCTATAAGTAAATACGACTTTATATCTTTATATATAGTCTTAACTAGGCTATTAACCCTCTAGCTAAAGTTACGATAGCGGCTAATATAGTAATAAGCTTACTACTCTTACTATAGTATATATTCCTTAGAAATATATCTTACGATATAGCCTTAGTATTATCTATACTTATAATTAAGCGCCCGCTAAGCTAACTAAAAGCCTACCTTAGTTAGGGCGTAGATAACGGCCTTCTAAGTAGTAAATATCCCCTTACGGCTATAGTCTTTAGGTTATATAGGTTATACGCTTAAGATCTTATCTTTAGCTTCTTTTTATATAGCGACTCTACTAAGGAAGATATTAGTAGGATCGTTAGCGCCGTTAACGCTATTAGCTTCGTTATCGTTATTATTATTATTATCGTTAACGCCGCTAAGCTCCTTTTAACGTAATTTAATTTTCGTATTAATATTAACGTTAATATAGTAAATATAAAGTTATTATTATAATAAAGGGAAAACGTATAAGAGTATATTTTTAAGGGCTTTTTCCTTATCTATAATAACTATAGAAGGTATTAAGTACTAGTCCCTCGGTATAGGGCTAGTACGTTAACCTTACCGTCTACCTAGATCCGGTGCGGGTCTAATAGGTAATTAAATAGACTAGCTACCGTACGTAATTAAACGTATTATATAGACTAGCTACCGTACGTTATTACGCGCATTAAATATAGACTAGCTACCGGTCTTATAAGTTAAAGTAAGAGTAGTAATAACTATTTATATTCTTCTCCGCCCGCCTAAGATCTAGCGGGTTCTCTATCTTCTATATATACTATAGCGAGCGTAAGACCTTACTTAGGGTTTTAACCGAGTAATATCTTAACCTTATAATCATATGACGGTAGTATAGCGTATTAGCGGTATTTCCCGGTATTTTCCCTAGGTAGGCATAGGTATTTCTCTATAATTTCCCCGCTATATTCTCGTAGTAACTTCTTAAGGAAGTATCGGTATAATCCCTAAGAAGCTATTATTACTTAGGAAATCGTAGTGCCTACCCCGTATAATATATCCCTAGGGGAAATCTCCGTAAAACGTCTATATAATCCGCTCGGTTATCGTTTCTAGGATTTTAGGGTAATTTCCTAGAGTTTACCCGGTAGCTTCTAGGTTCCTTCTTCCGCGGGGAGCCTTAGGGAGTTAGGGGTAACTTCCCTAGGAAAGGCCGATATCGTTATTATCACGGAGTAGGCAGAGGCGTACGCGTAAGTGCCGTCCGTAGGATAATATTAATAAGCTATATAGAGCTCTCCTATACGCGGCTAGCCCGTATATATATATATAGGATCCGGCCCTCCGTACGTAACTATATAGCTTAGGCCGTAGCCTAAGCCTATAACCTATAATAGTTAAAGACTCTTAACTATTACGGAGTAGGCAGAGGCGTACGCGTAGGTACCGTCTATAGGATAATATTAATAAGCTATATAGAGCTCTCCTATACGTGGCTAGCGTATATATACGTGCGGGATCCGGCCCTCCGCGCGTAACTATACGGCTTAAGTAGCTAAGCTTATAACCTATAATAGTTAAAGACTCTTATATAATGCCCTCTCGAGCGCGGCGGCGTTACCATTAACGGCTTCCGTACTATAGGGCCCGTGCCTAGCTCTACCCTTTTCCGTTAATCGTGCTAGCCCTATCGGCCTTAGGTAGCCTCCTCTACCTAGGGGTATATAAGGCGGCATCCCCCCCTTCCTCCTTCCTTTCCTTCTCCTCCTTCTTTAACTATAGTAGTAGTAGTAATAGGTAAGTTCCGCTCTACCTAAGGCGTTAGTTCGTTCTTAGCTATACGGGCCGCCTTATTAACGTATACTTATAGTAATAGCCGTAGTAGTAATAATAGCCTTAATAATAATAACTTCTACTAGTAAGTTCTCCGCCCTATAAAGCGGGAGGCCGCAATCTATAATACTAACTTCCGCGATAGATATATCTGCCTCCCCCTCCCCTACTTCCTCCTTCTTAGAGCGTACGGAGTCGTTCGTCGACGCCGTGCTAGGCACGGCCGACGACGGCTCCGCCGCTGCCGCTGCTCCTGCCCGCGCCCCCGCGACCGCGCCTACCGCCGCCGCCTCTGCCTCTACTACGCTAGCCGCCCTTACGTCGCCCTTCTAGGTAACGACGCCGTCCCCGCCGCCGGCCGTAACGCCCGGCCCCTCTACCCCGGGGGGCTACTAAGAAGCGCCTTACCGCCGCCGCCGCCGCCTACCGTAATCTCTACGCCCTCGAGCGCTAGGGCCTTATCCCTAAGTAAGTTCCTCTTATCTAGCTCTTCTACTTCCGCTGCTAACTCTCCCGGCACTAAGGATACTGCCTCCGTCGCCCTATCGGTAGTCCCCTTAGCCGTGCCCGCCGCTGCCCCCGCCGCTGCTATTAGCCGGGCCCCCCCTGCCCCTAGAGCCCCTAGAGCCGCCGCTGCCGCCGACTAGCTCGCGGGCCTAGAGGGCCGCCTAAGCGCCCTAGAAAGCGCCGCCGCCGCTAATAAGGTAAAGGAGGATAACGAGGATAAGGATAAGGACGATAATAAGGATAAGGAGTAGGTTTAAGTAGTTTAAGGGCTTTGCCTTAAAATAAACGCTATTTTTATCTCTACTTATATAATTACGCTTACGTTATTATAACTACCTACTCCGCTTTACCTACTTTATAGTCTTAGCCTAAGCTACTATTAGTAGTCTACTAGTCCGTCGTTCTTATCTACTATTTTAAATAAGGCTTTAAACTTATCGAGGGCTATAGTTCCCGTAAACTTATATATAGGTTCCTACGTAGGGTCGAGATACCCGCGCTACTTAACGAGGACCTCTTAGCGTTTCCCCTTACTAACCTTTTTCTAGCGCGTAGCCTATATCTCTTTAACCTTAAACTTATCCTCTCCCTCTACCTCGATTATAGGCGGTTAGGCGTCCGCTACTTCTTATCTAGGTAGCGGGTTAGAGGAGGCTCTATAAAGGAGGTCTACGTTAATCTTATTATAGACCCCCGTTAAGAGACTATCGAGCTCTATAACCTATAGGCTAATAACCCTTTATACTATAAACTTTGCGTATAGCTAGTTAAGCTTCTTCTTTAGTCGTGCTAACCTATAGTTATAGAGGTCTAGCTATACCTTATCTCCTACCGCGAACCTATCTACTAGGGCCTTAGTCTTATTAGCGTGCCGCTCTTAATCTTACGCCGCGGTAGCTATCGCGGATTAATAATAATCTATAGTCTCTTATAGCTTTCGTATAAACGTAGAGGCACGGCCCTCTAGTAATAAATTACTATACTACTCCGCTACTATATCTATAGTAAAGGGAACTAATAAAGGTAGTTTAAAGCTATACGTTATAAAGAAAGGGGCTATCTTAATAGAGGTATATAGTTTACTATTTAACGTAAGTTAAGCTATAGGGAGCTACTAGTCTTAGTCTACTTAGTTATAGGCTACGATAGCCTATAAGTAAGCTTATACTTCCTAGTTAACCCTCTTAGGCCCTTTATTAGTCTATAAGTAATATACTATACTAAGTAGCTATATAATTTAAAGTAGCTAGTATAAGTACTATTAAAAGCAGCTAGTTTAATTCGATCCCCTATCGCTTATAATAGAGGCTAGCTAGCTATATAAGCGGGCTTAGTATTATAGGAAGCGCTCTATATAGGACTCTATATCTATAGATAGTATTAGCTTTAATACTATAGACTTACTAAGTTAGTCCTTAATTACCTATATATAGCGGTTACCGCCCTCTATAAGTAAGAGGTCCGTTATAAAGTCTATCTATATATACGTATAGAACCGGTCGGGCACCGGAAGCTACTTAAGTAGCCCCTTAAGCTACGCCCTCTAGATCTTTATATAGCCGTAGATATTATAGTTATAGAGAAAGCGACGAACGTAGTACTATAGGAGGGGCTAGTAAAAGTCCCTTATAAGGCCTACTACTATACCCTATCTACTTAGGTAACCTACGACGCTAAAGTTATAGATAAGTTAGACTAGCCTCCCTCGGAGCTCGTTCCGTTTATCTAGCTCCGGCGGTCCCTCCTTCTCCTTAGCTTCTATAGTATACGGTGCGCCCGGTACCTATAGTCTCCCCCGCTAGTATAAATACCCTTATAGGTCGATATAGTAGTCGGCTACCTATACCTTTAGCTTTAGCTTTAGATCTAAGCGTCGAGCGCCGGACTTAACGGTATAGCGCACGCCCTTATAAGTGCGGTCTAGAGCCGCTATCCTATCCTATAAGCGTAGGCCGGTCTATCCCTCCTCGCCGGACTAAGGTAAGGGCGCGGGGGGAAGCTTATTCGCTAGCACCGCGTCTCCCTCTACTAGGGAAGCTCCTATATAAGTCCGTAGTACTTCCTATAAGATAAGCTATAGATCCTAGGCCTTAATATCCGCTCCCGTCGGCCGGTCTTAATCCCTTTAGGAAAGCGCGTCTAAGACCGCGGAGTCCAGCTTAAGGCGGTACTTAATCGAGAAGTTAAAGTATAAGAGATACTCCGCTTAGCGGGCTTACCGCTCTAAGAGGTACTAGTAAGTTATAAAGTACTTAAGGTTCCTATAGTCTATAAGAACCTTAAAGCTCTTATAGCTTTAGAGCTCCGCTTACTATTACTTAAGGTAGCTAATAATCGCTAGTATCTCCTTATTATAAATAGCGTAATTCTACTCTACTAAGGTTAGCTTATAGGAGTAGAACGCTACTAGTTACTTCCGCCCGTTTACCTCTTAAGAGAGCGTTCCTCTAAGTGCCTAGCCGCTATAGTTTGCTTTAACTAATATAGACCGGTCGAAGTCCTATTAAAGTAGTACTAGGGCTTAAGAGAATAGGTCCTTAAGCGTATAGAACGCTCCTTCCTATATAAGCCCCTAGCGAAAGGCGGTCCGCTTCCCGGTAATCTTATTTAAGGGTATTATAATATAGGAGAAGCCCTTAATAAATATCCTATAATAGTTCGCGAACCTAAGGAAGCTCCGTATACTTATCTACGTAGTTAGGGCAGCCTAGTCCTAAATCGCCTAGATCTTTATAAGGTCTACTTATATACCTACGCCTATATAGATAATAAAGCCTAGGTACTTAACCCTCTTAACCCTAAATTTATACTTATCTAGGTTAAGGTAGAGCCTATAAAGTTAGAGGCGCTCTAGGACCCTTTATACTTTCTATATATAGTCCTTGTAGGAGCCGCTTATATAGATAAGGATATTATCTATATATATAGAGGCGAACTTATTAAGGAAGTCCTAAAGTACGTTATTAATATAACGCTAGAAGGTAGCGGGCGCTCTTAAGAGGCTAAAAGGCGTTATAAGCTACTTAAATAAGCTATAGTATATATAGAACGCCGTCTTCTACTCGTTACCCTCTAAGATCCGCACCTTATAGAACGCTTATTTTATATCTAGCTTTATAAACTACTTTGCCTTTAAAAGGTTACGGAGCGTATTTAAGATTAAGGGTAAGGGGTAGCGGTCTAGCCTTATAATTATATTTAAAGCCCTATAGTCGTAATAGAACTATATCCCGCCCTTTAGTTTACGCACGAATAGGACCGGCGCTCTTACTTCGGAGCTACTTACTTAAATAAAACCCTTATCTAAGAGGTCCCTTAGCGTCTTCTTTAGTACTAATAGCTCTATATATAATATACTATATAGCGGTCTAAACGGTATAGGTAGTTCTTACCCCTTCTTATTAGTATAGAGTACGATCCTATAGTCTACCCTTAGCTTATATAGGTTAAGCTTATCTACTTCCTAGGCCTTAAATAGTAGTAAGAGGTCGTAAAAGCGCTCCGGTATCTATTACTATAGCTTAGAGGGCGACTTTAGCTTCTTTATCTAGAGGGCCTTATCGATATCCGCTAGGCTAACTATATAGACCGCTACGTTAGCCGCTACCTAGCCTTGCCCCCGCTCTACCTATCGTATAGTTCTTATAAAGATAAAGGCAAGGACTTCTTATACTAAGTATAAAGCTCGTACGCTTAGTCCTACGCCTATAGAACTATCGTTATAGCGGACCTACTATTATATAGGCCTAAACTATAGCTTCCTTTAGTATGGAACCGAGTATAACTCTATATATAATAACTAGGGTTTCCCGAGGATTAAGGGAAACTTTAGTTAAGGGATTATATAAGCTACGATAAGCTTATAGTAACTATTAACCTTTATAGCTAGCTACGTAATACCCTTAATTACCGCACCCTCTATCGCGCTTAAGGCGCCCTTTACTTACCTTAGGGCGATCTTTTCTACCGGCACTTATATCTCTCGCGTAAGCGCCTCGTTAACTATAGCGTAGTACTAGTAGCCCTCGTCTATAAAGGCGGTAATAAGTAAGGAGTTATTAATTATAACCTATATTAAAGTAGGCTCTTCTTTTATATGGGCGGATAATTCTTCTTTCTCCTTTACTAGTACTAGTAATTAAGGCTCCGGAGCCCGTCTTTACTCTAGAGCTACTCTTTTTCTTCTAGGCCTAGGGGGGCGGAGTCCTCCTTATTATCTAAGGCGAGGAGCGGTTCTATCTTCGCTACTTAAACCGCTACGGGCCGCTTAGCTAAAAAGAAGGGGCATTTTAATATAAAGTATATAGATACTCTATAACGTAGGCAGCGGCTATTAGCCTTCCTCTTCCCGATTTCCTCGCTTATTACCTACTTCGCCCGCTACTTAGAGTATAGGGCGGTATAGGGGGTAGTCGACGGCGTCTTTTTACCGCGTCTAGCCCGGTCCGTGCGGGTAGCCGATATTAGGGTATCCCCGTCTATATCGATAGCCGGTTATTTATCTTATAGAGGGGCGGTAATCCTATCGCCGCTATATAGCGTGCGCTTATAGAGCTTCTAGAAACGCGGCGTCTACTTATAGCCCTAAGCTACCTTTATTAACCGGCTTACGTACTCGCTATAGTTAGTAGGCATAATTATAGGGATAAGTAGCTCCTATAGGGCTAGCGTAATCGAATTCTATAGCTATATAAGCTTCGCGCTATCTTCTTATACTATAGTCCCCGCTACCTATAAGAGCGTCTCTTCGAAATCGGGAAGGAATTCGCTAAAGGTTTATCTATCTCTCTACTTAAGGGTCCGTAGCCTATCTTACGCCTTCTCCCGCTCCTATATATTGCCGAACGTATATATAAGGTATTAAAAGAAGTCTTATAGGTCGCGTCTACCCCTAGGGCCGCCCTTATCCTAGAATCTGGAGATCCGCCGTATCTAGGGCTCCGGTAGTATATAGAAGAGTAAATACCACGCTATATCGCGATAGCTATTTAGGCCCTATTTCTTATCGGTTATAAACTTCGTCTATAGCCGGCTAAGGAAGAAGTAAAAGGACTCCGGCTTACCGTCCTAAGTCGGCTAAGGGAGCGGCTTCCTCGTCGGTAGTATCGCCGCCGTAACCGGCGTTGCGAAGGCCGTAGGGGTTAAAGCCGGTCTCGTAGACGGCTCCCTTAGTATAGCGAGAACCTTGTCCTTCTCGCTAGCTGTCGCGCTTTTAATCGCTTCTAGGATAGCTGCGATACTTCCTATCCGTCCGGGGAGGGGCGGAGTACTTCCTCGAGGGGGAGGCGCCCTCTCTAGAGAGATATCTATTAGATCTATTAATTAATAGCTTATACTATCACGGAGTAAGCAGAGGCGTGCGTAGGTGCCGTCTATGGGATAATATTAATAAGCTATATAGAGCTCTCCTATGCGTATATATACGTACGGGATCCGGCCCTCCGTACGTAACTATACGGCTTAGGCTATAGCCTAAGCCTATAACCTATAATAGTTAAAGACTCTTATAGTTATAGGTACCTAGATTATCGACTATAGGGTGTCCCGTAATAGAAGGCGCCGGGACCCTAACTTTAAGGCGAAGCTCGTTAAAGCGTTTATAAAGCTACTAGAACCCTTCCTCCTTCTCTATATTAATAAGGCTAAAAGCGAAATTAGCTATAGACCGTTAATTAGTAACTTTAGTAGCCTAGAAGAGATATATCTTAAACTAGTTCGTTTTATATATATTATTAAGTCCTAAGACTTCTAGAAAGCGCTTCTATATCTACTCGCACTAAGGGTATATCTAAAAGATAGCTTCGACCTTCTACTTATCGTTATCGTCGCTAAATTTAACTATATACTTAAGGCCGCGTTGGGTAATCGATAAAGGCCTAGGTTATAGTCTTACTACTAGGGCAGGCATAGATCTTCTAGCGGTCGTTATATATATCTCGCTAGCGGAAGAAGCTCTCTTTAGTAGAGTCCCTAATAATCGAGGCTATCTCGCGAGCTAGAAGGGCACGATACTTAGAAAGGCTCCTCTCGAGCTCTTACTATACTTAGGTTCGCGATAAACGTTATAAGCTAAATAGTCGATTATTGTTAACGTAAAAAGTCTACTTCTAGTAGGATCTCTTTATTACGGATGCAATAATCTTAATAGGGCAGTTAAGCTTCTATAAGGAAGCTATACGAAGGCCGCTGCTTAACGAAGCTCGTTAGAGGCTACGATTATAAATAAATATAATATATATAGGTAAGACCTACCCGTTAATCTCACGCTTGCGTAAGCTAGAGCTCTTAACGATAGCGGCGCTATGACTGCGATAGAAGCTCTAGAGGAAGTCATAGAGCTCGTTAAAGGAGTCAAAGGTTAGCGAGGGCGGCAGAGGTGGAATTGGCAGCCCGACGAGCTCTTCGGCAGGCTGTTCGGCAGGCTATTCGGTAGGCTGTTCGGCAGGCTGTTCGGCAGGCTGTTCGGCAGGCTGTTCGGCAGGCTGTTCGGCAGGCTGTTCGGCAGGCTGTTCGGCAGGCTGTTCGGCAGGCTGTTCGGCAGGCTCTTCGGCAGGCTCGTTGAGGATAAATCGTAGGTCCATCGCGAATAGCTTCACTTTGCGATGTAGGTGGGAAGGGCAGATTTCTCCCTTAGCGGGGCTTTACGCTACGCTTAGCGCGGCTCCCTCCTTTGCCACGTTGGTGCAGCTAAATTGGGTGGCGGGGGCTGGGCGGGCGGGGTACGCGCAGAAAAAGTGGATCGTCCGTGCAAATAGAGACTTTTGTCTGTGCAAATAGTAATACTCTTTATTTTAGAGTTCCCGCATCGCCCCTACAAAAAGACTACAGTGGGGTGGACGAGAGGTTGGAGGTCCCTTATCGCTATCTTTCAGTGGAGCAGCCGCCGCCGCCGCCTGGGGCCACAGCGCTCATGGCGCTGACGCTAACATCCATCCACCAACCTCGGGCCAGGCGCATGATGCTGCCGCGATGGCCTCGGCGCCAGAGGCAGACGAGATGCCAATGGGCAAAAGACGAGAGAAGCACGGCTCATGAGAAGCTCGTCGGCCCTCTCTGCGGTTCAAGGCCTGGTCAGCTACAGATGTCTTGTGCACCATGTGCTCCCTCCTGCGTCATCGCCTCGCTGGAGACGTCGCCGGCATCGGTCAAGCAACACGTCGTTTCCCACCGAGCAGACTACGGCATGAGTCAGGGCTAACAAGCTTCATCATGTCGAATCCTACAGGCCCAGCCTTGCTATCTTGATCGTGAAAGCGCAAGTAGACGGTTGATACACGGTCTGCCAGTGGCCGTCAGCCTGAGACGCTTGATTCCTTTTGCCTCTCGTACCCTTGTTTCTGCTCGATTCGTCAGCAAGAGCCCAGGGTCTAGAGAGGAATAAGCACCAAGTCGGACAATACGAGCTGCTCGCATGTCGCGATGCCTCTCTTCCTTTGGGGGAAAAGGCGCCGCGCCAATCTCGACACCTGGGACTGCTTCTATTTTCTCCGTCGTCCATGTGCAGCCGTTGTCGATGCGACATTCCATGTGCCTTGACGGCAAACACGGTAAAGCATCCTCACATCATCATGATCCCGCTGACAAGATCATCAACGCCAGTAGCTCCTCGTCTGACAGTGGGTCAACGAGCCGTGCCCCAAGACGGACTACCTCGCTGCGCCGTCGTTCTGCGAGACCCAGGATATAAAGCCCCCGCTCCCCAGACACGGGGTCCCCGGGCGGAGTGGTCCATCAAGCATTGCGGACGTCTGTACTCAACCTTGTCTTGCAAACGGCAGGACGAGATAGCATCATCGATGGCTCCCTTCTTTCAGTCTCTTGGTCGCTTGGCCATACTGGGCCTCGTCCTCTTCTCGCAGGGCGGTGGTGAGTGACGACAGCCCCAAGTATCACGTCGAAGCTCGTGGTCCAACTAACCTAACCGCTTCTTCCTCATCCCACTCAGGCTCGCATGACATCCGGGACGAGTCTCGCGCCGAGGCAGCCAAGGTGCCGTTGCGCCTCATGCCCCTGGGCGCGTCCATCACGTACGGCGTCAAGTCTTCGGACGGCAACGGCTATCGCAATGACCTGCGGCAGATGTTGGTTCGCGACGGCTACCAGGTTGACATGGTCGGGTCCCGCAAGGCCGGGTCCATGAGCGACAACGACAACGAGGGGTGGCCGGGGCTCAGGATCGAGCAGGTCCAGGCCAAGGGCGACGTGTCGGTGCCGAGACTCAAACCAAACCTCGTGGCTGTCAACGCCGGCACCAACGACTGCGCCCAGAACTTTGACATTGCGGGCGCCGGCGGGCGTATGGACCGCCTGCTCGAGTCTGTGTGGGCCAAGTCTCCCCGCTCCACCATCATCTTGTCCACCCTGCTCGTCAACGGCAACCCGGTCATTGAAGCCCGCGTTCTGCGTGTCAATGAGCAGCTGCGGAGCCTGGCCAGGCGCAAGGCGGCCGCGAGGAAGAGGATCGTGCTGGTGGAAATGCACGGCGCTGACGGCCCTCAGAAGGGTGACTTGGTGGACGGCACGCACCCCAACGACGCGGGTTACAACAAGATGGCCAAGATCTGGCACAGGGGCATCCAAGAGGCGGCCTCGAAGGGATTTCTGCAGAGGCCCGCGCCCAAGTTGTGAGGCGACGCAGTCAGCAGTTACCGAGAAGCGTGGGTAGTGTTTGGTATCGTATCGCCCGACGCCCTGTTTTGCCGTGGGGCCGACGTCGGAAAGAGAGGGATATGCACAGCAATTGGAAAGTGATTGGGCCTTGTGCTTTTCGTCGTTGCTCGCATGTTGGCCTTGTGAACGACGAGCACTCGCTCTCACTACTGAGTCCAAATTAGCGGACTAACTAACATGAATCATCCGGTATGGTGTAGTGGCTAACATCGCTCGCTCTCACCGAGCAGCCCTGGGTTCGATTCCCAGTACCGGAGTATGAGTAGTATATTTGACTTTTTCCAAGATCTTTTTGCCTCGGGCTTATGTTTCCCTCGTACTTGCACATATCTTCGTGCTCTCGTGAGACGCCAAATAACTAAGCGCAAGTGGCGTTTGCGTAGCTTTCGGTTTGTCTGGGGGTGGCAGTAGAATTGAATTTGACGACTTTTAAGCATGCAAGCAACCGCGAGCTTGGTGCAGATAGTGGAGTGGCTTCGTCACCGCGTTTGCTCGGGATTGACTTCAATCTTGTCTAGTCGATATAGTCGGCATTTTAACGTCCTTGCCGAGAGGAAACGGCTGGCGAATGGGGAGTAGTGTCGCGATGAATGAAGCCGACCACTAATTAATGCCGCAGTGCGTCTTCCTGCGCAAAGCCAAGTGCTGTCACGCGGCTTGTGACGGCGAATCCACGCATGGCTTGGCGGAAATCGAGTGCCATGAGACACTGGATATCCAATCCACCGTACGGTTCCTGCCCGGAAATGTCCATTCTAGGCAAGGTGGCCAGTGCTGTGCTCCCGGTGTCGCCATGACGTGCAACGACAAGACGACGGCCACCGTAATTAAGTGCGTGTACCGGTACTGTAAGCGACTCTGACTTGTGGTAAGCCTGTCGCAATGCCTTGCGCGGCGGCAGCAGCCATGGTGGTGGTGGAGACGCAGCGTTGGTTGGCTAGCGTCGGTGTTGTCCCGAACCCCCGGCTTGGTCCCGGAGTCTGGAGAGTTCGACAAAGGAAGAGGGTGTGCGGGGGGCACATCGTGGGCTTTTGATTGCGTTGGTGGCCCTGTAGGGCTCTGACAATGCAACGCTCAGGGCGCCTACTGCTTCTTTCGTTGCTATTCATCTGGATAACGGGGCTCTCGAGGCTCTTTTTAGATCCGCCCGCGTTCTCTTGAGCAATAAATTTGACCGCTCCGTCCAATTCTGCTCTCTCATCTACTGTACAAGCTAGGTCGGTACTTGGTAAAAAGTATGCATACTGAGGAGTCATGTCGTCGTCTGGAGATTTGACTGGGTGGCTTGTCGATCGCGGATGCTTCGTCAATGAGCCTTGCGCGGAGCCTTTCCAAAAGTCCTGTGCTACGACATGCAGCGTCTTGTTGGCTCTGGTCCAGGTGCATGCATTGCCTCGTTCGCGCTGCAGGCCGTCCGTCATCTGGCCTCTCCTCCCTCCCCCTCCTTGCCTTTTTCCACTTTGCTTCATTTGCCCGCCCGTCCTGCCGAGTCTGCATGTCTTGAGCCCTGCCGAGAACGGGGAGCTAAGTTGTAAGGCTGGCCATGCCCTGTCCGTATGTGTCCTGTGGCCAGGTGGTCTCTACCACGAACGAATTACCAGACAGCAGCGCAGATCCACTCGGTGGAGGGGGGGGGGGAGACCGGGTGTCGAGCAAGGGGGGGCGGACGGCGTGTCACGGTGAACAGCGGAGTGACTTGTATTGCTAACGGCATTGATCCCGACACGTGGCACGTCACAGACGCATCACCGCACAAATCTTGAGGCTCTGTTGGCAGGCCTGGTAGTGCTGCGGGTGTCTCTGCCACCGTTGCAACTTTCTCCTCCGCACTGCGCGGCCCCTCAGCTCGTCGGAGAACGCTAAGCCTGATTGGTAACGGCTCTAGGCAGCAGCCTGCGTGGTCGCCAACCAAAGCCGCCCTGCCCTTCATTCACGTAAGCAGCAGTCCGTGCGACTACATCACCAAACGACTCGCCTTTGTCTCACTAACTACTCCGCTGCCTCCCTCCTCCTCTCAATTCCTTCCCACACCTCCCGCCCTCCCACCACGCACTCACCCCAGCCATCTCACATCGTCTCGTCCCGACTTCTTCTTCCATCACTCACCTCCTGCGGGCTCACGCCGACGACGTCGCCTCCTCTTCTGCCCTCTTGGCCCTCGCTGGTGCTCACCACTGCGGCACCCGTCTGTGGCGGGTCCAGCAACCGCCTCCCTTCTTACTTGGCTCACCATTTCCATCGTCTTCCATCATGGCAAGCTCTAACCCTCGTCGGCGGCCCTCGGTCACCACTCCCGGCGACAATGGACAACCCCCCAAACCCAACAAGTCTCTCCGCAAAGGTGCCACCTTCCACTCGCCTCCCTCCCCTGCCCTTTCGTCTCTCGACAAGGCCTCTTCGCCTCCCCAGATGTCCCGCTCTTGGTCCGGTCTTGAAGAGACCGTCGGCGCCAACCGTCGTCGGGCCGCCCTGACCCTCGACAACTTCCACAAGGCCATGTCCAAGGTTCATGACGACGAGTCTACCCCGTCCAAGCTTAAAAGACAGGCCTCGCTCCGCGACAACGGCCATCCTGTCCCTCCCGGTCTCTTTACCCGGGCCCTGGCCAAATCGGATACTGAACAGCCGTCATTGCTTTCTCGCTCTGCCCCTCGATCTGGGCGTCGAGGCTCCGACAGCGGGCTCGGCTCGTCCCTGGCCTCCACCGCAGACAAGTGCACGGCGGCAACAATCATGACACGCGTGTCCGCTCCCGCCCTCACGGGCTCATCCAAAGCCAAGCAGACACTGCCTGGCCTGACGCAGAGGGCCCTGGACCGCATCCACGAACACATCCTCCGTCCTCTGATGCGGGAACCGGACTTGAAAGAGTTTCAGCAAATCCTCAAAGAGGTTCCCCGCCGCATCAGCTCGAAGGAGATCATATGCCTTCGGGATATCGAAAAGACGCTCATACTAACGGCTCCAGTAAGTCAACATGTGACCTCCAGCCAAGATTGGGGAGATGCTCATCATGTATTTTTGCAAAAGGGGTGTGCCCAGACCGTGTCTTCCTACCTCGACTTCTGCTCTTTGGTGGTGGACTGCATTCAAGCAACAGTCGAATTTCTTTCCGATCGCGAGCAAATCAGGCCCAACGACCGGCCTTACACCAACGGCTACTTTATCGACTTGAAGGACCAGATCCTCGAGTACGGTCACCAGCTTCGTGCCGCCAGAAGCGGCAAGGGCATCGCCGACAACATGGATGTTGATCCGTATGTACCGCGCCAGGCCACTGCCCAGAATCTCACTGACCTGTTGCAAAGGGGCGACAAAGTCGAGCTCTTGGGTGGTATCGCCGAGAATGGACGCCCCGCCCAACTCGTCCGCGTCAAGCCGGACGGCACCGCCATCTCGTTGGCGACCGGCAAGCCAGTCGCAATGGACAAGCGCCCCGTCCAGTTCAAGCGCTCCCTGAGTGAGCAGCGTGAGGACGAAGAAGAGATTATGCGATCAATGGCTCGTCGGAAGAAGAATGCGAGCCCTGAGGAGCTGGCGCCCAAGCGATGCCGTGAGCTGGGCTGCAACAAGGAGTTCAAGCGTCCGTGCGACCTGACCAAGCACGAGAAGACGCACTCTCGGCCATGGAAATGCCCCTTTGCGACCTGCAAGTATCACGAGTTTGGCTGGCCTACGGAGAAGGAGATGGACCGGCACGTCAATGACAAGCACTCGGACTCGCCCGCCATGTACGAGTGCTTTTACACGCCCTGCCCGTACAAGTCCAAGCGCGAGTCCAATTGCAAGCAGCACATGGAGAAGGCCCACGGCTGGCACTACAACCGTAGCAAGACCAACGGCAAGAGGCCGTCGTCGACACCGGCCAGTCAGTTTCAGCAAACTCCGCCTCTCGGCAGCGAGTCTACCCCTTCGACCACGCCTGCGTTCAGCGCTCCCACACCTCCTCAGGAGCAAGAGGCGCTTCTTCACGGCGTCTCCATCTTGCCTCCTGGAATGGAATGCCTTGACACGCACGGGTACCAGATGGGTGCCTCGGGTGTCGTGGGCCTCGGGCTTGAGGGCCTTTCAACCGATGCCAATGGGCTATACCCGGCGTACCAGGACGGACCTGGGTTCATCTCGGAGGAGGACATTTACGCAGCATCGGTCCAGCTTCCGAGTCAGGCGCCGACCATGAATCAGTCATTCGACAAGATGATGCCCGGTGGTTTGCCAATGTACTCGGGCTTCCAGCTCTGTCAGCCGCAGCTCGATGGCCCAGCTCAGCCGCAATTCCAGCAGCCACAATTTGCGGCTCCGATGGCTGGACCCACGTTGAAGCAGGGAGACGCCATGTTTTATTCGCCGCCCGACTCGATTCCTGACGAGGGCTTTGATGAGCCTCATCTTGGGGTGGACAATGGCGATTTCGCGCTGTTTCCGGCTCACGTCGATGTGGGCAACCATTACCAGCTCCCACTGTTCGATGAGCCGCCGAGCGCCAACCTGGGATTCTCGCAGACATCGCAGCCCGACATTTTCCAACAGATGGAATGGACGAATCTCGACTACGCGAATATGCAGCAGGTATAGGAGGATTACGATGGTGGAGACTACGCGGCTAAAATCTCGAAGGAACCAGCGTTTTTGGTGAGAAAGCAGGTGACGAAGGATGACGGCAAGGTTGATTGTGCTTGTGTTGTGCCTATATTCTTAAGCAACCAGCGTCTCTGATGAGAAAGCAGGTGACGAAGAATGACGGCAAGGTTGGTTGTGCTTGTGTTGTGTTAGTGTTGTGTTTGTGTTCTCAGCCAAGTGAAGCGGGCTAGGGAGATTGCGCCGGATGTCTGGGGGGATTTGGCGATGGCTTGCCCGCCTCGACTCGTGACGGGGTCGGTGGAATATTTGGGCACGGACACGAGATTACGAGCCAAGGAAATGAGGCCAATGATGATTGAAGAGAAGGGAGGGGGTTGGTTGGTGAGCTCGCGCCTTGTTTTTTGCGTTAGAATATGACATTCTCGCTCAGAGCAGTCGGCAATAGAAGACTCTGCCAGTTGCGTGTTTGTCGCGTGAGTGTGCCAACGATTATGATGCCCCAGCCGAGCGGTTGTGTAAGTAATTGCGTCGGCCCAGTCATTACGCCGTCGGTGGCGAGGAGATGCCGCTACCCTACATAGCCATGCGAGTAGATGTGACTCGGCTGCGAAGCCGGTATGCCTTGACATGTTGCTTGACAGTCGCATGTTTGTCTCTGCGACAACCGGATGTTTGATCGTCATCTTGCGTTCCCTGGCGGAGTGCGTTTACGTACGAGTCGGGAGGTTGTACATGATGTCTTGATCCATCCACTAGAGTAGGTAGGAGCTGGCGAGAGACACCCAAGGACAGCGACGAATGAGTACCAGACAGCCGCAAGCTCACAGGCCCAGAAGAGCGATGCGAGGAAGTCATCCCCACAAGCAAGAACACCAAAAAAAGACCAGACAGCCAAAAAAAACAAACAATTTCCCATCTCGCGATGACCCCTGGACAACTCCTCCGGTACTGGGAATCGAACCCAGGGCTGCTCGGTGAGAGCGAGCGATGTTAGCCACTACACCATACCGGACAGACGAGACGCGCTGGAGGTGGGAGCGATGGAGGGAGGCGGGACTGAATCGAGTCATGTAGACTCCAGGGTTGAGTCTGCGCGGTTGGCGGACGGGCAAATGCGAGGCAGTCCGGGACCTCGAGTTGTCGGCAACAGGGGGGGGGGGTGCGGGCTGTGCGAGATCAGGCCTGCAGTAATTACGTAGTCTGTTTGTCCAGGGCCGCAAGACACGGGGCCTGGCGAGCGACGGAGGTCCTGACTCACTCTCCGACGCGGCTCTCGTCTGCCGCCGCTGCCGTCACACACACGCGCACAGCTTCCTCTCGCCACGCATCTTGCCGTCAGAAGAGACCCCAGTCAGAGGATGGTGGTGGTGGTGGTGGTGCTGCATCGTCGCCTTGCATGAGACATGGCCTACGTCCTGTGCCACGCATCGCCACGCATCGCATCGCATCGCATCGCATCGCATCGCATCGCATCGCATCGCATCGCATCGCATCGCAGCGTAGCGGCCAGCCCAATCCCTCGTCCCCCTCACGACCGGACGGACCCCTGAGGCGCACGCGTCAGCCGGCCAATCGACGGCCCTGGAATCGGACAGCCTGGCCTCGGTCGTTGGGCAGCACGGCGCTCACACGGGCGCTGCCTACCGCCGATGCGTGGCCATGCGGCTCTGCGGTCCCGCGATTCTGCTTCCCCCCAGCTCATCCCGACATCCCCCGTCTTGAGGCTCAAGCGACGGCGGGTGAGAGTACCTCTGCCCGAGGAGACCGTGAGTCAGTCTGCCCTTTCGTTCCGCAGTGCAGTGTAAGCCGGGTCCGAGACTCTTGCTCTTCCGCGTGCCATTCTCCCTCCATCGTGCATTGTCTTGTAAATGGCATACATGGCACACATGGCACAGCTATACATGGTCTTACACGTGCGCCCAGCCATTGTCGGCCAGGACCTGCATCTCGTTGACCAGGCAAAACACGCCCGGCTCATAGTTCACAGCCCTCTCCCGCTCCCAGCGCTCAACCCGCCGCCGCACCACAATCCTCTCGAGCGTCAACCGCGCCGTCCAGCGCCTGACCCTGTTTGCCCACAGCCCCGCGAAGACGTCCCACGCAGACACCCACGCGCCGCCGCCGCGGTGCGTAGCCTTGTACGCCGGCAGATTGTAGCCCACGCGCACCCGCGGGTTGAGGTAGACGCCCAGGGTCCGCGACAGCGGGTTGTCGGCGTGGATCAGGCAGCACTCGGAGCCCTCGACGTGGTGCAGCGCCAGCGAGTCGGGCACGCCGCGGAAGCGTAGCCGCGTCGACGACACAAACGGTTCGGCCGGCATGACGACTAAAGGGCGACCGACAGCTCGAGTTAGCTTCTTGCTCTTGCTTGGGCAACTTGGAGGGCGCGCGAACCTATGCCGTTCCAGCAGCTCATCACCGGCACCGCGTCCATGTGGTTTACCAGCGCGTTCCTCGACTGCCTCTCGCCAAAGTAGGGCCACGTCTGCATCACATGGCCCCGGCCCGCCGTGTCTCGCAGCGCAAACGTGTCATAGTAGAGCGGCGGCTTGGAGAAATCGAGAGAGCAGGCCGCGGCGTACTCGCCCTTGTTGGTGTCCATGAGCGTCAAGACGTCACCGGTCTAATTCAGCCATCAGCGACAACGGTCCTGGTCTTGCCTTGGCCCAGACGCACCGTGAATATAACGTCGTTGAGGAAGAGCACCTTGTCAAAGGTGACGCCTTTCTCGTGGAGATCCACCAGGTCCTTGATGGTCCTGTTCCGCAGCCGCGCCAGATAGGGTATGCGGCGCAGCTCTTTCTTGTTCCTGGGCGTGTCGATCCACCCCTCGCCCTTTTCCTCCCTGTTGATCTCGTCGTGGTGCGTCAGGTTGGACATTTCGACACGATGCGGCACGCCCTGGCGGCGCAGGGCGAGCTCCAGGTGGCCGAGCACCTCCTTGCTGTCGTCCCAGCTGCCGCTCTCAAAGATGCTGACGAAAACGTTGGCCGGCCCAAGCACCTCGGTCAGGCGTATCACGGCGTCGTTCCAGTGGTGCCGCAGCACGTCGCCGTTGTTGAAGTGCATGCTCGCAATGTAGACGCGTTCGTGCGGCCGCGACGGGCCCCGCGTGTCCCGGCCGCCCTCGCCGCGGGACAGGTTGCCGTGGACTCGCAGCACGTCGAGGACGTTGACGAGGCAGAAGAGGACGAGGACGAGGCGCAGGGTGCGCCAGCGGAGGCACCGGCGGAGGTAGAGCTTGTTGGCAGACGAGATCATGGTGGGCTGCGGTGGGCTCGCAAAGTCGAAGGGCGAATGCTTCTCAGGGGACGGCATGCGGCGTCTCCAAACATGCAACAGCCATGCACGCCGCACAGGATCATTGCGCAGGGCAGGCAGCTTCTCGGCGACGCGATGATGGACAGCAGGGTAGGTAAGGAGGGACGACGATACGCTTGATTTGGAGTCGGGCTTGCAGGGACAGAGAGACACGTGCTCGTGTTCAGCTACGGGGGATTCCCCCTTCCCCTCCCCCCAATTTCACAGCCCCTCAACAGCGGCAGGTGCGCTGAAGTGATAAGGAAGGCTCTGTTGCCCGCACCATGTGTGTATTTCTGCAAGGCATTTTTACGTTGGGTTAGGTTAGGTTAGGTTAGGTTGGGTACTAAAAGGGAGTCTTGAGAGGTACAAGGCGTCGGGATGCCGCCGACCGAGGTAGGTAATAATTAAGGCGACTTTCATCTCGTGTTGGGAATGAATGTGATAATATACCGTATACGTGACTTGAATCTTGAACCTCGACTGGGGGCGTTCCTCGGGGCATTTTCACACTAAGCTTGACTGGCTTAGAAGCGCAATCGAAGTCAAAATAAAGGGCCCGCGTAAAAATGGGGCATTTAGAAGTCTAGCCGGCTTTTTCTGTACCTTGCACGTTGCCCCAAGGTAGTGAGTGGCAGACTCTCCTACAATGTGTATATAAGCTCCCAACTCACTCCCCGACGACAGTGCAATGCCAATGACCTTGACTATCCCCTCGTGCAGCATGGCATGGCTTCCTTTATTCTCTCCCGCCTCCCAAGGCGACTCCCAAGGCGACTGACTCCCAAGGCGCACCCTTTTTGCAAGCTCAAGATATCCGCCCTCAACCCTCGCAACTGCTTCCGCCTCCAAGACATCAAGCCCTCGTCGGCAAATCCTATTGTACATGCAAGACCTGTCTCCCCCAACTTGCCCAACTAAAGGTAGGCTGGCTGTGCGACTCATTTGGCGAAATGCAAGTCGAACCCGAGCCACTTGCGTCGCGCCACCTGTTCGACCGAGAGTCCGGGATAGCCGTAAGTGAGCGGCAGGAAATAGTACCAGCTCGCCGTGGCCGCCGCCAGGATCACCACGCATGCAATCCAGGCGCCCTTCATGCTCTGCCCTGCGAACCTCTCGCGCGCAGTAATGTGCCGCTTGGGCCTGTGCGCTGCCTTCTTCCCACCCTTGCCTGCTTGAGAGTGGCCTCCCTCATCCGCCGGCTCCACGTTGAAGATGAACTCGATGAGCGCACCCGTCACCAAGCACGACGCAAGGTGCGCGGGGAGGTAGTGGTGCAGGAAGAGCTGTCGACCCATCAGGAAGAATGGAAAGTAGTGCGTGGCCCACGCCAGCCAGAAGAAGCCCGTCGAGTTGTACAGTCGCGAGCGGGTGCCTGCCATGCCGTCAGTCAGCTATTCTGCCAAAGTTTGCCCACGCGGCCACTTACGATGATCTAACGCATCGATCCCCCGTCGAAGAGAGACCTGGTCGGCACCAATGATGCCCGCAAACACGGCAAGGAGACTGCTCGCGAGCCACCAGCCCAGCGGGTTGCCCACAAAGTAAATCTGCTGGCGCGTGTCGTTCTGGGTCCAGAAACTCACGCCGCGGAGCAGAAACGGCCACTGGTAGGGCTGGCTGGAATAGGGGTGACTGCTAGTCAACTTGTTGTTGTGGTAAAACATGGCCCTCTGCAGCTCGAGCCACTTGGCGAGGAACGGGAGCGACTTGACCTGGCGTTCTGGCTTCTCGCGGCGCGCGTCGTCGGCGCCGAGCGTCGGGATCTCCTCGACGATCCACACGTTGGAGCTGGGCGCAATGTTCTTGTTGCCGTTGATTTCCTGCTGCCGATGGCCCCATTCGGGCAGGGGCTTGGTGTGAGTCCACATGGCCACCTTGCTGGGGTTATGGATGAGCTTGAAGTGGCCAGCAACCGACTTGAAGTCTTGATTGTCCTTGCCGTGCTCGATGCGGATCTCGAAGAGTGTGTCGTTCGCCCTGCTTCCGTATGCGTCCTCGAGCGACACGCACGTGAACTCCTGATTCGTGGGATAGGAGGGAGACGCCACGTCGTGAGAGAGGAGAATCTTGTCAGTGACCAGATGCCTGAGCCGCACCAGGTCGTGGTTCTTGACGTTCCTGCCAGTCTGCTTGTCATCATTGAGCGGGAGAACCTGCCAGTAGTTGTTGGTGTCATTGTGCGGGTACCCGGTGACCTGCTGGCCTTGGCTGGAAACACGGCCGTCGTCGTATCGCAGCGGGTAGCGCTCATCGTGGCTGTGCAAGTACGTCTTGGTTTCCTTGTGCCTGATGGTGATGGCGTCGTAATAGTGAATGTCAATCGCGTTGGCCAGCATGGCATTGTCGCTCAGTGTTTCCTGGAACTCGGGAGTCATGAAGTCGTCGCCGGGCCCGGAGCGCGACAGGACGGTGAAGTGAACCTGGAACCAGAACAAATAGAAAAGGAACGGCAAGACAATGAGGCCAAGCGCGCGAGCGGCAAAGTGCTTGCCAAACTCGGGAAGGCTGATGGCGCCGCCCGGTCGCTTGATGTCCAGCAGGTCCCACAAATCGATGGCGACGGCGGAGCCAATGGTGACAAAGGCGAAGAGGCCCACGTACTTTGTCGAAATGTCGCACGAGAGGGCGAAGCCCGTGAGGATGAGCCACTTCCACCACTTTCTGCCAAACGGTTCATGACGCATCTTGTAGAACTTGATGTAGAAGAGCAGGCTGCAGGCCATGGCGAGCACCAGCGTGGCGTCAAGGAGGATGAGGCGGGTCTGGCCAATGTGAGCATTGTCCAGCAGAACCAGCCCGGCGGCCACGATGCAGGCAGGGACGCTGTAGCCAGACTCCCACATGATGAGGTACGTGACAGACACGGTCAAAGCGCCGAGGATAGCGGGCAGCGAACGGAATGCCACGTATGGGACATTGTTGGCAATGTAGGAGTCGCCAATGTTTTCGAAGTGAAAATGGCCGTCGAATCCAACGAGCCAGCCCATGAAGCCAAACAAGAGCTTGGCAAACGGCGGGTGAACGTCGAAGAAGTAGGTACGCTCGAGGTAGTAGGAGGCAAACTGCACGCGAATCTCGTTAGCAATCGGCGGTGACCACGACAAGGACTCGGCCATGAAACGCACCTTTCCGAAGTGAACCTCATCGAAGACGACCTCGTCGGGATGGCTAATGCCCCAGAACCGGGTGACGAAGGCTAGCAGGGTGATGAGAGTCAGAAACACCATGTGCTCGCGCTCGCCACCGACGGCCGTCTTGGACGTGATGGCCTTGGAGAGCTTGTCGAGTTCCTCCTCGGGGGCGAAACCGGGCGAGTCGGGGCGCGTCTTTTTGGACCCGACATTGCGCTGCCGCAGGCTGCCCGGAGGCGGTGAACTAGCTGCCATGGTTCTAGAATTGGGAATTGAAGCGTCAGTGACTGCAGGCCAAGCTCGTCGCGCTCTGGTCGAGACGAGAGGAAATACAACGCGCCGGGGGGCTCTCACCACAAGCAGGCAGAGTCAAGGGCGGACTGACGGTCCGTGAAAAACCGGGCCAAAGGAAGGGGCTAAGTGGAATGAAGGGAAGGGAACTGAAGGAGGGCCGGCTCGCGTCACCAAACGTGAGGGCGGAGCAGAGGAACAGGAAAAAGGGGGGAAGCCTCCTTTTTCAAAGACGAATGAAGCTGCTGGCTCGTGTGCATCAAAGGTACGACGTAGGCCAAGCTTATCTTATCTACAAAGGTGGACGTGTCTGCTTGCCAGCTGCCAGGCAGGGGGGGGCACTTTTGCTTGTACATACCGTACATTGTGCTTGGTCGACCAACCGAGGCTCCCAAAGCCTGTTACTGGGTGCGCTGATAACTGCCATGGTCGAGGTACTGTATCCGTACAGTGCCTCGGAAAGGGACACTTGGTGTGTACTCCGTATAAGTAGGTAGGCAAGTACTGTTACAGGTAGCATGCAGATGCGGGTCCATCATCAACAAAGGAAATCGCCGGTTGAACCCACCTCCGGACTGCTCTCATCCCTGAGATTGCCGATGCAGGCACATTCATTGTGCCACGTTTACGATTGCAACTATAGGCTCTGAATGTGTTCGTCTCAAGGAGGTACAGTAATAGTAGCTACCTAGGTAGGTAGACATGCAAGTGGCTTTCAGGGCAGAGAGAGCAAGTGCTGAGCCTGAAACGGCCTGAGAGGAAAGAAAAGGGACGCCATCTCCTCAAGGTACCTCGACAATTTCCTGGACCGCCAAAACCCGACCCCGCGGCGGGGTGCTGTTGGCAAGCTCGGGCCGTAAATCGGAACCCCCCGTGTACAGCACTTCTCTCTGCCTCGCATCGCGAAATAACCTCACTCCGTCCGGCAAACCGCTCAATCAAGCCCTCAACTCCGCAAGCCAACTGAATTTGCCTGTCCCCGACACCAGACCCCAACGCTCTTCGTCAGCCGCAGGTATGTCGCTGGCTCGTCTTACCCCGCGATGCTCGTCCGCCGCAGCCACCTTGTCGCTCCGTCGTCTCCTGATTGCTCAGGGTTCCAGATTCAAGCCCGTTCCAGCTTCTCTCCGAACCAAGTCCACAATGGCAGACCAGACCATCATCTTCACTAAAAACGCCCCGGCCCGTGGGTCTCCCTCCCCCTGACGCACAATCTCGGCACTCAAGACTGACGCATGCCACCTAGCTGTCGGCCCCTACGTGAGTATCTATCCCACAATGGACAAAGAGGAGCGCACCCTGACCTGTCAACCGGCCAGTCCCAAGCCGTCAAGACTCCCACGGCCATCTACTGCTCCGGCCAGATCCCCCTCACCGCCGAGGGTACCATGGTTGAGGGCTCCATCTCCGACAAGACCAAGCAGTGCTGCCAGAACCTCGAGGCTGTCTTGAAGGAAGCCGGCTCATCCATCCCCAAAGTCGTCAAGTGCAACATCTTCTTGTCTGACATGGCTCACTTCGCGGTAAGCGCCCACCCCTTTTCCTCCTGCCAGCTCTCAGTACGTGCTGCTGACCCGCCCCCGCAGGAGATGAACTTTGTATACGAGCAGTGGTTTACCCACAAGCCCGCTCGAAGCTGCGTTGCCGTCAAAACCCTCCCCAAGAACGTCGATGTCGAGATTGAGGCAATTGCCCTGCCTTAGAGTTGTGGGCTAGCGCCGCTGGAGTACAAAGACTTTGGAAGAATACAACCAAGATATTCCTTCTACTGCTTTATTGCTTTCTGAGGGATCATGATTCAAGTAAAGGGACTCCAATATCCCAGCACCGTTTTCTATTCTCAAAGTATTGCCTTGGGATCTAGCATCCACGTCTATCAAGCGTTCCAGATGACAACTCTTCCATCAACGCCACTTGCTGTACGAGTTTTCAGCTAATTATCCTTGCACGGAACACGGGGAGGGGGCACGTACAGCTGAACTTTACGACATTGCCGCCCGAGACTGCAAAAGGTCGGATCGTCGTGATGGTGTTTTGATGAATCGTCTTCAACTGGGTGTCATCCTTGATCTTGCCTTTGAGGTCCATCTGCTTAAACATGTTGAGGGCCGACTCCTCGCGCTGATGGCCTGGGCCTGAACCCGCCTTGGACTCGACGGCACTGGCAAGCTGCCAGCCAGACTCGCCGCCCTTGAACCGCAAGGCCTCGCAGTCATAGCCGGCAGCAATGATTTCGCCTTCGCTCTTCCAGATCAAGCTCTTGAAGGGGAGGAGCTGGGTTGAGATGGTGAGGACGGCTTTGGGCGGCTGTTCCGGGCCGCTGGGGTACACCACAGTAATGCTGCTGTCGTGCGCGGCAAAGGCCAGACTGTCTCCACTGGGAGAAAAGGCAACCGAGTGAACCCACCCGGCAGAGTTGTTGAGGAACTCTCCGCAGACGGTGTTGAAGGGCAGCCTCTCGCCCCAAACGCCGGGGTCTGGCTTGGTGTCGACGTTCTTGATGAAGCTAGAGAAGACGCGGGCGTGGGCATCGGTCGAGCCTGCAGCGAGGAGGACAGAGTTGGGGTGCCAGGCGACACTGGTGATGGTGCTGCGGATGGGCTTCTTCAGATGCTTGGACACCCACCAGTCATTCTCCGCTTCAAAGTAGCAGATGGCAATGACGCGGTCGCCAGATCCGACGGCGAACTTTGTTTCCGAGGGGGACCATCGGACAAATGTGGCGGCGCGGCTGATGCGGAGAAGGACCAAGGTCGGCTTATACCCCGTGGGAGACGGCTCCCAGACGAGCGCATTGCGGTCTACCGGATATCAGCCTCGTCTCGTCCCAGCTGCCAGGTGACAAACCTTGGGAGCAAGACACGATGCGACCGGAGCTCGGGGCAATGTCGACGCTGGTGACCGTCTTGTCGTGACCCTTCAACACATCCTGGAGCTTGAAGGCATTCCCAGCCTTGGCATACAGCTCGACGGTTGTGTCTCGGGCGACGGCAAGGGTGTTGCGGTCGGCCGAGAAGGAGTGGTCGGCGATGGGGCTGTGGAAGAGATGGTGAACCTCGGGAGCAGCCATGTCGAAGCTGGAACGGGAACGCGGCAGGAGTAGCTCTCTACCACCGCTTGAGAAGACCGGGCGAGTTGGGTCGGATTCGTTTGGAGCGAGGGTTGAATTGCGGGAGCTGGAGACGAGGCCGCGCAATGAAAGGCGGCGGCGGGGTTACTTCGTACAGTCAGCCACACAGTGTATCCGTACCTGGGTAGGTACCTAGGTACCTAATGTACATACAAGAATGATTCACGCGCCGGTACGTACCTCCGCGCAGAAGCTCGGACCACCGCCCCCAATGTTTCTCTGTTCGTGAGGCGAGGCTAACTAAAATGCGACTGGAAATTTCCCCCAGTCTCGCGCTTTTGCATGTCGACGCGAGCAAAAGCCACCTTGGTTGCGCGACAGCCTTCGATTTTGCACGGACAGCCACGGCCGGATCCATTGCAGGCCGGAAGGTGACCCGACGCGCATTTCTTGGGTCTCTACCCTCGGAGCCAAGCTCGACAATGGCGACGAGAGCACCGCCCCGAGGCCTGGCGCCGAATGCTTCCCTGCCGGCCAAGGTCCAGCCGATTCCCCCCAACCAAACGTGAGTTGCTCCAGTACTCCTCAGCTTTCGCGCCCCGTAGCTGATCCTGCAAAGCCTCTACGTGACAAACTTGCCGTCGGCCAAGATCCAGAAAGCCGACCTCCGGACGGGCCTCTACATGCTCTTTTCCACCTATGGCCACGTCCTCGACGTCGTGGCCCTCAAGACCATGTCCATGCGTGGACAGGCTCACATCGTCTACCGCGATGTGCAGACCTCGACTCAGGCCATGAGGCACCTGGATGGACAGGTGTTCCTGGGCCGCCCTCTCGTGAGAGGCCCATTCGCCCCGAGCCTGGTTCGAGCATAGGAGAAGCGCTAACCGGCAAAGAAAATCCAATACGCCAAGTCCAAGTCACACTTCGTCGCCAAGCTGGACGGAACCTTCAAGATCCCCATCGCCTCGGGCGCCGCCAACGTCGAGCAGACCGAGCTGCAGAAGAGCATCTTCGACGCCCCGCCCGCTGGGACAACTTCGGCAAAGCCTGCCGATTCCGCCGATCAGGTCATGAAGGATGCTGGAGAAGCGGAGAGCCGCGGTCAGAAGCGGACGCGCGACGAAGAGGACGACGAGAGCGAAGAGGATGTGGCAATGGAAGAGGATAGTGATGGTGATGAATGAGATGGAGACCTGCTCTGTCGAGGCGGACCGACGACGAGTCAGACGAGCGAATCCCGCTGGTTTCATTGTACGACCATTTCTTTGGGCACCCAGAGGCCAACGCAACCCCCGACAAGCCCGAGCCAGATGATGAGATAGTTCTCTCGGGAGCATTCGAAGCGCGAGAGAGCGTCCCCGACCAAGCAGGGATGGACGAAGAAGGCTGGGACCCCCGTGACTGGATGATGCTGCGCCAGAGCTGTTAGTCTAGCCCGTCCATACCCTCGGGCGGCAAAGCCCCGTTGGCCCGCCAGGGAGAAAAACTCAGACTCACGTCCGCAGAGATGCCGCCGATGCCGCCTAGACCTCGCAGCCCATCCTTGTACTCGTCGGGCACCAAACGGCGAAAGACTGTGTCAATGCTGAAGGCGGGCTCATCCGCCGGGAGATTGTGGAGGGTGAACCACAGACACGGGACCCTATAGGTGGGATGGAGGTGAATCTCATAGGCGACGTGCTCCTCATCACGGCCGGGCGCATGTTTGATGATTGCCGCCTGAGAATTGTCAGGTCACTTCGGATAGGAGAGTGGTGGAAACGGGCGTCTTCATACTGAATCGAGCTCTTCGGCATCCATCATGTCCTGGTCTGCCTTGACCGTGGCGTCTTGAGAGATCGAGATTCTGCCCATGTCAAGTGAAAGATTGCCGTGATCCACGGTCGGCTCGAGAGGGCGCGTGACCTGGATGTATGTCGTGTAGCCGCCGTCGACGTCGAAAACAGTGTCCAAGGCGGTGCAGAGCCTGAGCTTCCACCGCCTCCGCAGCGGACCCAGAGTTGCCTGGCAGTACTGCCTGTCGAGGTGATGGCAGGCTCCTGAGAATTCCTCGCGGTCCAAGAAGGGGAAGTCCTTGAGATTGGTGTCCATGTTCTGGACTTGCGGAGTGGGATTTCTCCACTTCTTCTTGTGCTTCCCGATGCAAATTCTCTTTCAAGGGAAACGAGAGTTGATAAAGTTCGGTCGTAAGCTTTCAACTCACATCACCGCCTTTTGAGATGCCGCGTCGTCAATGCATGCGCGAGGCGGTATCGGCAAAGGTTCTCGTCCTGTGCTCAGGCTGGCCGTTCCAGGCTCTAATGCGGGCCCGGCTTCTATTAGCACCTCCCTCCCCCTAAAACGTTCCGCAATTAGCACTTCTAGAAGGGCACCCGAAAGGGGTCCTGCAGCGCCAAGGCTACTAGCCTCCACTGGACGTCCAGCCACCCAAACACTGGACCTCATACTAACTTTATAGGTGGCCCCATTGCTCAAGTCATTCCCCAGCCAAGTGCGATGCTCCCTAGATTCACCCTCGACCAAACATCCGACCGTGCCCGGCAACAAAGCCGGTTGCATTGCCCCCCTGACCGTCTCGAGAGCCCGCTGCTGCGAGAAACGCCACGGCCGCGCCGTCCCGACATGAGCCAGCCGGCCCCATGATTCGCGACCCGTTCAACATCCATCGGAAGAACGCCTTTCAAGCTACCGCTCTCCGAGCCGCGCAAAACATCAGGGACGCGGCAGCTCAGGCGGGCGCCACCGCCCTTGACATGTCCTTTTCCATCCCAAAGAACATTCCCGACTTTGCGGCTCCGCATCGCGATCTCGAGGACCGGGCATGGACAGCGGTCCCGAACCGCGCTGGCGCCGGCCTCCTCAACCAAGTCCAAGGCCGCGTGGCGGGCCTCTTCGACCAGCAAGAACTGCCCATGTACAAGGATAAGCCATACACGTACGCGCCGTCGATGCGGCGGCGCCCGTGGTGGAGGCGGAAGCGCATCCTGAGCACCCTGGTGCTAGGCGCGTTGACCCTGCTATACCTGACGGGCTTCTTCTCCAGCCGCAACGAGAAGCGCAGGCCGACAACTACCTGGTCATGGATGGGCTTGTCGCAAGACAAGGGGAGCGCCGACTGGCACGAACGACGACAGCATGTCGTCGAGGCCTTTGAGTTGAGCTGGGACGCATACGAGCGCTATGCCTGGGGTACGCTCGCTGCTCCTGCGACTGCGGTGCGAATGCTGACTGACGATGCGGCTTGCAGGATACGACGAATACCACCCGATCGCAAAGACGGGCGAGCATATGGCTCCCAAGGGCCTCGGTTGGATCATCATCGACTCGTTGGACACTATGATTCTCATGAACCAGACGAAGCGCCTGCACCATGCGCGCGAGTGGCTCTCCAAGACGCTGACGTGGGATCAGGACCAGGACGTGAGCACTTTCGAGACGACGATTCGAATGCTCGGAGGCCTGCTGTCGGCGCATTATCTGTCCACCGAGTTCCCCAACATGGCGCCCTTGGAAGAGGACGACCCGGGCAGGCCGGGAGAAGACCTGTACCTCGAAAAGGCCAAGGACCTTGGCGATCGCCTTCTCGCAGCCTTCGACTCCACTTCGGGCATTCCGTATGCCAGCGTCAACCTCGGAAAGTACGTCGGGATACCGTCTCACGCCGACATGGGAGCGTCCTCGACGGCCGAGGCCACGAGTGTGCAGCTCGAGTTCAAATACCTGGCCAAGCTGACGGGCGAGAAGCATTTTTGGGAAAAGGCCGAAAAGGTCATGGAGATTATCGACGAAAACAATCCCACAGACGGGCTGGTGCCCATTTACATATACGCAACCAGCGGCGCGTTCCGTGGCCAGAACATCCGACTGGGCAGCCGGGGCGACTCATACTACGAGTATCTGATTAAGCAGTATCTCCAGACGAACAAAAAGGAGCCAGTGTATGGGGAGATGTGGGACGAGTCGCTGCAGGGCGTCCGGAAGCACCTGGTAACGTACACGGAGCCCTCCAAATTCACCATCATCGGCGAGCGCCCAGAAGGGCTGGACGGGTCATTGTCTCCCAAGATGGACCACCTGGTATGCTTTATGCCGGGGACGATTGCTCTGGCGGCCACGGGGGGGCTCAGCGAGGTCGAGGCGCGGAAGCTGCCGAGCTGGTCCAAGAAGAGCGAGGACGACATGAGGCTCGCGCGGGAGCTGATGCAGACGTGCTGGGGCATGTACAAATACATGGCCACCGGACTCGCGGCGGAGATTACGCACTTTCAGATCCCGACGCCGCCTCTACCGGAATCGGCTGCCCACTCGGCGCCGGCCGACTTTGACGCGGATCCCAAGGGCGAGTGGCGGCGCGACTTCAGCGTCAAGTCCAATGACGTGCATAACCTGCAGCGGCCCGAGACGGTGGAGAGCCTCTTTTACATGTGGCGGATCACGGGCGACGTCAAGTACCGGGAATGGGGATGGGAGATGTTCAGGTCGTTTATGAACCACACGGCCGTGGAGGACCGGGGCGGGTTCACGAGCCTGCACAACGCCAACGTGATACCGCCCGTCGTCAAGGACAACATGGAGAGCTTCTGGCTGGTAAGTCGACGACTTTGATGCTGCTTTTCTTGATCGGGAGCACGATGCTGACTTTTGGGGCGCCACAGGCCGAAACGCTCAAGTACATGTACCTGCTCTTCTCGCCGGACGACGTGTTGCCTCTGGACAAGATTGTGCTCAACACGGAGGCGCACCCGTTTCCGCGGTTCGACATGGGCGCGGCGTTTTCGACGGGCTGGACGCGCAAGCCGCGGGACGCGAACGGCAAGATTGTGGGGGGGGCCCAAAGAAAGGCAAGCGAGGAGTCGTAGGGCTGCGTGAGGAAAAGAGCATGCCCGTCTGTTTGTACGTTGATTTGTCATTGTGCCAAGTATGTGCCGTCGTCTACCGATGGATATCCTGAATACTACCGGATGGGTGTAGAGAGCGTGTCAAAGCGTGTCTCGTTGCGACGTCTTTTCTCGTCCCGTGTACTCTGTATGAGCTGCTCACAGGGCATTCAAGCAAGGGAATTCGCATCCTCGTCACCGTCGTCACCGTCATTGCAGGGATCTCTTGACTTCTCCTGACCACGGACCACAAGAGATGAACCCTATTCTTGGGCCGGGGCAGCCCTGCGGCGAGACCAAAGACGCCAACGACGTGGGGGCAGGAGACTTTGTGGAGTTTCGGATTGGGATCGAGAGGAACCGGATCGATGTTCGTGGCGGATGATGATGGTGCGCACGGGCTCGTCCGTTCGGCCCTCCCGTCTCTCTCGCTGCAGCGAAACAAGGACGGGGGGCTTCAGGTCCCACAGGGCCCTCCCATCGGGCCTGTGGCTCCTCGCCCTGCGCGCTCGACAGGCGGGGAAGACCCCTGCTCGGCCCTCCCCCTCCCGCTGACGACGCCCTGTAGGGAAGCGCTGCAGGCTCACCGTGGGTAAAAAGGGTTCTGCAGGTCTCTGGTGTTCGTACCGCCGATCCGCCGCTGGGTACCCGGCACACCCGAGGGCTGCGTGGCGGGGACTTGTCCAACGGTGGGCGCTACTTGGAGTTCATCGACGGTTGTTTCTCCAGCTCCACGTGGGTGGTGGATGTTTGTCGCGCCGCCGCGTGCTGCAACTGCAACCATGACGGTTCAACCCCATTGTTCAGTTGTGTGCAGACTGAAACCGCTTCCCATCAACCGCGGACCACCTATCACCACCTAGTCCCGGACGACCGCCTGCGACACGCGGCCAGCGTCTCGGCAGCCTGGTCGTGGTACAGTCCCACGGCCCTTGACTGCTCTTGTGCCGCCGTCCATTGGCAGCACTCCTTGATCCCAACTCGCCTCACCGCCCCCCACGACCACCCGCGTAAATTGGCTCTGCTTATCCGCCTCGGCTCGCGTCGCCCTTGTCTCACCTCGCCTCGCTGCCCGTCACCCGCTGCCCGTCACCCGCTCTCCGGCCATCCGACCAGCGACCGACGACCTACCGACCTACCGACCTACCGACCAGCACCCTCCGGCCAGCTCCGCCCTCGCCTCGAATTGCCTACGACACCCGTTGACGTTCCTTGAAAGAATCGCAGGAGGCCCGGCGTCGAGCGACATGCGCGCAGCCACCTAAGTTGTCCACCACCTCCTCCGGCAATCAGTCGAGCACTCCCGAGACACGGCCCTCTCACCGAGGCTGTTGGCGACGATAGCGATTGCTACGACCGACGGCCTCTTGGTGCCCACCAGCTCGGCCCCCGGTCCCCTGTCCGACTCATCTCCCGGCCCGCCCCTCAAGTATGGCGCCGCACCGCGACATTGAGCTCAACACGCTCAACAACCTCAAGGTCAAGGAAGACTCCTTCACCCACGGCAGCTCGCATAGCATGCGCGAGCCCGACTACGAGCGGCGCGCGACGCCCCGCATCCAGCGCTTCATCGACAGCTTCAAGCGCGACGCCGACTCGACCTTTTTCCCCAGCGACCACCTCAGCCAGGTCAACAGCGTCTCGACCGCCCCCAATCCTCGCGGCGCCCACTACTACGACCTGCATCTCGCCGCCGTCGAGTCGGTCAACACGGGGCTCGCCAGGAAGCTCAAGGGCAGGCACCTGCAGATGATTGCGATAGGAGGCTCCATAGGCACCGGCTTGTTCGTCGCGTCGGGCAAGTCGTTGAGCGCCGGCGGGCCTGCCTCGTTGCTCATATCCTTTACCATTGTCGGCGTCATGCTGTACTGCACCTGTCAGGCCCTCGGCGAGCTGTCCGTCATCTTTCCCATCGCAGGCTCCTTTTCCTCGTGGGCCACTCGATTCCTCGATCCCTCCTGGGGGTTCGCCATGGGCTGGAAGTTGGTCGTGCCCGCTCGCGCCCCTTGTCCGACCCCTTGCTGACCCGGCTGCTCACAGCTACGCCTTGCAGTGGCTCACGGTGCTGCCGCTCGAAATCATCGCCGCCTCCATGACGATTCGCTACTGGAACGAAGAGCTCCCCAGCGCCATCTTTGTGGCCATTTTCCTCAGCGCAATCATGCTCATCAACCTGTTTGGAGTCAAGGGATACGGCGAGGCCGAGTTCACCTTTTCCATTGTCAAGGTCATTGCCGTCATCGGATTCATGTGAGTGACCGCGCGCAGAGCCTTTCATCCCCGAGCACCGCCTGACACGTGCGTGCCCACCCCAGCCTCCTCGGCATCGTCCTCAACTGCGGCGGAACCCCCGACCGAGGATACATCGGGGGCGAGTACTGGCAGAACCCCGGCGCCTTCAACAACGGCTTCAAGGGCCTCTGCAGCGTCTTCGTGACGGCCGCCTTTGCCTTCTCCGGGACCGAACTCGTGGGCCTGGCCGCGGCCGAGACGGCCAACCCGCGCAAGTCGCTGCCGACGGCCATCAAGCAGGTGTTTTGGAGGATAACGCTCTTCTACATTGTCGCCCTGACGCTCGTCGGCCTGCTGGTGCGCTACGACGACCCGCGGTTGCAGGACTACGACAGCAACGCCGACGCAAAGGCCTCGCCCTTTGTCATTGCCATTGACGCGGCGGGCATCGAGGTCCTGCCGTCCATCATGAACGCCGTCATCCTCGTCGCCGTCTTGTCCGTCGGCAACTCGGCCGTCTTCGGCTCGTCGCGCACCCTCGCCGCCATGGCCAAGCTCAGCCAGGCGCCGCGCTTCCTGGGCTACGTGGACCGCCGCGGCCGCCCCCTCGTGGCCATTGGCCTGGCCGGCGCCTTCGGCCTCCTCGCCTTCCTCGCCGACCTGTCGCAGCGCCCCGTGCTCGACTGGCTGTTGGCCATCTCGGGCCTCTCGACCGTCTTCACCTGGGCCTCCATCTGCCTGTGCCACATCCGCTTCCGCCGCGCCTGGGCCCTGCGCGGCCGCAGCCTCGACGACATACCCTTTGTCTCGCAGGTCGGCGTGCTCGGCTCCTGGATTGGCCTGGTGCTCAACGTGTGCATCCTCGTCGCCCAGTTCTGGGTCGGCGCCTTCCCCATCAGGTGGGAGACGATGGCCCGCAACGAGGTGGTGAAAAACTTCTTCCTCAAGTGCGTCGGCGTCCCCATCATCTTCCTCTTCTACCTCGTGCACAAGCTCTTCTACCGCACCGCCTACATCCGCCTCCGCGACATGGACGTCGACACGGGCCGCCGCGACTTCAACCTGCCCATCCTCAAGGCCCAGGAGCACGGCGAGCGCGCCGCCTGGCCCCGGTGGAAGCGCTTCTACAAGTTTATCTGCTAGCCCCGCGCGAGCCCTCCCCCCTTTTATGTACACATACATCCCTTTCTTTTCTTCGTTTCTCTCGTCGCCGCCTCTGTCGAGTTGACCTCGAAGGGCTGCGTGTATACGGGTAGGGCGGCCGGCTATCTATCGCTCGGGCGAGGCGTTTCGGAGTGACCGTGTCTTTTTGGGCGGCGGATCAAACTGGGAACTGGACAAGGGGAGCGGCATCCTGGATTTGGTGCTCAGGGACAAACAGGACATGTCGCCGATGCAGAAGAGAACAAACGGCGTGTAGGCTCAATTCATGGGATTGCACCACTCGTCTATCTGCACACATCACCGACCATCATCAATTCCCTTGCGTGTGTATCCGCACGTACATTGACCATCGCCGCGACGGCCCACGAGGAACACGCAGGCGCACGTGCCATTTCCTCGTCAGATGCATAAGCGTCAGGCTTGCTCAGGACACCGGGACTTGCTCTCTTTCCTTCTTGTGCATCACCGTGGTTTTGCTACACGAGTTCGCCGTCGCTCGCGCACCACGACTGCTTAGCTGAATCGAATCTCTCGGGTACGGACCAATGTACACAGCAGCATGGATGAACTGCCGCCAAATCTTGTTCTGGCAACAGCAATGGGTACATACAAGAAGAATACAGATACGGAAGAAAGAGAGATAAACAGGCGAACAAGACAGAAATCGAATAGCCGATATAACGTGTCGGGCCTCACTTGGCTTTGTGTCCAAGCAGGGACACCGGCAATATCAAGAAAAAGGCTCTCTCATGAATCATGAGCTGCATGCAGACGTGCCGTCGTCAGTGGCCGCACACCTCCTGCCGAGGTGTCCTTTGCCGGGATCCAAACCGTGTGCCCGAGTTTCCCTTGTCTAAAAAGCCCAAAAGCTCTTCGCGGCCGCTGCCCCGTTGCCTTTCCGTGACGTGGTCGCCTTGGGGGCCTCACCTTCTTCGTCGCCACCAAAGAGCCAGTTCCTGTCAGTGCCCTTCTTGCCTCCCATGCCGTCGCCGGCGATGTGGATGCCCTCCTTGTCCCCGTTTTCGCCGGCCGGCAAAAGGTCTCGGCTGCCGCCCTTCTTGGTCCCCATGCCGTCGCCGGCGATGTGGATCCGGGATCCACCCTTGGCCTGACTGGGCCGCGGCTGGTTCTCCTTCTGGGACGAGGGGGACTGGTCGTAAGAGGACCAGTTGGCGTCCATCATCTTGACTGCCTTCTGGCGACCCTCAGGGACGGCCTGCGGCTGCTGCTGCTGTGCCGAAGGGGAGTCGTCGGTCATGGCGAAGTGGGGGTCAAAGTCCTTGGTGCGGTCCTTGAGATTGGTGATGTTACCCAAGGCACGCTGGGGCCCCGGGGTAGCGTCATCGCGATTGATGTTGTTCTTGTACAGTCCGAGGCCCTCGTTGTGCACCGAGCCCCGAGGCTTGCCTGGCCGCTCCTGGCGGGACACGCTCTCGCCGTCGTCCTGAAGCTCAAAGTGCGTCTCGGCGTCTCGGCGACCTTTGCCGGCGGCTTTGCCAGCCTCGTCAACGTTGCCTACCTCGGTATCCCAGCTGCGGGTATCCTGATGGCGGTAGGTCTTGGACGGCTTCGGCTTCTGGGGGGTGACGAAATCATCAAACGACCATTGGCTGTTGTGCTTGGACTTGGTTTGATCCTTCAGGCCCATGCCAGCCTTGGATTTGTCCTGAGGGTCAGAACCGTCGGCGAAATCAAAGTGTTCGTACTTGCGAGGATTCGGGCGGATGTACGATTTTGTACCCTTTGCCTCGGAAGTTTCATCCTCAACCTCCTCGTGATGCTCTTGGCCATCAAAAATCCGCATGGGTTGGTAGTTCTTGCCCTGGCCGACCTTGCTAGGCGAAACGGATCGGTCACGAAGGGCATTGTGAGCTTCCTCACCCTGGGGCTCATCGCCCAGAATCTCGGTGAAGCCGCGCTGCCGGGGTCGATTGCCCGCATAAGGCGATACGACGGAAGCCGGCTCGGCAGCCTCGATCTGCTCGCGCGGGGCGAAGAGCTCGAGCGACGCGTGAGGATCGCGGAGGGCATTGGCCGACAGACCACGAGTTCGAATGACGACGTCGTTGTGGCTTTGGTTGGCCGAAGAAGAGGCCAGACCAGCCGATTCGAGGCAGGCGCGAATCATGGAGAGTTGCTCCCTGCTGTCCTTGATTGGCCAATTGCGACCCGTCTTGCCAATTATTTCGAGCTGCTTGAGAAGCGAGCCCTGGTCCCATTGCTGGCGCATTTGGATGATTTTGCCATCAGCGTCGAAAGCGACAATGTGCATCTGCAGGACGGTCGGTCAGTAACGTTACAGGAAGTTGCTCGACTGTGACAAGGCGAGATGGGCGCAAACGTACGATGGGGAGGTAGGCCGTGCGATCGGACAAAAAGTTGTCGTCGAGGCCTGGCAGGTAGGGTCCGCCGCTCGTGAGGAACTCGAGGTCCGTGTCAACCTCGAGAGCGATGACGTTGTTGCCGTCTATGACGCCGAGGACATTCTGCTTTTTCTTCTTGATCTGCCTCTGCAGCGAGTTGAGGTGCTTGAGGATGTCAGTGGCGCCGGAGAAGGTCGTCGTGGTGGTGACATAGTGCAGCGTGGCCTTGTCCGCCAACAGCGAGGAGCTGGGGGCGGCCAGGAACTGCTCATATGTCGCAACAGCAGCCATGGCGCAGGCGAGGGCGAAGAGTGGCGGTTATGCCGTTGTTGCGAATGCGAACGCGATTGGTTTTTTTTTTCCTTCTGTTGTTTGGATCCACGAAGTGTTGTTTTGACGCGTCGTCGGTGGGGGAGAGCGTGGGGGAGTTGCGGCTGGGGGGGTTGTGGCCGAGATCAAGGGAAAAAGAGCAAGGAATAATAGAAAGCAACCACCTCAAAAGGGGGGAGGGGGGTAGAGAGACGAGTTGGACGAGAGACGGAGCGAGAGTCGGGGGAAAAAGAGAAAAGAGAGAAGGGGGTGAGCGAGAGAGCGCGTGGACGGGATGAAGACGAAATGAAGGAGGAGGTGGGTCGGGATTCCGGGGCGGGTTGGCAAGGAAGGCAGGGCGCAAAGCAGGGACATGATTAGATAAGATAGCTACCCAAGCTGTGGCACTTGAGGGGGAGCCTCGTGATTTGCACTGCAGGAAAGGCGTGCATACGAAGTACCGCGGTGGTACCTGGAGGCGCAGAAGGAGCCGCTTGGTGGAGTAATCAAACATACACTCCAGATTTTCAAACATACACTCCCGACCTAAGCCCCATTTGGAAGAAGACCCCGCCACCAAAATTTGGCGCGCGCTTTCCCAACGCCGCTGCCGCGGCTGCCTGCCTAGATATATTGTCGCATATCACGCCCGTGTCAGTTCCTGAAACCTTATGCTCGATCACTGCCACTGCTGCGCCGCGGCTTCGCCGCAATGATCGGGGTATATATTGTTGCACGAATGTGTGCATCCAATTCTTTTCCTTTCCTTTGTTCTTTAGATAATTCTCATCAATTGACTGATGCCACAAAGATCAACCGCTGTCACGTGCGAGGTGTGGGACACTATTGTCTGACATATATGGATTCTATCTGCAATTATTACCAACGCCGGAAGATGCATCCCTTAGAGTCATTCAATTGAAGCTATCAATAAGCCCGGCCCGATCGATCTTCCGATATATATACAATATGCATATAATGGCGGAAGGTCTTTGCCTACCTCTGTGACTGTGACTGTGACTGTGAGGAAGGATCCGTCCGACGCGGCGGAGGGCGAGGCACGTAAGAACGAATTTGTGACCGGCCTGCCTGCTAGTTTTGTATGGTGCCGTGTCCCTCTGATCCCCTAGCTGCTGGAAATGCTCCGTAGCCGTCTCGTGAGACTGTGCCGGCGGCTGTGCCCACATGAAGCCGTCGTGATGTGCCTGTGACGAGGAGGCGGTTCTTGCCACTGTGACGGCGCCGGCGCCTGTACGTATACAGGCACAATTGGTGTAGGCGGTGGCATCACATAGTATCCCTGTGACGGCGGCGCCGGCTGTGGAAGTGAGGGCATCGTCGTTTGGTATCCCTGTGACACCAGCGGCACCTGTGGAAGTGAGGGCACCTGTGATAACAGCACCGGCGTTGCTGCTGCTTGTGACTTGATGAAATCACCGATCTGCTGGGCAAGATCGTCAACCCGGCTGCTCACGGAAGCAAGTGTATTCGACCTCTTGTTCATGATAGTGGTGCCTGTGCCCTTCCTCTTCTTCTTTGCGTCTCTGGTGGCCGTGATACGAGCTCTGGGTTGGCTCTATGCTCCTCTTGCTCCCAAGCACTAAGGATCCGGCCCGTAGATGCCTCTAGTGGAGGATACCTCGCGTCTACTGTTTCCACGCCGGCGAGGCTGGACAACGTCAGGATCGGCTTCGTGGTCTGCATCGATATATTGCTGTTGTTCAGGCTGCTAGTAAATTAGTATAGTACTTATGGCTGGAGCAAGATACTTACAGTCACGCCGTAAACCCGCCAGTGGTTATCAATAAGATGCAATGGTATAAGGGCGGCCGCGTCAGCCTGGATCAAATCGCGGATTGTATGCCGGCAGGGCAGCCCCCATTGCATCGTGAAAGCACCCGTACAAATCGTAGGCATGCCTCGATTATCGGCAAGCTCAGCCAGGCTAGCCTAACTTGCCTGAAGATCTGTTTCATCGGCTGCCAGCCAATTTTTCGGTGCAGTGACTTCATAATCGTCTGCTTGGCCCATTCAACTCTAGCTCTTGCAAACTCGGATTGAAGCTTCTCGCGATGCTTCTTTTGCCGATGGGTAACGAGCCTCTGATGTGCTCTTGTAGCTGATGGAGGTCAATGAAGCGGTTGCGTAATCGTGACTTCAACTCGTGATGTGTGCTCTCCACACGGGAAGTTACCGTAATGTTATAATTTCGGTACTGTTGGATAGCGTAGGTGGAAAACTGGGCACGCCATGGCCAGTAGGTTGTACGGAGGTAATTAACGAGAGCTATAAGAGGAGCTATTTAGTAAAAGGTTAGAGTAGGAGGGTAGTTAGGGCTAGGGTTACCTGGCTGATCCGAAAACTCTATACAGAGTAGATCCCACTGATCTCTGCACTCCTCAGCCGTGCGAGCCCTAAAGACTGAAACCCAGGCATCACGGATACCGTCAGCTGTGTGCTCAAAAGTCCGCCTTGGAGCCGGGGTAGTATTGGGTTTCCATCGTCATCTTCACGATCATCTTGTTGCTCAACGCACTGATCTGCCAGTTGTGAGGCATGTTGAATCTGGTAATCAGTGGCACGGTCGATAGGTCGGTCCTCGTCAATGGCATTATCTGCCTGTATAGGGTCGTCGAGAGCGGCTGCTGCAGCGAGGCGAGTCTCCTGTTCTGGCCTATCTCCGCCAATCTCGGTGCCATCGAGGGATCCTTCCCACTTCTTCTTGATGTGAAGGATCACGTTCTTCATCATATGCCAAACGCACACTTGTTGTTGCGTTGATGGGAAGATAGAGTCAAGGGCGTTCTTCAGGGCGGTATCAAAGTCGGTAATCACAACGCCCGGGTCCGGAATATCAGCCTGCCGACCAGCCTCACGCAACTGTGAGAGGATCCATTGGAACGCGCCTTCGTCTTCCTTGGCAGTGAGGCCAAAGCCTACACTGAAGCTCTTGTGTAGCCCTGTTGTGCCAATGATCTGTAGAAGCGGCATGTTAAAGCGGTTGACCTTATACGTATTATCCATGATAAGGAGCTCGGGGTTACGCTTCCAGTCAGCAATACAGTCATCGTATGTCCAGAAAAACCTCCAAACCTTCCCATTAGGGCCACGGTCAACTGCATAGTAGCTGATTTCCCCTTTGCTTTAGCATCTTTGAGTACATCGAGGAAGGCTTGTGTAGATGTAGAGGCGCCGTAACGGAAGGCACGAAGTTGCAGCTGGATGAAGTGTATATCAGAATCGGTAATAAGGAGCTCAGGATATTCCTGTCGGATAGCATCCACGATATCCCTGCTCTTGTTATTGACGTTCTTGCTAAGCCCCTCGACGAGGCTATGAAGACGCTCGATGCCGAATTTGCGTTGGCTTCGTTGACGGACGATGGGGTTAGCAATTGGCTCAAATAGAGGTTCGTGGTTATGAGAGCCGTGCTTGATGGTGACTTTGAATGCATTGCAACGTCGGTAGAAGCGGATGTAACAGCGAAAGTCACATCCCGACTTCTTGGATGACGTCTTGTATATACCCTCTGCCTCGTCCCAGGGCCTATACTGACCACTGTATTCACAGCGGATATTGGCTTCCTTGCGCCTAGGCTTGCCGGTATTCTTGCTATTTGCAACGACTACGACGTAGCCAAGGAGCTCTTGCGTAGCTTTGAGTGTTTCAAGCGCCTCATCATACGTATCGAAAGACATCTCCGTGATAGCCTCGGTGCTACTGTTGGTATTGCTTTCGGTCGAATTCATCGGGACGATTGACTAGACGTGACTATTGCGGTAGGCGGCGGCGGCGTTGCTGTTGTGTTGAGTCAAGTGGTGATAGCTTCAATTGTTGATGATTGCGAAAATGCAGATGGCGGCCAAAAGGCAGGTGGCTGGGCGGGTGGGCGGCGGCGATGGTCACGGCAAGCCAGGGCGTTGGGAAAGCGCGCGCCAAATTTTGGTGGCGGGGTCTTCTTCCAAATGGGGCTTAGGTCGGGAGTGTATGTTTGAAAATCAGGAGTGTATGTTTGATTACTCCGCTTGGTGCGTCCGCCTGCCTGTTTAGGCATGAAGCCTCTGGAACGTCCTGCACAGTACACAGTATTAGCACAACGCAGCCAGGCACAAACAGCGCCTGGTGAGCGGTGGCCGCGTCGCTGTCTGGGCGCCCGGGGGGCCGGGCGGAGGATTATGTGTGCATACTGTAAAGGGCTTCCATCGCCCTCGCTTGTGTGCTTCCAAGACAAGAGGCCCTCCACACCCTTTACCGATCTTCAGTCCACGGCGATGTGCGCAAGGATGGATGGATGGAAGCTCAATGGAAGCAATCATGCTGTGCCGAGGACAGTACAAGGCAAGGGTGCCGGAAATACACAGTGCCCAAGGTCCTCAGAAGCCAACTACCTACCTACCTAGGTACTTAAGTAGGCGACACCCGGGTCCATTGTTATGCTAGCCGGGAAGCCAAGTATCCGTACTGTACTGTACAGTGCCAAAACACCTATCCGAACTGACAGGGACAGCTCAGGTCCCCTTTTTCCAGAGATGCCCGCCTACTTGTGTACCTAGTTAAGTAGGGCAACGCCTAAGGCAAGGTACGGAGCCTTTATAGCTCTTCAAGTCTGAGACAAGCTCTCTCCTGCTTGGGGTTATTGGTCAATTACGCAAGTCTGCGCTGAAAGGAAACCAGCAGCTGGCAATTTGTGAAAGCAAATGGACGGAAATACGCGCGTGCATTGGTGGGCGGGCAAGCCAAGGTTGCAGCTTGGATACCTACCAGCTCATGCGGGTCCGAGTCGCCTCAAACCCGGGCCTTGCAGGGCCTCCGTGGATATTTTCCACCAGCCAACCATCTAGCTGAGACGGTGGACCGGGGATCCACCGCGTTTCGTATCTCGATGCGCGCCTTTTGTGCCTGTGAATTTGGGCAAGGGGCCTCTGTGCATTTCTCCGTACCCAGGTGATTAGTCATGTGCGGCATCGGTGTGCAGTTCCACGTGCCATCGATTGAGAGAGTCCGTCCGAGTCTCCGTGTTATAAACCTAATTTTCAGTTGTACGTCCATCTTTTCCTTCTTCTTCTTCTTCTTCACTCCACTGTCACCGTGCTGAAAAGAGTAGAAACCCGTTTCGACCCGTCTTGGTCGACTCCTAATTATCGTTTCTTTCCACGAGGGCGGTTCAAAGCCACCATCTTCCTTGCGGATCCGAGTAGCACATTACCTAATTACCAAGGCACCACAATCACACTTAGACTGACCGGCGCAGTGGATACCAGGGGAATATAGCCCGGATACTATATGTCCATATATGCCTTGTCGGCGCGTGCCTTGCATGGCCAATGTTGTATATCGCCTGCCCGCCGGCACGAGTGGGACTGTGACTTGTACATGCCCTAGCCCTGTTGCTTCTTGATGCATATGCTCTTCCCTCGAAACACCAATCCAGTCATTGGAATCACTGGCGCTTTCCTTGCCGCTGCTCAGACAGCGCTGTGATATCGTGGAGGGGCTCTGACGGGCTACAGCCCCCCACTGTAAAGTCTCACCTGCTGCAAACAACTAACTAGCGGCTGACGTAACTGCGTGCCGACTCGCGCGTCCTTTGCACTGTAGCTCCCCATTGCCACAGGGTACCTCGCTCCCCGGTACCGCGCTATTTTGGCCTCCACCCGGGCCCCCAGCTCGGCAGTTAGCAACAAACTTGGCCCCTCGGTCCCGTCTAGCTTGCGGCGTCTCAAATCATCCAACGTCTCGTCTCGGACGTCCACGTCGACCTCTTCCTCCGAAATCCTCATCACCGACCATCCCGGGCTGGCCCGCCATCTCTCTCTCCCCCCATCTTCTGCCGAGCCTGGCGACTGCCCTCCCTTCTCTTCTCCTCCCGCCCCTCGCGCCTCTTCATGATCGCTGTACAGATCGCACCTCGCCAACCATGAGGCCTGCAGCCAAGGCAGCGGTGGCAGCATGGCGCATCCTCGTGCTCGCGTCCCTCCTGTGGACGCTGGCCCTCGCAAAGGATGCGCCCGACATGTCCGTCAACAAGTTCAACCACCCGCCGCTCTTTCTCAACTACTTCGAGGACAGCGACGTCGTCATCTTCCACGACATCCAGGAGCACAACGTCTACCGCTCCCGCGACGCCGGCGTCAGTTGGTCCCGCATCGACTCCATCCCCGAGGGCCAGTCCTTCTTCCTCGTCATGCACGCCGTCGACACCAAGGCTGCCTTTGTCATGACCCCGAGCGGCACCCACTACAAGACTGACGATCGAGGCGACAGCTGGACAAAGTTCACCACAAAGTCCCTCCCTAGCAAGTTTCAGCCCGAGATCCTCATCTTCCACGCCGACGACCCGAACCGAATCATATTCAACGCCATGGACTGCCAGGGCATCTTCTGCGACGAGCAGGCCCTCTACACCCTCGACGGCTTCAAGACCGTCAAGCTGCTCCGCTCCTTCACCGTCGGCTGCTGGTGGGCAAGGTCGTCCAAGGAGTTTACAACCGGCGACGCCGAGCTCGACAAGACGCGCACCCTGTGTATCGTCAAGGACCCCTTCTCCTTCTTCCGCCAGGACCAGAGGCTGCTCGTCTCCGATGCCTTCTACGCCGTGGCCGGCAAGGACATCCAGGAGTTCGAGCCCAACGTCAACGGCGCCAAGGGCGTCTCCGGCGTCATGAGCTTGGCCATTGTCAAGAAATTCCTCGTCGTCGCCACAGCCTCCCTGCGCAGCGACGAGATGGCTCTATACGTCACCGATGACACCATCAAATGGCACCGCGCCATGTTCCCCAGTGACGACAGCCACGATCATTCCCACCAGATCAACCAGGAGGCCTACACGGTTCTCGAGGGCACTAATTACAGCATTCAGATCGACGTCATGACGTCTCGGCCCTCGACCCCGATGGGCGTCCTCTTTACGAGCAACTCAAATGGCACCTACTTTACCGAAAACATCCCCTACACCAACCGTAACGTCAAGGGCCATGTCGACTTTGAAAAGATCTCCGGCATCCAGGGCATCTTTCTCATCAACATTGTCGAGAATGGCAACGACGTCGACAAGAAGGGCGCCGACAAGACCATCGTGACCAAGATCACCTTCGACGACGGCAGGACATTCCAAGAGCTCAAGGCTGGCCAAGAGAGGCTGCACCTCCACTCTGTTACTGAACTGGACAACGTTGGCCGCGTCTTTTCGAGCCCGGCACCTGGACTCGTCATGGGCAACGGAAACGTGGGCAAGCATCTCACAAAGTTCACCGACGCCAACCTGTACGTCTCTGACGATGCCGGGTTGACTTGGACAAAGGCTCTCGACGGCCCGCACAAGTTTGAGTTCGGCGACTCGGGATCCGTTCTCGTCGCCATCAAGGACTCCAAGAAGGAGGACGTCAAGGAGTTGTCGTACTCATTGGACCACGGCCAGAACTGGAAGCAGGTTCCCTTGCCCAATGACCTGAGCATCAAGCCCGACTTCTTGACGACGACGCAAGACTCCACCAGCCTCAAGTTCATTCTTGTGGGAGAACGGGAGCACACATACCATATGGTCGCCATCAACTTTGAAGGGCTCAACGAGCGCAAGTGCGGAGACGATGACATGGAGGACTGGCATGCCCGCGTGGACAAGGACGGAAACCCGACTTGCATCATGGGCCACAAGCAGACCTACCGTCGCCGCAAGAAGTCGGCCGACTGCTTCGTCAAAAGCGAGTTCAAGGACCCGGTTCCCCAGATGGAGGATTGCGAGTGCTCCGACGCCGACTTTGAGTGCGACTACAACTTCCAAAGGGACCCTGAGGACAAGACCAAGTGCAAAAAGGCCGGCCCCATCCCGGTGCCGGATGACGCCTGCAAGGATGACCCCCACGGCTCATTCAAGGGCTCAAGCGGGTGGAGGCTCATTCCTGGAGACACGTGTAAGCGGATCGGCGGCGGGCAAAAGGACGACAAGGTGGACAGGAACTGCTCCGATGGCATCTCTGCTCCGCTCCCTCCGACCAATGACAAGGTCACCAGCAAACAGTTCGTCTTCGACTCGGGACTCAAGGATTTTGAGAAGATCTACCTTGAAAGGGGCGACGCAAGCGCCTCGACGGACGAAACCGTCATTGTGCGGCCGGCCGAGTTCGAGGCGAGCGGACGCATGAAGGTGGAAAACAAGCTGTGGATTTCCCATGACCACGGCAAACAATGGGATCGCATCCTCGAGGGGGAAACCGTTGATGGAATCCATCCCCATCTCTACTTTAAAGACGTTGTCTTTTTCACGACCAAGCACGAAAAGGTCATCTACACCATGGACCGAGGCCGATCTTTCCACAAGTTTGCAGCGCCCACGAAGCCCTTGCCAGGCGAGGCCCATCTCAGCTTTCACCCAGACAAGAAGGACTGGTTGATCTGGCTGGGCGACAAGTGTGAGAAGGTCGGAAGCAGCAAATCGTGCCACAAGGAAGCCTCCCTGTCCACCGACCGCGGCGACAACTGGAGGACCATTCAGCGCTACGCTGAGAAGTGTGAGTTTACAGGAAACTCGGCGTATAACTTCCGCGAGTTGAAGCAGATTGTCTGCCTCGTCAGGAAGGAGGAGAAGACGACTGGACCGATGACGGTGGTCTCAAGTAACGATTTTTTCTTCGAGGACAAGGACATGCACCAGGGCGACGTCATCAACTTTGCGACGATGAGCGAGTTCATTGTCTTGGCGGCAAAGGATGAGAAGAGCGACCATCTCCTCGCGCTGGCCAGCCTGGACGGTAAGCGTTACGACATGGCGCATTATCCCCATAACTTCCGCGAAGGTCACGAAAACCAGTATACGCTGCTCGACAGCTCGACCCATGCCATCAACCTGTTTGTGAGGACCGAGGCAGGAGTCGACCGGCAGTACGGGTCAATCATCAAGAGCAACTCAAACGGCACAAGCTACGTCCTCAGCGCAACCAACGTCAATTGCAACGAGGAGACGTACGTCGACTTTGAAAAGGTGGCGGGCTTGGAAGGCGTAACACTGATCAACGTGGTGACCAACACGGACAAGAGCGAGAAGAAGAAGATTCTGCAGACCAAGATCTCCCACAACGACGGCTCGGAATGGGGTTTCATGGCCCCTCCGCCCAAGGACGTAGATGGCAACGCGTACCCGTGCAGCAGCTCCAAGGGAGACGCCTCGTGCGCGCTCCACCTGCACCACTTCACTGAGCGGGACGACAGGCGACGAACATTTGCAGCGGACACGGCCATTGGGCTCTTGTTTGGCATCGGAAACGTGGGCTCCAGCCTGGGCGACATGAAGGACGCCGACACGTTTTTGTCAACCGACGGAGGCCTGACTTGGAAGAACGTCAAGAAGGGCGTCTGGTCATGGCAGTACGGCGACCAGGGGTCTATCATTGTGTTGGTGCAGAGGGCTACGCGAGCCAATCCTGTCAAGGCCAAGGCTGTCTCGTACTCGCTCGACGAGGGCCAGACGTGGAAGGACCACCCATTCTCGGAGAGCGACGTGACGGTTCTCGACATTACGACTCTCAAGTCGGGCACGTCGCGGAACTTTTTGCTGTGGTGCAAGTCGGCCGAAAACAAGATATTCTCGGTCAATCTCGACTTCGCCGGGCTGACGAACAAGGCGTGCGAGTTGAAGAAGGACTCAGACTCCGAGTCGGACTATTACCTTTGGTCACCCAAGCATCCGCTCCAGAATGACGATTGCCTCTTTGGTCACGTGTCCAGGTACCTGCGCAAGAAGACAGACCGCATGTGCTACAACGAGCAGAGTCTGCAGCGGCTCTATGACCATACCAACTGCGCGTGCAGCCGGCGAGACTACGAGTGGTAAGTGACGGACAAGTGGGGTGTGCTGTGTGTGTTTGCAACGCTGACGAAGCTGCAGTGCGTTCAACTACGAGCTCGACAACCACGGGCAATGCACGCTGGTTGCCGGTCTCGACCCGCTGTCGGGCAAAGAATGGTGCGCCAAGAACCTCAATGCGACGTCTTGGTTCGAGCCGACAGGATATCGCAAGGTGCCCTTGTCGACTTGCCAAGGAGGCAACGAGCTGGACAAGACGTCGACGGAACACGCTTGCGAAGGGCACGAGGAAGAGTTTGAGAAGAAGCACCGGACATCGGGCGTGGTCATCTTCCTGGCCGTGGTGATACCGTTTGCCGCGGCCGCCGCGGCCGGCTGGTACGTGTACCGCAACTGGGACGGCAAGCTGGGCCAGATTCGCCTGGGGGAACACTCGTCGACGTTTGACAGCGACCGGCCCTGGATCAAATACCCGGTCATGGCCGTGTCGGCGGTGGCGGCGCTGGTGGCGGCGCTCCCGCTCATCGTCTCGGGGCTGTGGCGCTCCGTGACGGGCACGTACGACCGGGTGCGAGGCGACCGCGACGGCGGCTGGCTCTCGGGCGGCAACCGGAGGTTCACCACGCGCGACAGCTTTGCCCGTGGCCGCAGCGACTACGCCATGGTGGATGACGAGGGCGAACTACTGGGCGACGACAGCGACGAGGAGGTGTGATGGATGCAGGTCCAGACTGTAGGTTTGAAATGGGGGCCGCTGTGTCTTTGGAGCGGGCGTTTTCCCAATCTCTGCTGCGCGTCACTCTTTTTCCTCTTTCTTTTCTCTTGGATATCGCGTGCCGGCTGCGAGAGCGGGACAGGCGGACGGCTCACTTTCAACCATGATTCTGTGAAATGCAGGGAAAAGAAGAGGCTCGAGGAGGCCACTGCAGCCGCTTCGAGGTGACGAGGCAGGGGAAAGAGCAAGTCATGCTGTAGGATAGGGGTACGGGACGAGCTGAGAACGGCGGCATTCCATGAGTTTATGCGTATAGACATTGCTGGCTAGGTAAATGGCATTATGGGAGCTCAGCTGCCCAAGCCGACAGGATGCATCGTGCCTCGCCCATGGCCTGTCCGGGCTGCGAGTCACCCGTACGGATGGGACTGACTCCCGAAGGTTCTGGGGAGCAATTATCGGACACTCTTCTCCATGCTCAATGCCCAGCGCAATGCAGAGCCCCATTTACCCTCCCCTGGGTAAACGAGCGGCCTCGTATCGCAAGGTGGCATGACAGCCGCCGCGAGTCAGGCGAGAAACAACCTCGTGCCCCGGAGCCTACGAATGTATGCGAATATATTGGACAGGTGCAAGGTGTCCAACCGTACCGACACGACCGTGCCATCATCCATGCCCTGCCCGAGCCCAAATCAGCCCACGGTGCCGGGATTTTTTTAATTTCTTAGAATCAAGGGACCCGAGGACGGCGGTGACTCTTTATCCACTCACGTGCGGGATGACCTAGATACTGCCGTAATATGCCTGGGCGTAGGTGCTCCATTGCTTCTATGCAGTTGGATATGGAAGCCGGCCTTTTGCTGGCCTGGTGAATAAGGAATGGGACATGCATGGCGTTTCGCACGACGGAGATGGGGTACGTATTTCCACGTCCATGTATGCGGCATAATGGGAACACGGATATAATATTATTAGTAGCAATACGGGTATAGGCGATTGAACACCCACCTCCATACAGAGCGTACAGCGCAAAAACCACACCAGGGGCAAGCGTCCCCTATCCTTCGCGCCCGCGGCGCGACTCATTCGACTAATCTGGCCACGTCCCTGCGCCGTCATGCGTCGTCGCCCATCAACTCCACCCGCCGCCGCCTCCCGCCGCCGTGTGGAAAGACGACGGCTGACTCCCCTTTTCGCATACATGGATTTTGCAAAATGGGGGCAAGCAGAGTGCACGAGGATGGGTGGAGGGGGCGGTGGACTACGCGGGGGGGGGAGGGGGGGGGAGATGGAGAATCGAGGTAAAGGCGACGGAGGCATTAGCGGGGCGAGGGAGGGTGTTCGGACTGCGGGCAGAGGGCAGAGGGCGGAGGGCAGGGTGAAAGGAGAGGGCAGGGTGAAAGGAGAGGGCAGAGTAAGAGGGCAGGACAGAGCTGCGGGAAAAAGGAAATCCACCGAGGGGGGTCAAAAGAAAAGAAAGGACAGAAACGTAACAGGAACTGTCTCTGCCAACAGACAGTCGACTAACTCGTCGCCACCAACGTGGCGGAAAGGCACGGCGTGGCTTCGGGAACACGTGGATCAAACGGCGACACGAGGCAGCCAGTTCCGCCAGCCATGCATCGTCGTCACCATCATCACCGAAAGGGGGAGGGCCATGGCGGTTGGCTGGCAATCTCGTCTATTGGCCTGCCTTCGGACCTGCAATTTGCTCGGCCACCGGCTCTCTAGGAAAAAGACATGCATCGTAAAAATAGCTGGTCCTTGACGCAACCCAATCCCATGAATTAAACATGCAAGAGGCCCGGGTGCGCGCGACTCCTCGAGACTCCTCCCAGTGACATGATACTCTCGCTCAGACAGACCCGAGCCCTCGAGCAACGCTGCCTCCTTAAGAGGCCCATCATGGTATCAGCAGAAGCAGTTGCAGAAGATGGGGTATGATTAAAATTTGTGAAAGGAGAGAAAAAAGGTCATTCCAGGCCGTCGTAGCTGCGCCCGCACGTGGGTCGCGCGTGGTGTCAACGTCAACGGCCGCTCAAGGCGGCTCAGGGGGGGGCCTTGTCCCTCATGTGCGCCGAACCCGGTTCCAGAAGCGTCTAACGACGCCATTATCGTTGGCAAGCTCTTCCTGGTCAATGGCCGCCAACTGCCGCTCGATGCTCTCCTTGGGGTCGAGCAACAGCGGCGAAAGCGGTTCGTCCCGGGCTTGCGACCGCCAGTCCACCGAGCCCTTTTGCCAGTTGTACATTTGGCCTTCGTGGGAGCGCAGGTCGGGGCGCGTCAGCGTCATTCGTAGCGTCATCTCGCGCGAGGACGCGGGGGCTTGCGCATAGTCGACCTTGGGCCCGGGGCCCTTGTCATGGCTCCCACGCGCGTGCTCACCCGTCTCTGGCGTCCTCGGCGACTCGGGGTCCGCAGCTGATGCGTCGCTGTACATGGATGACGCATCGTCTTCAAGGAAGGTTTGTAGTTTCGGAGATTCCTGAGAACCGAATCTCCTGTGGCTGATGTTCTCCTGGTTCTGCACCGCATCGATGGAGGGAAAGCCAAACTCGATTGCCTCATCAAACTTGTGAGGCGAGGCCAAGTAGACCCTAAGCTTCATCCGGGCCTCGGGATCCTGGTAGTGAGAGGCTGCGGGATCCATGACTGCTGACATGTCTGGCAGGGACTGCTTGTTGGGAGATATCAGAGACAGGGCTCGCGACCGTCTACGGGCATGGCCCGGGGTTGCGAGGACAGGGCTATTTGGGGACACGGGAGCCACGTCGTCTTTGGTTTCTGGGCGGCTAAAGGTGCCTGACACTCGACCGCCAAAGGGCAGCTTGGAGATGGATAGGTGACGGCGGAAAGAGGGGCGTTGGCCCTGGGGTTTGTTGGGGACGAGGACTTCTTCTCGCAGATTGAAGTGGTAGTCGTCGAGGAAGAGGCGCAGATCCAGCGTGTCATCCTCTTCGAGCCATCGGAAGCATTCGTAGAGAGACTCGGCAGTATTGTCAAGGCGGGTGGCCCCGATGGGCTGGTTGGCTGCGGCCGCCTGCATCGTGGCTGCTGGCTGAGGAGAAGTCGCGCGTTGCAGCTGGCAGCCGTGGGCTTGGGCTTTGGGATATCGTTTGCCAATCCTCAGGTATGCCTCGTCAGTTGCATCGAGGATGACGCTCTGACGGCGCCGGCCAAGGGACAGTTGCTCGTGGCTGTGACGGCGGCGAGGCCTGGGCGAAGCGGCGGCGAGGGAAGACGGAGCAATGTGAAAATCGGGGGTGGCCAGGTGGTCGAAGCGTCGTCGTCTTGTATGAGTCTCGCACGGAGACAGGGAGTTGAGGTTGATGCGCAGGCGCTCGAGGGTAGAGAAATACTGGGCGAGGAGAGGATGGAATCGAGCGTCAGCTGCAAGACAGAGGAGCAGGATGGATAAAAAGAAAGCAAGAGCAGGGCAGAATTATGTACTGGGGATGCAGCGCGGACGAGACAGCGAGGTATGCAGCGAGATATTGCGAGAGAGGAGGGGAGCAACAAGCAAATATGGGCCGAGTTATTCAGGTACTGTACGCGTGATGTCCCCCAGGAGAAGAGCCCCCCGGGAGGAGCCCCCGGAGGACCCCCAGGAAAGGTATCCGTACATGGGTGCTGCATGTACACGTACCTTGACATATGCACTGGCGCAGGGTTGTGTGATGTAATGAGGGAATGGCCATGTCTCAAGGTGACAAGGCGCGCCCCCTCGGGCATCCCCTCCCCTCCCCTCTCGACAGAGATGGATGGGTGCATGAGCCGCGTCGCCGCCGAGACCCGCCGTGGCAGCAGCAGAGGCAGCAGGAATGCTGCCACGGACGGGCCCTTGGACTTGACAAGAAATGCGAGACCACGGTTTCGCTCGCTCCCGTCTGTGCTCTCTGGACTTGTGCAGAGCCAAAAGCAAGCCCTTTTCTTGCTTTGGTGAGACGCCCCTAGCCTCGCTCGCTCTTGGCACTGTCCATGATCGACGCCGTGACAGCGGGAGATCAAACAGGTGGGACCGGTCGAGCAAATGTGGAGGAGGAGAGTGTTTTCGCCTCGCACATGGCGGCAGGGAGAGGCCGAGCTTCACGGAGACGTTGAGACGAACAATTAAAGAGAGAGAGCGACAAGGGAGAGGGCAAGCGATCTGGCTGGCACTCGCTCCATGATTCGCTGGAATCACGTCCAAGCCAACAAATGTTCGCGCTAAGCACCAGCCAGCAATGAGGCAAGATCCGCGGCTGCACCCCGTGCGTGATAGTTGCTCGTGGCTTTCTTTTGGGGCCTTCTCGGCCTCAACGGAGGGGTGGGTCAGCATCCCTGATGCTCGTGTCTTGCAACGTCTTCCGGAATCCAGCCGTGTGATGTGACATTCCTTTTTTCACCTTCCCTTTTGTTTATTTATCGTGCCCTGCGCCATCTCACTCTTCGCAGTCATCGAGATGAGAAGAGTGACGGAACACATACCTTTCGTTGAACGGTGGGCGGAAGGGCCTCGAAATCAGCCGTCGTCATCGCCATGGACGGCGCGCGAACCGGTGAAGGCTTGGGGGCGTTGCTCTTGGTGCGACATGTCGGGGGATCATCGGGTGACGTCGAGGAACGCTGATCTGGCCGCAGGCGGTAACGGAGCAGGCGGAGCCGGGCCTGGTAGCGGCTGCCGGAGCTGTCGTCGTGGGCATTGTCGTCCTCGTTGTCACTGGCGAGCAGGTTTCGCAGACGCCGCGAGGGACGACCGAGGTCGCCTGGCAGTGGGCGGCAGCGACGACGACGACGACGACAAGGGCCATGGTGACTGCGACGGCGATGGCTGTTGCTGCTACTGCTGCGGCTGCTCCTGGGCCTGCTGCTCCTAGGCCTGCTCCCGTCGGCCACGATGATGGCGCTGCTAGCGCTGGCGGTGCGGGTCCCTGCCGCTTTGATGCCACCGGCCGCCATGGCGTTCGTGTTGGGGGCAGCGGGTGCAGAAAACATGAACCGGTGGTGGCGTGGCGTCCGGGGGGCGCTCGAGGTGAGGATGGATGGCAAGCTTTTCTTGTTAGCGGCCGACGACTGACCCCAAGCAGTGGGCGAGCGCGGGGAAGCGAGCCCCTTTGGAGGCTGCAGTGGCGACTACTGGGTAGGTACTTGTACGGAGTACCTGCTGTACCTCCCTGGAAGCTGCAGGTCCTGCTCGTGTGCTGCTGGTGCCTGAATCGAGCAGACGAGTCGGCAGTCACCACGAGCATTGGCTCTCTCCTGCTCCCGTTTCCGACTGGACGGGTACAGTATTTATCTTTTCGCGACTTGGGATTCGCGGTGAAAGAAAACCCAATCCCACCCAACCCAATGTAACCTCTCTCTGTCTGCTCCTCCGCGGACGGCATCCTCCTTCGTATCCGCACACGTACATACCGAGGAAATGCATGTACGGTACGTGCATGCACGTGCATGCACTGGCAGTGCGCCGTCGGTACCTACATGCACAAGGCGGGACCGACTTCGGCGGATCAGCCGCAGCCAGCTCAACCCTCGACCCTTCGGCGGTGCGTCTGGGGCAGCAATTGGTCGGCCGTCAATGACGCGTCAAACGGCCTCGACCGCTTCTTATTATCCATCTTTGTCCACGTTGCTCTCGGGCGCGAAACGAAGCGACGACGTGTCGCCATCTCGGAATACTACATGCATGGGAGATGCCTTGGTAATCATTCCGCTCCCATCGACTCAATCGTCCTCGTCCTCCAGCATCGCCCCCCTACGACGCGAACCTCATCCCACTGCAAAGTCGAGCCTTGGTCCTCGTCCATCCACGAACCCAAACATCTCCCGCTCATCGTGCTCGGCGTGGCAGAAGTCATCGCCTTTCGTGACGCTCCAAGCCTGCCGGTGGAGCCACGCGGGCGTCGCGTCAGGCACGGCGAGGATCCTTGCCTTGCACAAAGGCTTGGCCGATGCGGGAGACGGCAGAGACGTCCCTCCCCGGCGTCGCATTTCAGCTCGTCTTGGACATGCCGGCGGTGGGTCTGGTGCCTCCGACTCCCGATGGGCTCTGCCACGTCCGTCGCAGTGCGGTGAGAGGCGCGGAAGAGTGCATGCAAAACTTCCAACTGAGCATGACGGAACAATGAGCTTGAACAATGCTTTGTTCCTTGAATACTCCATACGCCAAGCCCCAAAAGCCGGCGGGGCCCCTCTGCACATCGGCGCCGCCGGATCCACCGAGCAGAGTTTTGAAGCTCTTGCCCGTGTCTTTCGGCAACAAGCCCAGGGGCGCGCATCATATATATACAGACACTACAGCGATATAGGCGCTCCTGCGCTCCCATGCCTATTGGTCCACTCCATAGCCCCAGCATTAGCCGACGGCCATGTCATTGCCGCCACATAGCCCCAGCATTAGCCGACGGCCATGTCATTGCCGCCAGCTAGCTGCTTCGCCGTCGCTTTCTCACCAAAACTCTAAGCACATTCGTCGCAAGGAGGCTGTCGTGAGAGTGTTGTTGCTTGACGTGGCGATACTGGTGACCAAATTGTTGATTTGACCATATCAAGTCCATTCGCGGACGCACCGGCAGTCTGGTCTGACAATAGGGATATCCAAGAGTCGGGCAGCCTTGGGCGCAAATATCCGTCTCGCCGTTGCATTTTATGAGAGCGTAGCTCATCCCGAACTGATCATACACTGACGGTCGCCGCATCAAAGGTCCCAAGTTCCGACGCCAAAGCTTGCTCCAGGCTTGCAGTAGATATCCCCGAATAATATCTGCCAGACAACCACAGTGGAGATAGACAAGCATCCCTGTGAACAAAGCTGGATACGGCTTCACAGGACTTGGCTTGGATGGGCTCAGGCACTGGCTGACTTTACCTTGCCTAACTCCTGGTAGCCTCTCTTGGCGTGTTCCGGAGCTATCTCTCGCGCTGCATGCACTGGGGCTCAATGTACTGAGAGACGCAGAAGTGAGGCCTCCGGAGGGCTTCTAGAAGACCGAGACATGGCCCTTTGCAGTGGGCCATGCCATCCACGTCCTGGAGTTGTGTTGTTCCGTCCTGACGGTGTCGAGATGGCTTGGAACAAGGTTGCGGGCCCAAGCCATTGCTTGAGCTTATATTGTGGACCAGTGTCTTTCACAGCGGCATCTTCGGGGTTGTGGAAGGGAAGTGACGTCTTCGTGTGTGCGTCGCCTTTGCCTTCATGCCGTCAGCCAAGTGGAAGGCGATCTTGGCGGATGAACCTGCTTGAAGACAAGCCGACGTGTATTGGCCCAGCGTCGACGCGTATCGTGGCCTGGGTCGATGGCTGCAGTGCCAATCAAGGACCAGCGGGACCTCGCTCGCTCGAGCTGTAAAGGGTTGGTTGGCGCATCATGGCTCGAGGGTCCCGGTGTATCTGCGTTTCAACGTCTATCAAATCAGCCGGTCTCCTGGATTTGTCGTGGAAGGCGACGCCGGAGCCAAGGTTGGCTTGGTTCAAGTCACGTGCGGCCCTCCACAGCACAGCCTATCCAAGAATCAAGCATCTAAAAAAAACCGGCGCACGGGAGAGAGACATCTACAGGAAAAGCATTGCTCGCAAAGTCCCGGAAACCATGGCTCTAGGACGGGGGGACTGCCAGCCTCGGATGCTGCTCTGCCGACGAGCGACATTACCAACCAGCAAAGTCCAAGACTGAAAAAGCACGGACGGTCCACAGTGGCCACTGCTTTGGACGCTGCTGCGGTTTCGCCTCCCACCACTGGCTGTTTGAACCCCAGCGGCCTGGGCGTCTCTGCCACCCGTGTCCCGCTTCTCGACCCGATATGCCTTTATCAAGTCACCAGCCCGAGGGTAATGGCCGCAAGCTCTTGGGCGGTTCCACAGGTCAGCTCCAGCCAGCTTCAGAGCACCAGCTGTGCCCCGGATAGCCTCACGACCCGTTCTGGAACACGCCGTCCCCCACAGTGCCGCGCCCACCTCTGCCCACAGACACGTTCCAGTGCACGTCCTCTCGAAAGGCGTGGCATCCCGAAGCCTGGCCAAAACGCTGGGGCGTCTGTGGTGCCCTTCTTGAACACATCGACCAGCAACAACAGACAGTTGCACACGGTAGGTGCATGCATCTACGTAGTGATGTGTGTTGGTTGGATGCCATTGGCGCCGTCGCCTCTCAACGCCGGCCGAGCGCGAGAGGAGCTGGGATATGCGTTGTCCGTAGGGTGTGTAAGAAGCCACTACTCCGTCGTACAGTAGATGGGGATATGTCTCTACAGTGCAGACTAGACTCCGCCTCTCGCGAAACGAGGGGCCACAACACCTTGACCCGTGCCTAAACGAAGGACTCTTTGGAGCTGGCCTTGAACAACTCGTTTGCTACACGCTGCACTTGCCCTATTCGTCAAAAACCTTGCCCGGGTTCAAGAGCCAGCTGGATTGAGTCAGCTTCGTCCGATACGTCCAGGAAAAGTAGTCTGGAAAGGGAGATTCGCAAGAGCTGGTTCCTCACTATGGATCAAGGGCGCTTTTCAAGGCTTTCATCGTCCCGAGTGTCGACGGGTCCAGCTCCTTTGCCAGGCAATGCTACGATACCAATGTTAGTCCCCCTTGGAACCGTGAGCGACACAACACTGACCTTCTTTCCCATGCCGATGCCGTGTTCGCCCTTTCGACGCTCTCGGCTTAGTAGTGACTCTGGTCGGGGCACGTCGACGAGCCAGACTCACCGAGACCGTCCCCTCCATTTCAAGTGCCCTCTCCACCATGGCAGCGACACAGTCCTCGACGCGTCTCTGTTCCTCTGCGACGCGGGGGTCGTACATGATCATCTGGTGAAAGTTTCCGTCGCCAACGTGGCCCAAGATGCTGGTAAACAGGCCAAGTCTCGCCGCCCTTTGCTGGGATATTTCTGGCCCAGGATATCAGCTTCACCCAAGGTGCCTTCGGGAGCGCAACCAACCGATCAATTCACCCATCCGGGACAGCGGTACGGCAACGTCAGTCGACCAGATTCGAGTGCCTTCGGGCCGGATCGCGAGAGACGCCCATAGGGCCTGCTTTCTCGCTGACCAGAGGGCGTCCATCTGCTCGGTGGTATCGGCAGACTCAAAGGATGCGCAGTGGTAAGCCTCCGCCACCTGCCGGGTAGACAGGATATTGTCCGCGATGGCGTTTTTGGTGCCTGCAAATCTGGGCACAGGTCAGCTGTAGGTTCTTCCTGGGCGTATCACCAGGGCCTACTTGATGAACAAGGTCGGGAGCTCTTGCCACGTCCTACCCCCGGCACCCCCGTTGCGATTGACAATTTTCATCTGCACATGGTCCATGAGCTCGAGGGCGGCCACGGGGACCCCCTTTCGAATAAGGGCCGAGGCGGCATCTGCTGCCTCCCGGATGGTCGGGAACGTCGCAGTCGCCACGCTGACGTTTGTCGGCACCGTGGCCAGCTTGAGTGTAATTTCTGTGATGATGCCCAAAGTCCCCTCGGAGCCGGCAAAGAGCCCATTCAGGTTGTATCCAGCCGACGTTTTGCGGGGCCGGTTCCTCGTCTTGATGACGGAGCCGTCGGCCAAGACGACGGTCAGATTGACGACGTAGTCTTTCATGGTGCCATATCTCGTGGCATTCGTGCCGCTGCAGTTGGTGGCAACCATGCCCCCGATCAAGGCCGTTGGGCTCGGGTCGAGGGGCAGGAACAGACCCAAGTCTTTAATGTCGTCATTGAGTCTGATCCAGTTGACGCCGGGCTGCACCACGACGTCCATGTCTTCCGGGTGGATGGCGATTATCTTGTCCATGGCGGACAGGTCTATGCAGATGCCTGAGAAGGGGGAGCTGAAGTTTCCCTCGACGCTGGAGCCCGCCCCGTATGGCACCATGGGGACCTTGAGCCTGGTGCATATCGCAGCTATGGCCGACACATGCTCAGTGGATGCCGGCCGGACAATGGCGACGGGCCTCACGTCCGTGTTGGACGTGGACCAGTCCGAGTAGCCGTGCTCTTCCAGGTCCGATGCATCGACGCTGACAGCCTCGTCGCCAACAAGGTCGCGGATCTGGTCGACGGCCTGTACGCAAAATTGAGCACACGTGAGGGAGTCTGCCAGCCACCGGGGACTCACCTCGAGCATGGTCCTTTTGTCGGCATACCTCGACTTGGCAGGAGCACAGCTTCGCTCAGTCGGCCTCCATCTCGAGTCTTCCCCTGCCGTTGCCGTCTGTGAATGGCCGAGTCCGACGGCAGATGCAGTCACGGCGCCGCCGAGCACTATGCCAAACACAACATGGGCGGCCCGTTGGCGGTACCCCGTTGGCTGTGACTGCGTCCCGATATATCGTCCTGATAGGGAATTCTTACGGCAGCGTAGTGACGCTCTCGCAGGGCCCAGAAACCACCTCATGGTTTGTCAATGTCAAGACTTGGAAGTCTGACTGTGTCGCCTGCGATGGGTTGTGCATCGTGCGGGGTTGCGGCTATTAGTCAATCGTTCGGCAGGGACGCCAGCAATGGCGGAGGTAGCATGAGAACCTCTCGGTGGCATAACCAGACGTTCCTGTTCCCTTTTCTCGCATGCTTACTCCCCAGGTAGGTAGGCTGGCATGCTGGCGAAGCTCAAAGCTCTGTTGGCAGCTGCCTCGACCGAGCACGACTGTAGTACGTGCATGGTCGAATAGAAACCATCGCGTGAGACTGGACTTGAACTTGAAATTCCTGAGCAGCCGTGTGACTGCCGAGGATACCAAAACGGCTGTGATCGGAGGAGGACGGATGAGGCATCGTGAGGGTACAGGGTAGCGAGGATCAAGACGGCTATGCCGACGTTTAGCCGGAGGTCTATTGTTAAGCAATGCAAGCACATTCAAGCACTGTAAGTCTCTATTGGCGCCGACACGGTGCAGGCTGCCGTTTCTGGCCCGTAGACTCGCCAAACTTCGCCAAAGCCCGAGCAATCCTCGACTTCTGCTTGTTGAGGGACGCAGGTCCCGACTGACTTGGCACTGTTCTCTCTGCCCATGTCGTTTTCATCGCCATTCTCCTCATCTCCGTCGACCCGGCACGCCTCCGGCCTGCTGTGTTCATGACCGCCCACAAGATGCCTCTGATGCTCGACAACTCCATGACCGTGGACCTCCCGGACGTCGACGACTTGTTTGGTGACGATGTCGCCTTGTCGCTTCCTCTCAGGCCCCAGGGAAAACAACTTCATGGGCGGCTCGACGAGCTGCGGAGCCGGGGCTGCTGTCAGCAAGTGGCCCTTGCATGCGAACACACACGCGACTTGAACTGACAATTTCCCCAGGGCTGTGGCCTGGTCGAGGTTGGGAACAATCGCTTCCTTGACCCCGGATGGACAGTCGCTCAAGCTTCGGTTCTTGCGCTGCCATCCCGAAACCGGCGAGTGGGATCTCAGCGAGCCCACCACGGCCGAGCTCATCAAGGGCTCGCCTGCCATCCCCATGGTGCACCTGGAATGGAGCGCGGCTAATACCCCGGACCTGGCCGTCATCGACGCTGTTGGAAGAGTCACCATAGCCGCTTTCCCCAACGCTCTCAATCGCCCATTCGTCACGAGAAAATGCGACAACGACCCCGTCGACGACAGGCATGCCGTCGTGGGCTGCCACTGGCTGCCCGTTGTCTCCCCGCAGGTGAGCACTTCTTGGTGCCGAGACAGCACATGTCCGGCCTCCTGACGACTACAGAAACCGTTCAACGTCACGTACGGACCTGCCAAGAAACATGGCAATTCGTACCAGTATGAAAGCTCCTTCGTACACGGCGGAGGGCCATGCCACCCTCACCCGTCGAGGAGCGCCTTGTTTTGTGTCACCATCGGTGGCATGGTCAAGATGTTTTGGGTGCAAAACGACAATAAGTTGGAGGAGACGCTCTTGGAGCTCGAGAGCGTCAAATCCTCCGACGAGCTCGTCACTCATGCGGCTCTTGCTTCGGATAAGAGTGCGGACCCCTTTGCCTTCCGCCGCCAGCTACTTCGCTGACAGCTTTCCGTAGAACACTTGCTCATCGTCGTCGCGACGGCCGCCCTCAGCCTGAAGCTCTTCAAGCTTGAGATACAATGGGTCGGCCCAGGAAGCTCATCGGACAAGAACCCGATGCCCCAAAACGCCCGCTTGAACCCTGTGCTCGTAGACTCTCATCTTGCCTCGACCAGCTGGCTTCAAAGCGGACCAACCGAAGCGATCCATGACGCATCCGCGGCAGAACTGTCTCAGCTGCACGTTCTGCCTTCCCTCATGGACCACACAGGCAGCAACACCGTCCCGCCCATGATCATCGCCATCCGGTCGCGAGCTAACGCAGAAGGGTCCTTCCAGACAGCCCAAAGCGTCCTGGACCGGTGGGAGGCCGTCGAAGAGCGTCAGGGCTTGCATCTGGCCTTTGAGCAGCTTGGCAACCGCAGAAACAGCATCTCGTCAGACCTGCCGAATGCGACCGGCCTGCGAAAGCTCGAGTCCATCGTCATCAACAAGGTGGTTGTCGGATTCCAGGCCATGCAGCTCGGCAAAGTCCTGCTGCTCACCATGTCGGACGGGACGGTCGAGTATCGCGATCGATATTCGTTTGAAGAGCTCTATGCAACCGAGGATCTGGCCAGAATCATGAGTCTGCGCCAAGTTGGCTGGAATTTCCCAGAGGACGGCTCATGTACGTGTGCGAGGCCCGCATCTCGTGCCTTGCTTTGTGCTGACAGGTTGCCAGGTCAGCAGGTCGCCTTTTCGCCAACGCACTGTTCCATGGTCCAGCTGGGTGACGATGGGAGGATGCGATGGAGCAAGCTGCACTACCTCATGGGTGACATAGGCAACTCGATGCAAGAAGGTACTGTTGCGCTGCGGTGTCCAAGGGCAACGAGAGGCTAACGAGGAGACAGCCCATTACGCAGCCAGCATTGCCGGGTTGGCGATCATGGCCGCCCCGTCTATATGGCATCAAAACAATTACGATGACATGCTCGCCGTGGTCCATCAGTTGACGACCAAGAAAAGTACGTTGGCACCCACATCACCGAGTCCCTAGCGAGACGAGTACTGAGCGTCGCAGGGTTTATCCAGGACTGGGTCAGTGAGCTCATTCGCATCCTCAAAATCCAAGTTGACTTCTCTGAAGAGGCGCACCACGACAGCCTCATGAGAAACTGGACTCTGCAGGCCTGCCTGAGCATCATGAACAGCTTGGGGTTCCGAGGCGAATGGAGCAAAAGAATGTTCCAGAGCAAGTTTGCGACATTGGATCTCAATATCCGAAACGTAGTGATTCTCATCTCGCTGTCGAGCAACGCGCCGCCGACGGTCCGTGAATTGATAAGCCCTCTCGATGAGCACGGTACGTTGCCGCGCAAACGCGAGAGGTCTTGGTCCGTCACTGACACGAGCAACTGCAGAGGTCGTCGAAGCGTTGGCCGGCTGCGCAAAGTGGTCGCTGGATCTCTTATCCTGGCTCACCGATTGCCTGTTTGAATTGATGAACGACGAAAAGTTTACGCAGCGGCTGGTGCCCCAGCGGTTCAACGAGTTGATGGCCTACTTGCACGAGAGAAACGACATATCTCTACACCTGATTCTCTGTTCCAGCAGCCGAAGCTTCTTGTCTGCCCTCTGTCGCCGGATAGTACACCTGGAAGCGCTGAGCAACAGGGCAATAGACTACTACAGGCGGCAATCGGCGGGGGCGGAGCAGATGGGGAGCGGCAAGCCGCCGAACCCTCAACTGCAGCAGGCATACCAGAGAATGCAGCAAGTAACGGCGTCCAGCCCGGTCAGGGTTGCCGAGTTTGAAAAGCTGCTCAGCGTGCTCGGGTCGGACATCCGGCAAGCCTACCAGGCGTTTCTGCCGACGTGGATCAAGAACGGCTCTAATCCGCCGCAGGGCAAGCAGATGGATGCGGCGATCAAGACGGCGCAGGTGCAGCTCGAGGTGGGCATGCTGCTTGGGACATCGCCGCCGCCGGCATTTATGCCCGTGATGAAGAAACTGCTGGTGAAGGACCTGCCGGCGCTTTGGGACCTCGCCAACCCGGCAACAATATTCTTTGCCGACTACACGCTTCTGGGGGTGCAAGACGACGTGCACAGCCTCGTCGCCCGGAGGGCCAGGGGCGCGCACGTGGATCTGTTCAAACGGGTCGAGCTCCGGCGAAGCGCGACGGGGCTACAGTGGAGGCGATGCACGAGATGCTCGTCGGTGATGGAGGATGTTTCGTCGGCCGGTAGGCCCGGCTTCACGTTTGTCCTGGGTCAGCAGCGAAGATGCTCGTGCGCCGGCTACTGGGCACTGCTGCCCGAAGGCAAGCTCGTGCAGTGAAGGGCACATGGAGGAGTCCTCAGTTGAGGGGCCATGTGTCCACGGAGAGCACGGCTGCCTGAGCCATGTCACGAGATGGTGGTTCTATTGCATGACGAGTGTATTCTGGCGACGATTGGATCTCGTCAATGCGGCGACTTGCACAAGGACTTGTAGTGGCTAGTGCATACAATTAAATGAAATTCGCTAATTCCCCAGGGACGCAAGCTGAAAAAGAAGGTGTCCAAGGCTTAATAGGTTCTCTCCAATGCAATATGATTCGATTGAATGGATTGTCCCTTTATTACGGATAGCCTTTGCCTAGTCCATGACTCCATGTGCTTCCTTCGGTTGACAAGTGGGTTTGTATGGTCAATTCGACTCGCACCATCTCTTGGCCCAAGGACAAAGATACCCTGCATTGACTATTGCTCGTTTCCCCTTCTCCGTAAGTTACCTAGCAAGTTAGTTTAGGCAGTCCCAAGAAACGGCACGCGACAGCAAAAGGGGGCCCGAGCACCCGAGGAGCGGCCGGCAGGAGGCCAAGGGTTCGCCCGGCCCGCCACCGAAGCGGCCAGTGGCCAGTGGCCGGCCGGCCGAGACGACGATGAAGCGGCGCAGTTGCAGTGTGGGTGGCAGGTTGAGGGGGGGCAGGCGATCGGCAGCGGCGCTGGTGATGCCCCCTTGATGCCCCCTTTCGGATGGATGATGTGCACAAACGAATCTTGCGTTTCTTAGCAAGGCCTGGACTCGCTCACTAGTCACCAGGCTTAGGGCGAGGGATGCGAGTCGTGGGCCATCCGACAAAGAGACAAAGGGATTCATTAATAATAATTATATGGATGTAGGGAGTGGACTGGCACATGGCCAAAAGTTGGGGGCGTGGGGGAGGTGTCTTTCTTTCCTTTCTTTTCCGCCTTGCTGCCGAAAGCGGAGACGAGGCAACGTCAGGGATGGTGCCGGATCGCTCCCTTCCTCTCTCTCTGTTGGACCGTCGAGGCGCCGGATACACGGCCACCGCCCTGCATTGGGCGGCTATGCGCGGCGATGCGAGGCACACGTCAAGCAGGCATGGCAGGGCTTAGGAGGAAAAGGGCGGCGGAGAAGGCGGCGAAGAAGACGACGAAGAGGCTGAAGAAGGAAAAAAAGGGGGGGGGGGGCCTCGCAAGGTAGACTACCTAACCGAGTCGTAGCGGTGGGCGGCCGAGACAGGTTCTGGGAGACAGTTCGGGGGATGAAATTACAATGCAAGTCTCGCGACGTTGGACAAAGCACGGATGATTGGCTGGCTGTGCAGGTGAGGTGGGCGACATGACTGACTGACTGGCTTCACGACGGACGGACGGTTGGCGGCGGCGGCTACAGAGGCGGCGGGCCTCTTGGAGGAGGCGCTCAGCGGTTGGAGGAGGAATATTCGTACAGATGCTCCGTCCGACGACCATGACGACGCATGGGCGGCCAAGCCAAGGCGAGGAAACGTCATCGTCTGTCCGTGCTTTGTTTCACGCCCGCCCTTTGCCCGTGTTTGGTTTTCTCTCGAAACCCAAAAGCGGCCAATCCCCCTTTGGCCTCGCCGCATGAAGAGCATGGCATGAGGCCGGCAGGGAGAAGCTTGGAAACAGGTTCGAGGGCCCAGCTCCTTTTACCTTCGTGTGCCCCCCCTTTTGTCTTTATGGCCCCTTTCGACTGACTTTAATTAATTAATCAATGGTCGTTGTTGATCCTGGCCGGCGAACAAAAAGACGGCCCCTGCTTTCTGTATGTACAATGCACATGCAAGTGACTGGCCTGCCGCCTCGGATTAGGCACCTGTTTTGCCGCCGCCGGCTCGGCCACCGGCCTAAAACGGCCCTGGCTTGGCGGGCGAACCGCTGCATTGAGCAGATGATTGGGCGTCAGCTCGGGGTGCCTGGGTAGCACAGTTCCTGGCGCTAGTGCAGGTACCGGCCAACCAACTGCTCAAACTCGCAAGCGCCTCGACACGCCTGTGCTGCTACAATACACAGAGCATTAAGCACCATGTACGGAGAGGTAGGTACTGTACATACCATGCATACTACAGATGCTACCTTTTCTCGATACTTGTCATGTACATACTTCATGTACTGCACGGGGTATCGAGTGGTGCAGTCCCATGATCGGTCCGGTGGGCCATCCATCCCCCTTGACCGCCGTAACTGTAGGCAATCCACCGATGCTATTCGTATTCCCCCCACCCCCCACCGTCTCGACCCCTGTCCGCCCGGGGGACCAACAAGTGCCGTAAATTGCTGTATAAAGCGGCTGCTCCACCGCCAACCCAGTAGGGCCCACGCTAGAGCCAATACATGCCGTCTCTCCCTATCTGAGGGGACCTGGGCAGAAGCTTGGCGTGCCGCAGATTGGCCAGTACCGGAGATGGAGAGAGACTCGGTGCACGTTAGCCCCGAGGCGATGCGACCCTGCCGGCCCACGCTTCCTGCGCCAAGGGAGTACGGGCCAGTACCTGAGGGATACCCGGCCGTGCCCGGCCCCTCTGCCCGCGCCAGGGCCGCCCGCGCGCTGCCAGCAAGTACTCGGCGGTACCGCTCCCGGGCAGGCTCGTAGCGCTCGGGACCGTGTACTGTAGTGAAACTTCGGAGTCGCTCTCCTGGGTACCTAGGCACCTTAGGTCCCACGCCAGCAAAACCATGTTTCCACCTGCCGCTGTACGGAGTACCTCGCATGTACATGGATGGCCTTTGTCTCCTCCTCCTCCCTCCCTCGTCACCCTCCGCCTGCCCTCCAGGACGCGCGCGCGTGCCTGCGCTTCTTCTCTTTGTCATACCTCGTCGTCAAAGGGCATTGTCCCTGCTCAAACCTTCTCCCCTTCTCCCGACCACCATCATTGCCTCCGTTTAATGCTCCCTCTGTGCTAAGACATTGTTGCCGGTCGGTCGCCCGCACGTCCAAATATGGCATCGCCAGGACCTGCTCCCCACGCGAGGCCGATCCAGCCGGACTCTGATACAGCCTCTGCTTCATCTGATGTCTCCCGAGACGACCCTTCGCCGCACCACCACCAGCCTACAAGTCCATCCTCCCACCATCCTCGGCACCTCCACAATCTCTCTTCGTCTTCTCACCCCGTCCGTCGCAGCCTGGTGCCTCCCGTTTGCTCGCCCTCGGCAGTCCCACTGCTGCCCATCTCGCCGCCCTCTGCCCTTGCCAGGATTCCCATCAAGCGCAAGCCGCTCTCCTCGACGGCCGCCTCACCGCGCTCCTTGCCCGGCTTCACTCCCCTTGCCACCGACCAGCCCCATCAGAGGTTCGCCAGGCCCCTCACTCTCGACAGCCCGACCCTCTACGACTTCTCCCCGTCGTCGTCGGCACGACCACTTCGGCACTCGTACCAGTGAGTGAACCTGTTGTCCCTGCCCCTTTCTCCAGCGCCCGTTTTGTCTGCCGTGCCGAATGTAGTAGCAATTGCCCTCTCGATGCCATGACCGCCGGGCTCCCGAGAATGTGGCTGTTTCTAACAGGAATTCCTTGCGCGATTCCAGATCCCCCACCAGGACAACGCCTGTCGACGCGGATACGCCCGCGGCGCGCAGCATTCCATCGGACCACGACGGCTCCCCTCTAGTCCCCGCAACAGAACTGTCGGATGTCCTGTCTGAGTATGACGACCTGATATCTGAAAGATCCGTCTCCGATGCAGACGCAGCCTGTGACGGAACCTCTACAAACATAATAGACGACAGCTCCGACGACGTCGATTCAAGATACGACGCCGAGCCCTCTAATAATAATCTACTCCCGCCTCCCATGTTTGCGCCAAAGCCAGTCCCGCCGCATCTTAGGCTCCAGCAGGTCGACATTTCACTAACTCATCTCAAGCGCCAATCCATTTCTGAATCAATCTCCCCAGAATCGGCAAGGCTCAGCAAGCCGCAGTCCAAGTCTCCAAGCCAGGCATCTCCTTTCACCTCTTTGTTTGGCTGGAGCAACCTGTCGCCGTCCGTGACTGACTTCTCGTCCATACTCTCTCCTTTGTCGCCCTCGCGCAAGGACTCTGCGGATGACGCGCTGCACGCAAACCAGACTTGGTCCGACTCTTCAAAGGCCAATGCTGCCACCGCAAACCCCATCAACTACTGTGAATCTTATCTATCCACTCCTCCGCCGTCTCAGGCTCTTTCGTCCGTCCAGGTTGAAGAGATGGAAGAGGAGCTCAAGGCCATCAGCTCCGAGCTGGCCGCGTCCATCCGGCGTGAGATGGACCTGGAGGACCTCGTCGACAGGCTCCAGGACCAAGTCAGCAACCCTCAGGCACCCAGCAAGAGAACGAGCGACTACTTCTCCGACTCGGGCTACAGCTCGGCCAAGCTGAGCGATCACGAGCAGAGCAGAGAGGAAGTCGAGAAGATTCAGAGACGATCAGAGCAAGAAAAGGCCTCGATCCGCCTGGAGCTAACCAACAAGCTGCAAGATGAGAGGTCCAAAAGGAAAGCCCTGGATCAGCAGATCAAGGAGCTGGCGGAGAAGGCGTCCCAGATGGACCTGGCCAACATCAACAGCCTAGACGCCAACGGCCGGGTCAGGGACCTGGAAAACACGTGTGAGGACCTGAGGCGCAGGCTGTCAGAGGAGCGCGACTCCAAGAACAACTTTGAGGACCTGCTCGCCGCGCTCAAGGGCGAGCTTCGAGTTGCCTGCAACGAGCGCGACAACCTCCGCGACGAGGTGGTCCCGCAGCTGCGCGCACGAGTCGAGGGGCTCGAGTCCGAGGCCGCCTCGTACGCCAACCTCACCTATGAATCGACCAAGATGCAGCAGCAGCTCCAGTCCCTGCAGCAGGAAAACACGTCGCTCCGCAACTCGCCGGCGTCCATGTCGGACGAGTTTGGCGGCCTCACGCAGTCCAACTCGGCGGCCACGGGCTCGTTTCGGCCTCGAGCGCCGCTCGTCGCCAGCGGTCTGTCGAGGTCCGACAGCGTCAAGAACGTCCAGGCCGAGTCTCGCGAGCAACTCGCCGAGCGGCTCAAGGATGTCGAGGCGCAGCGTGACGCCCTCCACAGCGCGCTCAAGAACCTGCTCGAGAGGCAGGAATTTCAGAACCGCGAGAACCAAAAGAAGATTGAGATACTGGAAACCGAACGCCAACGCCTATTGGCCGAGTCGCCCAAGAAGGCCGGATTCGAGCGGGACATTGCGAACCTGCGCACCGAAATCAACGTCTTGCGGCGACGGGCCGAAGACGCACTGGAACAGAAGTGGCAGATGGAAAAGGGCCTCGTCGGGCTCAAGATGGACCTCGATAGGGCCGAGGAGGAGATTGCGTCGCTCCGCAGCCTGCTCAAGGAAAAGGACATTCTCATCCCCCCGTCGATGGCCCGCTCCAGCAGCCCCGGCGGAGCGACGGCCGCGCCCATCACGTCGGATTCGCTCGAGAAGGCATACCGAGAGCTCCAAGACGCGTACCAACAGTCGCTGGATCGCATCAAGAGGCTCGAGACGGACTCGGTCGACGGGCTCTCGGACGAGAAGACCAAGCTTGCCATGCAGCGCCTGGAACAGGCCCTCTCTGCCGCCACCTTTGAGCGCGACGCGGCGAAGCAGCATGCCAGAAGCCTCCAGAGCCAAATCAGCAGTCTGACGGACATTGAGTCCAAGAGCACGGCGCGGGAGAAGGAGCTGGCGGATGAGCTCAGCGAATCGGCGCAACGGGTCGAGCAGTTAGCATCCGAGGTTCGACAGCAGCTGTCCAAGAATGCCGAGCTTCGGGATCGCCTATCCAACACGGTGACGAGAGGCGACGCGGACCGCAAGGCCAACTCGGAACGCATCAGCGGCCTCCAGGAACGCCTCCACGCGCTCGAGGAGCAGCTGGTGGCTGCCCAGACGGCATCGGAGGACCGGGTCGGGCGCCACGAGGAGGAAATATCGCAACTGCGCGAGGCGCACAACGAGCAGCTGCGCCGAATCAACAACGGATCCGGCGTGGGCAGGATGTCGACGCCAAAGTCACCTCTGCTACGGTCGGAGACGGGTATGTTTGGTCGCTCCTCGCAATCCATAGCCACCAAGAGCTTCGAAGAGGCGAGTCTGATCAAGGAGCTCCGAGAGCGGGTCACGGAGCTCGAGAAGGCGCTCGTTGACGCCGAAAAGGAGATCCAGCAGGTGGTGGGCAAGATGAGCGAAGCGCAGATCGAGGTGATGAACCTGCAGGAGGAGCGCGAGACGGCCCTCCGAGAGACTAGACGTCTGCAGAAAACGCTGGCCGACGAGCAGGCCAAGGCTTTTGAGGAGCGCTTCAAGACGCTCAACGGAATGGCTGCCTAGGCCAAGGGGCGCAAGCTAGGCGGGCTCGGCCGTGCGGGCTCCCGGAGGAGAGGAATCGTGGGCGTCTGGTGAGACCCAAAAGTTTTTCACGGAGCTGCATCTAGCGATTGGAGTTTTGTCCTTCCCTTTTTTTTTCTGCTCGGCCTTGTATCAACATCGGGGCAGGGTCTACGGCGGCATGGACGTCGAAGTTTCACAATCATCACATATGGGGCCGTACAGGGCACCCTCGGAGTCTGCTGTTCGAACACACCCGCCGCATACATTTGCGTATCGGCATAGGTTGCTGCTTGCCGGGCTTGGAGAGACGCGAAAGTACAGATGCGTACCTCGGGCTACGCGATTAGGTCTATTCAGAGTTAATGTTTGAAAGTACTATATATTTGCTGGGACGAGGGGGAGGGTTGGAAAGGGAGAAGGGCGGAGCAGTGACGGCAACAGTTGATGAAGCAGGTACATAGCCTCAATCATGGCCAATGGCTCCTAACCGTGTCGTCCTGTCTATTCAGTCTCTATTCAGTCGCCAGCCGTTCCCGTCGTCAGCACAAGGACGTCCAGGCCCGGTCGACGGCGTTGGCGCTCGGGCCCGCCCGCGTCTTGTGAAACGGCAGCTATCTTAGCTCTACGGCTTGCCTAATGGAGCAATAGGCAGTGCTGAGTAATTATTACGGCTGAGGAATTAAGGTTAGCGCAGCCTACATAAGGCTGTCGGTCGAAAGATATATATATGTGCTGGGGCGGGGGGGGCACACCTTTCCTTGCCTACTCCGTACCTACCTAGGTAGGCATGCCCAATACCACGAAGCACTGTACCGAGGAAGGCACTGTAAGCGCAACCGAGGTAGGAACTTGCCTGTACACGTGACTGTGCATGTAGTGTGCCCCGATGGCTCTAACAGAAGCACGCGGCATCTGACGTTAAGTTAGGTAGTTGGATGTTAGAGTGATTGATTAGTCAGGTTGCGGGTTATAGCACTCCCACTGCCCAGGTACTCCGTACTCCCCACTCCGTACATGGAATAGAATAGCCGTCTTACCCACCTCCATTCTATTATTACGCCTTTGCCCCGCCATTTCCACGTTTTTTCCTTTTCCCTCTTCACAATTGCTTCGTCCCTCCTTGTCTTCCTTCTTGTCTTCCTTCTTGCTGGACGAGACGAGACCGAGACGAGACGAGTCAAGCCAAGCCCGCATTACCCCACACCAGAGCGTGACGTGAGAGTCGCCCGCCATGCCAGCGGACCAAAAGATTGCCATCGTCTCCGTCTACGACAAGACCGGCCTGCTGGACCTGGCCAAGGGCTTGGACCAGCAAAATGTCCGCATCCTGGCCTCTGGAGGCACCGCTCGCATGATTCGCGACTCGGGCTTCCCCGTCGAGTGCGCCGCCAACGTCTCCCCCAGTCATGACGGGACCGGCCTGGCTGACTTTGCTGGTTGCGCAGGGACATCAGCGCCATCACAAAGGCCCCCGAGATGCTCGCCGGCCGCGTCAAGACGCTCCACCCCGCCGTCCACGCCGGCATCCTCGCCCGCAACCTCGAGTCGGACGAAAAGGACCTTGCCGACCAGAACATCAACAAGGTCGACTACGTCATCTGCAATCTCTACCCCTTCAAGGACACCGTCGCAAAGATCAACGTCAGCATCCCCGAGGCCGTCGAGGAAATCGACATTGGCGGCGTCACCCTCATCCGCGCCGCCGCCAAGAACCACAAGCGCGTCACCATCCTCAGCGACCCCCACGACTATGCCGGCTTCCTCAAGGAGCTCGAGCAGGGCGAGATCACCGAGACGAGTCGCAACCGATATGCCCTCAAGGCCTTTGAGCACACGGCCGACTACGACACCGCCATCTCCGACTTCTTCCGCAAGGAGTATGCCGCGGACCAGTACCTGGCCCTCCGCTACGGCGCAAACCCCCACCAGAAGCCCGCCGCCGCCTTCACGAACATCGACAAGCTGCCCTTCAAGGTCCTCTGCGGCTCCCCCGGCTACATCAACCTCCTCGACTGCCTCAACGCCTGGCCGCTCGTCAAGGAGCTCAAGCAGGCCCTGGGCAAGCCCGCCGCCGCCAGCTTCAAGCACGTCTCGCCCGCCGGCGCTGCCATTGGCCTCCCCCTGACCCCCGAGGAGCGCCAGGTCTACTTTGTCAGCGACATTGACGGCATCGACTCGTCCCCACTGGCCCAGGCCTACGCCCGCGCCCGCGGCGCCGACCGTATGAGCAGCTTTGGCGACATCATCGCCCTCAGCGACATCGTCGACGTCCCTACCGCCTCCATCATCTCCAAGGAGGTGTCGGACGGCGTCATCGCCCCGGGATACGAGGATGCCGCCCTGGAGATGCTCAGGAAGAAAAAGGGCGGCAAGTACCTCGTCCTCCAGATGGACCCCGAGTACTCCCCCGGGCCCACCGAGACGCGCACCGTCTACGGCATCAATCTGCAGCAGCACCGAAACGACGTCGAAATCTCTCCAAGGTCGTTTGGCACAATCATCGCCCCCAAGGACTCGGGCGCCCTACCCGAGGCGGCCGCCCGCGACCTCACCGTCGCCACAATCACCCTCAAGTACACCCAGAGCAACTCGGTCTGCTACGCCGTCAACGGCCAGGTCGTCGGTCTGGGCGCCGGCCAGCAGTCGCGCATCCATTGCACCCGCCTGGCCGGCGACAAGGCCGACAACTGGTGGATGCGCTTCCACGAGCGCGTCCTCAACATCAAGTGGAAAAAGGGCACCAAGCGCCCCGACAAGAGCAACGCCATTGACCTGCTCGTCAGCGGCCAGCTGCCCCAGGACGGGCCCGAGCGGGAAGCCTTTGACGCCGTCTTCGAAGAGGTGCCTCCCGCCTTCACCGCCGAGGAGCGCCAGAGCTGGATGAAGCAGCTCAAGGACGTGTGCGTCTCCAGCGACGCCTTTGTAAGGGCCCCCCCACGGCAGCAATGTGACTTCCCCGCGGTTGCTGACGACTCGTACAGTTCCCCTTTACAGACAACGTCTTCCGGATGGCCCGCTCCGGCGTCCGGTACATTGCCGCGCCCGGCGGCAGCCAAAACGACGGCGCCGTCTTGGAGACAGCCGAGAAACTGGGCATTACCTTTGTCGAGCAAAACATCCGGCTCTTCCACCACTAACCCTTGTCTCTCCCATTCCACCATCGCGGGGCGGGGGGGCTAAAGAGAGGGGTTGGCGAAGACGGCGCGGTCGTTGGGGTATGGAGGGAACGTCTATGCGACCAAGGGTGATGACGGCGGGTTTCAGCTGGCGGAGCAGGTAGTGTTCTTCATGTAGATATTGGAAGACGGACGCGGCGCCGGATACCCACACGCCTCGCTCTGATGGCGGCCGACGAGCCTCCGCTCTGCATGTAGTAAAAAAGTGCGGCCGCGCGTTGGACGAATGGGCTGACGCAGCGGCCCAAGGCGACGATGCTGGGACATGGCCGTGTGGTTTGATATGCCTGCTTGGGAAGCCTCCTGCATGCTTTGTGTGTGACGATGCGGCGCTGGCTTGGGGGCTGTTGCGGAGCAGCGTCAGGCTGTGTGTGTATTACCTCACGCCGAGCTACGTAGACCTGGAGACGCCGACTTGCCCTCTTCTGTTATCGATGCGAGTAAAGACGGGGGGACAAGGGTGAGTGGGACGCTGACGTATATCAGACATGGGAAAGTTCTTCATCTTCGTCACTTTCACGCATGTTTTCAACGGCCAGCGAGATACAGTCCAACGGCCGCACATATCCCGTTCCAACTCCGATCCAGGAGCGTCGCCCCCAAGAACCCCATCACATGACGGTCCGCCTCAGGCGGTTGAAGCACACCGGCCTGATGACGCCGGCCCCGTTGGCGCAGTTGCACCGGCAGCCAAGCTCCGGGCCGCGCCCGTCGCCGCCAATGCCGGGCACCAGCTCGCCGCGGCGCAGGGCGGCGGGGGTCGGGCCGTGGGTGCAGTACTGGAGCGTGTCGTGGACGTAGCCGACGTCGGCGAAGTGGTGGACCTGGCGCGGGGGCAGCAGCAGGGCGACGGCCAGGCTGTGGACGGGGGCGTCGCCCCAGCGCTCGTAGTAGAAGCCGCCGGCGCCGTCGAGGTGGGCGAAGAGGTCGCGGTACGCGGGCGAGCGGAAGAAGTCGAGGTGGGCGATTTCAAAGTTGGACCAGAAGTGGCACAGGTTCCACGCGTCGCCGTGCCCGTCGCGGTTCGCCTGGCGCCCGCGCAGGCGCCGCAGCGGCCAGGGCAGCCACGACGGCTCCGTCATGGCCGTCCAGAGGGGGGAGGCGGGGATTTGCCGGTCGGCCCTGTAGCGCGCGAGCCTGCCGAACAGCGACGGGGCTGTCGCGGGAATCTCCTTGAGCGCCATGGTGTAGCCGTAGCGCTTGCCGTGGCGCTCCATCTCGACAAAGGGGTCGTAGGTGACGGCGCAGGTCAACGAGATGTCGGGCTCGACGCGCCAGTACCACTTGTAGTCGCTCAGAGCCGGGTGATCGTAGAAGAAACTGTGTGTGCCGTCAGTATTCATGTCGTCGTCTCTCCTCACCCAGCAATCAAGGACAGCCACCGACTCACCCCGAGTTGAAACGGCACATGTGGTGATAGCTCTCCTTGCCCGCGTACTTTACGCCCCGGCTCTGCATCTCGAGCATCCTCCTGCGCGCCTCATCCCGATCGACCCAGTCCGGGTACCCCCACATGTCCGCGGGGATCGTCTCGAAGCTCGCCGCCGCGCCGCCGGCATCCTCAGCCACGGCGTCGCCGACGGCGGCCACGAACTCGCGAGACCAGGGCTCGTCGTTGAGGAAGACCCAGGGGTAGCCAAAGTGGCGGTTGAACTGCTGCTGCACGTTGCGCACGCTGGCCACGGCGCCGCCCAGGTCGGCGTTGCGTGCGAGCATGACAAGGGCGGCGCGCGCGCGCGCCGAGCCATTGAGCACGGGTTCCTGGCAACCGACGTGGAAGGGTGGGTCGAGGTTTGTGTCTGGCCGGGGCACGGCGAACCGGCGCACGTGGATCGTCACGTCGGCGAGGGCCAGCACGGCGATGCAGAGCACGAGTTTCCAGCGGAGGCGCAGCGGCCTGGGCATGATGCGCCTGGAGCTGAAGGTGCGCTGGTAGGCGAGGATGGCTCTGCGGGATGGCTTGTGGGGGGTGAGGAACGAAGAGTGCTGCTGGCTAGCGAGTTGCCAGTAGATGTGTTTCACGTTTGAGGTTGGCTCAGGAAACGAAATTGTCCGAGACCAAAACCCCTTCCGTCTGTAAATTTGCGACGTCAACCAACGAACGCATGATCGCCAACAGGTGCTTCCCGCTCCCTGCCATCGAGCCATGACGACGACGCCGCCGCGGCGCCGGCAAACGCAGAGTTTGTCCTGGAAACTCACGGCATTTCTCGTAGCAGGTGGCTTAAGCCGTCAAAGATGGAGGCAACGAGCGTGCATCCACGTCCGTCGAGCTGTGCCAAGCCCAGCGCCAAGCCCAGCGGCCACATGTGTCGGAGCGGCGACAGCTGTCTCCCACGCCAGCAGGACAAGCGTAGCGAGACAGACGCCGCTGAAAAGATTCGGCGCCATGTCGATGGACACAAGTGTCGAAACCATGGCCGTTGCGGGCGGCGAGTCGAGCAAACAAATGCTGTGTAAGGAGCGACGTGCTGAGGCTCTGCGGCTTGCCTAATGGGGCAATGGCAGGGGGTCATGATCAGCTACCCGCTTAGATGCAGCAGCCAGGGATGTGATTGGCCAATCGGGGCTTTTTGGAGAGCTTTTAGCGATTTGCCTCTAACGGGTTGGTGGGCCTTGGCCCTGTAGGGCTAGTTCCCGCTAATCAGCTTCCACTACGGAGTACGAAGCACAGAGCACGGCGATTCTTCAACCTCAGTCCATTGAGTGGCCATAAATGGCGACGAATCAACCTTCTTTGGAAACGCCGACCTTGGATTCACCCGAGGAAGCACATTTCCAGACCAAAACCGAACCCATTCTTCGAGACGTCACCATCGGGATACTTTGGCACTGATCCCGTTGATACCTTTGAGGCGCAACCCAATATCCCCTCGGCCGTCCTGGACGAGCATCAAGAAACCTTTTAGCCCATCGACGCCTTTCAACCACCATCAAGTCTCATCGCCTCGATAGTGATCGTTTCGCTTCATCAGAAATCTCATCGCGCGAGCCACACGCACTATTTGATTCGAAATTCGACATGTTCCTTCTCAACCCCCCCCGGGTTGCCTCTCCGTGCATGATGCTATGAACGTAAGCTTCTCCCAGAAGTGCATAGAAATCACTGCCCTCCTCCCGCTTTAACACGAATGGGATTCGACAGCCGCGGAAAAGGGCCACAACATCTCCGATGTCGCAATCCCGAGGGCCTAGGCCCAGGAATCCTGCGGCAGTGATGACCAATGACCGATTCAGACAACGCGCCTTTACCTTGGGGTAGAATGCATCAATGGCCGCCGGAGACACTGGGCGACCACTATCGATGCCCTGTGCTTTATAAGAATCCCTCCCGCTTTTCGGGACATGACCAGCAGCCCCAAGAGGGTTTCCTTGTCTGATCCAGGCGCGGAATCCATCTATCCACTCGCAAATAGTGGCTCCTTCGGTTCGACCTCCCAAGAGCGTCTGGCAAACTGCTTGCAGCCGACCATCATTGTCAGGGTAAGGAGACTGGTGTACCCCAGAGTGTCGTCGTTGCCAATTCTCCACGGCGGCTCGGAACCGTTCCTCCAGAGAGCCGAGCCCGACTTCCGTGGAAAAGTTTGAGCAAATTCCTGTAGGAATACAATGGCCACACTGTCAAACTCGAGTCCCTTGACGGAAAGATGAATGCCACGACCGAGCAAAGGTTTCAGCCTTTCCAACTCCGTGGTCCGCACTTGACTCGACGTGCCATCGTAAGCGAAACGAATGTGTCTTGTGGTAGTATCACCTGCCTTGAATACAGGTTGACCGTGACCGGCGTTGACTGAAACGACGGGTGCTCCGCTGCCAATAACATTCCCGACTCCACAACAGGAAGGAAGACGGCATTGTTGTGGGTGAGATGATAATCTCACTTGCAGGGACATGAAGCCGTAGGCCTCTACGAGGCGAACAAAGAGGCATTGGAAGACGACATGGTCCGGGCTGCGGTAATCGGGCCGGATCTTGAGCTGATCATGCGCTGACGAGAGTGGAAGCAATCCAAAGACGACGTCTCGAGCCAGGCTGTGCCTGAAGTCTCGAGCGAGGGCCAGCCACCTTGGAAGTGGTGCCCGGTAGACATGCTCTTCTTTCCTGCAAGTCTTCCACTGTCTCAGAAGCGGGTAGAATGGACAATTCTGGAACAACTTCCTGATTGCGGGGTGGGCGTCCGGGGTCTTGGAGACGTATGCCTCGTGCCAGGTGGCCAGTTCAGCAAATTTGTCCATGCTGACTGCAGATCCACAAGTCACCAAGGAACTCCTGGACAAGAAGGCTTCTTGAATGACTTATCGCCTTCCCCGCCTGGGATGACTGAGTATAGTCTGCAACGAAGTCCACGGAGCCGTGCCATCGGCCCAGATGCTGGATTCGGAACTTGTGTTGGTGTCGTATGGCATCGTCTTCTCATTCTCCTGGCTGCCCCCGGAAAGGGGCCCTTTATTCCGCTCCAGCGTCTCGAGAAAACCTTGTCGGGTCAATTGTCTGAGGGCGTTGCTGGAGTAAACCGACTCGCTCAGTTGCTAGGTGGAAGTAAGAAGTCATGGCGGATGCCCAGAGATATAAGCTGACGTACCCCTAACCCCCCCCTATCCCTATTACGCCCAACGCACCCACGAGGACGGCTACCAGCTGAGCGCTACATGCAATGCACAAGGCGACCCGAGCTCCCATGAGCGCAAGCCATTGCCGAGCTTTGCAACCGGACCTCCACAACACCGACAACTCCTGGCCCAGTCCTCGGGCGGCGTTCGTATTCGCTGCATGTACGAATGAGGAGACGGAAGCCTCTGATTTGAGAGGCAAACCAATGTCCGGCTGACGAACCCGGTAAAGCATTCGCACGGGCAAATACGCAGCCGTCTTGCGCTTCTGCATCCCAATACTGCTTCAGCTACGCCTCTCCAGTTCGAAAACCGCTTCTCCCGTCTCTCAAACTCATTTGGGCTTGCTTACAGTCAGTGGATGTCACGTTGGGAGCTGTGCCCTGGAAGAAAGGCAGGCTATCGATGTTGAAGCTGGTTCCAGGGGCCCGACTGTCTGAGCCTGGCCATCTCTCCCTGCCTGCGGACTGGGCTCGATCAGTTGCCTCGACACGATGAATTGGATCATGGACGAGATGAGTGCGAGGCTCGGGCTGCAGGACCTGCTCCTGAGTTGTAACCTCGGGGCGCTTTCGAGAAGATTGCTGCCAAGCCGTTCATTCTTGCGCGCTATATCGTAATGAGGTTTGCATTCCATGGATTATTCCAAACTCGTTCCCAATGTACCCAACAGTTCAGCAGAGAAAGATCCATACAGCCTGCGAAACGACCAGTGAATCAAGTCAAATGTCCGTCAAGTCTCCTTTGATGAACGCGTACTCACCAAGGCGTGCACACACAACTACTCCGTCCATTGCTGGTAACATGCCAGCACGACACCGCCCGCCATCATTCCCTCCAAACCAGAATGCCCTTGGCATACAGGCCTGCGATTATCCCCACGCCTCGGGCTGCATCCTTCGTAGCTGTGGCGCTGGTGGGATACTCCGTGTCAACGTAGAGATGCTTCAGACCATCAGCCTCGCTCCACTCCGAAACCCAGGACGTTGCCGCAGCACGGGGGCAGTAGTCCTTCATTTCTGCCGTTGCTTTGGCAAGCTCTTCTGGATCGTTGCAAATGTAGCGCGTCTTGGCGAACTTGAACAACGAGGTTATGTGGGCGTGGCCGGCAATCATGAGCTTACCGCCAGACAGCGATAGATTGTCGGGGAGGAAGGGGAGGCGCAGCTGGGAATGATACTGCAAGGTTGCAGGGCTTTGTGTCGCCGTGTACAGGTACACGGCGCCCCTGGTGGTGGAAGCAACCGCCACGGTCGTGCTGTTGATGACCTCGATGCCGTTTGCGTACGGCATGCGCGCGACCACCTTGGCTTCGACTTGGCCACCATGTAATTTCACGTGTACCACAGTCGCTGCCGGGGGCGCCAGGAATGTCTCAAGCTGCGACAGCATCCTAGACCGCCCGGCGGTGAAGAAGTGGTCGTTGGTGACGTAAAACTCGTCGTCATCGAGGAGGGCTAAGGCGTTGGGAGTGTGGATGAGCGGATGCTGGATCGTGCCGACGTGGGTCGCAACGAGCGCGCCGACATCCAGTTTGAACATCTCGATCCGGGAACCAGCCTGGGCATGGTTGATGACGTAGAGAGTAGACGTCTTGGGGTTGTATGCCATGCCCAATGTGTGCAAATCTGCGCCGGCGCTGAAGTTTGCGAACTCGATGTTCTTCAGGGCCTCCGCGTCCGGTATTCCCGCGGCTTGGTAGTCGTAGGCATACAGCCGGGCAGAGGTAACTGGGCCTGGGCGGAAGATGCCCTTTATGAAGCTCGCAATCAACCCCAAGCTCCTGGTTGGTGTGCAAGGGAGGCGCTCACCATGACGGTGTTCCACCGCTCTCGTCCCGGGTCACAGGCGATGAGAGCAAGCCCCTGCGCCTCGAGCAGCAGCACATCCTCGCAGCTTCTGATGCGATCAGAGAATTTGATTTGATGACTTCCCAAGTTGTTGACTTTGGCCAGGCGGTCAGGCGCGTTTGCATGGAGCGTCGAGAATAGCTGCCAACGCTCGTAGAGGAATGGCGACAGCGCGGCCAGCGCCAGGACGAACTACGAGCCCGGCAGTCAGCGCGGTTTGCTTCCATCAGACGGGCAGACTCACCAGAATCGACGAGATGCCCATGCTGGCAATCAAAATATGTAGGTGCTGGCGTGGATCGAGGGGGACCAGCTTGGCCGATGCAAAGAGCGCACAGGAGGGCAGAGGCAGATGCTTTTATAGATGCAAGGTGCCGAGCTCGACGGAAGCTGCAGCCAGCAAGGGCGGCACTGACCGTACACCGACCTGCATCATGAGCCAATTGTGAAGACGATGGAGTTTCGTATCCACCTCCTAGTCCGCTTTCATCATGCACGGAGTGCTCCGTAGCAGGGACGAAGTCAGCTGCCACCGGGGTGCTCTCTCTAGCTTCGTCAGCTTGCGCCTGAGGAGTGTACAGTGCCAACCCCTCTCCCTCAGCACGGTGCCGCAGACAGCACCCGCCACTTCACGGCAACAATATTAAAAAGTCTACAGATGCAGTGCGGCAACTGGCGATTTGGTTGTCACCGTGGGCTGAACGAATAACTCAGCTTCTTCGCCCTCGAATGCAGCGCAGCAGTACACCATCAGGCACCGCCCGCTACGCACTCTGGCTTTCTCAAGAGGCAGAGTGACGGCTTGCAGCCTCGCCGCTTCACCTTCACCCCCGAGAGAGCTGTTTGATGATCCCAGCCTTCTCGCCAAGATCACGGCCCCTTTTCCTCGCCAAAGGCAAGAATGAACTCTCCGCAGCCGACAGACCATGCAAAAGTCTCTTACTTTCAACTTCTCAGCTCCCTGAACGGCCCTGCGACGGACCACGACGATGACCTTGGTGAGTGGGAGCAGCGCGACAGACAACGTCGCCGCAGGTTCTTCAAATCATGTCCATCACCCGAAATTCCTTCTCGTGCCAGCAAAGATGCATCCGCGTCCGGCAAAGGTCGAGACGGCGCCCTCAGGAGGGTCCTCTCCGCGCCCGACCGCCGCCAGCCCCCCTCGGCTCAAGTCATCGCAAACACTCAGAGCGGAGGAGCTGCAGCGCGCAAGGGACGGCTGGGCGCGCTCCTTGACACAGAGCCTGGCGACGCCGACGAGACGATTGTCCCGGACTCGACGCGCCCCGCGCACAAGGCGCTTCGTCGTAGCGACTCCACTCCGATGATGCCGACCAAGAAGCTGCCCCTGGACGTGGGCGAGCCGTCGCCTTCTCTCGGCGTGGGCCTGCGCAAGAGGAAGCGAGGCTCAGACACGAAACTATGTCCCGAGACTGAGCAAATCTTCAAGGACTTGGCATTCTTCTACATCCCGGACAACGACATTGCGCCAGCGAGGCGGCTTCGCATTGCCAAGGCACGCGAGTACGGTGCTCTATGGACGAGAAGCCTATCGGCAGCCACGCACATAGTGGTCGACAAGAACCTGGGCTATAACGATGTCGACAAGGTCACTTGCACGGCCAGTCTGACCCGTCTCCCGAAGCTGGTTAACGAGGACTACCCCATCGACTGCATCCAGTTCCGATCTCTGCTGGATCCCGACCAAAGAAAGTACCGCATCGCTGGTCAGCCAGAAGCCACTGCAGGCCCGCAGCCAAAAGTCACCGCCACTCCTAGTAAGCGGGCCGAGTCCTTGCAGCTGAAGCCAAAGCACGACAACCAAGGGCGACGCAGTCGTGCACCTCAGCCGAGCACGCCACTAAGAGACGACGGGTCCTCTCAAAGAAGCGTTGTAGATGCGACGCCGGCTCCGACGGGTCCGCAGCCCTTACCGCCCGACAAGGGCCACGGCCCGGAACATGTCCCTGAGCGTGACGAGCTTGCTGTTATCATCAACATAATGCAGGAGTTTAAGCATCTCCCGCTCGACAAGGACGACGATGAAGACGCGCGCTCTGACTCTGGCCAGTCCGTGACCGAGTCAAGGGCGGAAAACAAGTCAGACGCGGAGACGGACGAGATGCGCGGTCTCGAAGCCAGTGAATCGCCGTTGAAGCCGGGACGAAAAACCGGCAAGTTCGAGGATCGTTTCGCCTGTCACCAGGGCGGCGAGAGAGACGCCAATGCGGACAACCCAAACGCTCGCACCATCGAAGTGTTGCAAAACATGGCGAGCTACTACGACCGCATCAACGACCACTGGAGAACAACGGGCTATCGCAAGGCCATAAACACACTGGAGCGGCAAGACGTCAAGATACGCACCGAGGAAGAAGCCTTTCGTCTGCCTCACATTGGCCGGCGCATAGCCCAGAAGATTGAGGAAATCGCCACGACGGACAGGCTACGGCGACTCGAGTACGCGGAAGACGAGGCGACGGATGGGGCCCTTCAACTCTTTCTGCGGATCCACGGCGTCGGGACTAACCAGGCGCGGCAGTGGATAGCACAGGGACACCGCACGCTCAACGAGCTTGTGCGACAGGTGAAGCTTACACCGAGTCAGATGATAGGAATAGAGCACTACGACGACCTGGCGACGAGGATTCCCCGGCGAGAGGTGGAGGCTCTCGGAGCGGTGGTGAGGCAGGCGGCGGCGCGGGTGGACCCGGCTGTGGAGCTCATCATCGGCGGAAGCTACCGGAGGGGGGCGGACAGCTCCCACGACATCGACCTAATTGTGACCAAGAGCGGTACGACATCGCTGGGGGAACTGCGGCCGTTTCTCGACTCGCTCGTGGGACGGCTCGAGAAGGACGAGTTCCTGGTGGCGCGGCTCGCGTCGTCGAGGACGGGTCGCGACGGCAGCACTTGGCAGGGGTGCTGCGTACTGCCCAGGATGGCGGGCGTCGACCAAGAGGGATACCGGGCGGTGTGGCGACGGATCGACTTTCTGCTGGTGCCCGAGGCGGAGATGGGCGGGGCGCTCATCTACTTTACGGGCAACGACATCTTCAACCGCAGCATGCGGCTGCTGGCGCGCAAGAAGGGGATGCGGTTGAACCAACGAGGCCTGTACAGGGACGTGCTTCCGGGACCACGCAGCAGCAGGGCGTGTGAGGGGGAGCTTGTGGAGGGCCGGGTTGAGAGGAGGATATTCGAGGTGCTCGGGGTGAGATGGAGGGAGCCGCACGAGAGGTGGTGCTGAGGGAGGCGAGCTGTATATGGGCAGCGGGGATAGCGAGGAAGCAAAATCTCGATGTTTGCTCGAGGCAGCACGTGCGCAGGCAGAATCGATCAGCATAGCCGGTGCCAAGTACACAAGTTACAGTGCTTGGTGAAGTTGGGTTGTTCGAGGCCACATGTGCACAGAGAGAGGGAGAGAGGAGAGGGAGAGAGGAGAGGGAGAGAGGAGAGGGCGGCTGGCCCGTGATCAATCACATGCAAACCAATGGCAACGGCCCCTGTAAGCCCCACTACCCCCGGGCCTCTCAGCGGCTCTTTTCCATGCCAGTGAGCACCAGTGAGCGCTGTTTCCCCCGCGCTTCGGCACCAGCGCAGTGCGTCACACGGGCCTTTGCAGCCCAGGGGTGGTGGGCCTTGCCTGAAGCAGACGAAAGAGCCGGTCGTTCGTCCCGAGGCTTCCCGTCTTGTCCCATGTCCGCCATCCGTCCGTCTGCGCCTTTGATCCCCTGCAGCCTGGCATCTCGACAGTCGGCGTTCAAGGCTGGTTATCTTTCCGTTTCATTCTTTTCAGTCCACGGCGAGAATCAACCCTCAACGCCCTCTTCCGATGAGCCGGTGATCTTGGGTCCTCTGCGCTGAACCCTCCCGCCTCGCTCCTCCCTCTCCCCCTCCAGTGCGCCTCGCTTGCGCTCTTCCTCCCCCTCTCTCCTCGGCAGCCGAGACGACACCATGTCCTCGTCCCTAGACGGCCTCAAGGTATGGATCGGGCATGTCGGTGTCACGAGAGAGAGCCGGACCAAGGCTGACTGGGGATCGGGATAGGCCGCGCTGGAGCGCATCGTCGCCGAGCCGCGGTACCACGATCTCCTGTCACTGCTCAAGACAGCGCGCAACGGTGCCGTGTATGGGACCAAGGTGCGGTTCCCGCATGCTCTGGTGTAAGAGACTCCCAAGGCTTGGCTCCTAACCATCGCTACTTGGGGTCTGGATGCTAATGTGTCACCGGTGCGTCGGCAGCATGATCTTTTTGTTTCGGTCTGGAACGTACGTTGGCCCGCCCCCTCGTCCTGCTCGAGAGACTGACGGACGCGACACAGGTTCCGACAAAAGGTCTCGCTCGTGCTGAGAGCGACGAGGAAGCACGCAAGCAACCTGGCGAGGTTCGCGACGATATACAAGTTGACGACGCTGGCGCTCAAGCACTTTGGGCCGACGCCGGGCAAGGAGGGTACGTTGATGCAATAAGACTACCATGTCGGCTGCCTTCTGACGTGCAACCACCAGGCCCCTACGACTCCTTCTTTGGCGGCCTTCTCGGCGGCTATATCGTCTTCGGGCAGCGGTCCAAGCGGTCGGGCAAGATTTCGTCGGTCAATCAGCAGATTGTCGTCTACATCTTTGCGCGCGTGTGCCTGGCCCTGGCGCGGCTGGCCGTCAAGCCGGGCCACGGCCTGCCGCGCGTGTCGAGCGAGCCGCTGCACTCAGCCGTCAACTACTATGCCTGGCCGGCCTTCGCCTCGCTCTCGTGGGCGGCCGTCATGCTCCTCTTCCGCTACCACCCGGAGGACCTGCAGCCCAGCCTGCGCAGCAGCATGACGTACATTTACAGCGACTGCGACCACTGGGACTCGTTGCGGACTCTGCTGTGGCACAACAAATAGATGGCATCTGGGCGGATGGGGCGTTTTCTTTCGATTGTGTTTGTGGTCTAGATAGACTCTTGGCTTCTGCTGTGCTTTGTTTGGCCTTTGACTTCCTTGTTCCCGAGGACAGGGAGGGTGCAAAAACCAGCTCGGTGCGCGTCAGAGACAGTGTAAATATGGGCATGAAAACCATGCCCAACTCACAATACGAGCATCTTAACTTATATGGATCGTCTTTTGTCTGGTTGATGACGGCATGCCATGGAGGACCCACGGAGCAGCTACCCCGCCCAGTTGAATCCGCACTGTGGCTTCCCCGTCGCTTTGCGGACAAACACACTGCACCTCTTCTGCTGCTTGGAAACTCGCCCTTCTTTTCCATCCGCCTCGACGGAACACTGCAGAGGTAAGAAGGAGGAGAAGGGGGGAGAATAAAAGAACCTAGACGACGACCATTGCACCATCCGAAATCGACGCCGACAACCACCGCCGACGCTTCGAAGCAGCCATGGCGCTCAGCACAAAGGTGGCCGAGGCGCTCGCCCAGGCAGAGTCGACGTCGGGGGAAAAGTCGCCGCTATACGAGGCGCTGCTGGCCGACATCAAGAAGCTGTCGACGCCCGCGACGGCCGCCGCCGACCTCAACGCCATTGCCGACTCGTTTGTCGGCCAGGCCCTGGGCGTCGTCTCGACGCGCGCCGTCCTCGCCGCCTTCATCGCCACCCTCAAGGGCCTCGGCAACGACGACCTGTGCATCGACGTCGGCGCCCGCACCCTGACCCTGCTGGCGGGCCAGCCGTCGTCCTTTCTCGACGCCACCGCCACCCTCTGCGAGCTCGTCGCCGCCGCCCACGAGAGCAATGACGACTTTGCCGATGCCGCCCGGGCCCTCGCCGCCATCCCCCTCGACAGCTCCCAGCGCAAGGTGACGGACGAGGACAAGGCCAGGATCTGGGTCCGCATCGTGCGCAACTACCTCGAGGTCGACGACTCGACCGCTGCCGAGACGTACATCAACAAGCTCAAGAACATCATGCATACCGTCTCCGACCCGGACCTCAACCTGCACTTCCGCCTGTCCCAGGCCCGCATCCAGGACGCAAAGCGCGACTTCCTGTCCGCCTCGCAGCGGTACCACGAAATCAGCTTCTCGCCCGCCATTGCCGACGAGGAGCGCCTGCACACGCTCGCCATGGCCGTCAAGTGCGCCATCCTCGCCCCCGCCGGCCCCATGAGGAGCCGCGCCCTCGCCCGCCTGTACAAGGACGAGCGCGCCGTCCAGCTGGGCGAGTTTGGCATCCTCGAGAAGATCTTCCTCGACCGCCTGCTCTCGCCGCAAGAGGTGGCCAAGTTCGCCGAGGGCCTGCAGCCGCACCAGCTGGCCACCACGTCGGACGGGTCGACGGTGCTGGCCAAGGCCGTCGTCGAGCACAACCTGCTCGGCGCCTCGCGCCTCTACAACAACATCCAATTCGAGGCCCTCGGCTCTCTGCTGGGCCTCGACGCCGAAAAGGCCGAGGAGACGACGGCGCGCATGGTTGAGCAGGGCCGCCTGGTCGGGCGCATCGACCAGCTCGACGGCATCGTCTGGTTCGAGGGCGGCGAGGCCTCGGGCGAGAAGGGCAGCGGCAGGGCAGAAGTCATTACCGGCAAGGAGATGCGGCGCTGGGGCGCCAACGTGGAGAGCTTATCCGAGGACGTGGAGAACATCACCAATTCACTGCAAAAGGAATTTCCGGTACGTCGCTGTGTGCGCGCCCGGGACTTGGGCTCATGCTTGCTTTGCTAACGTACGCGACCAGGACTTTGTGGCGGCAAATTTGGTGGTATAAGGAGAAGGGGAGGTTCACATGGCCTGACATTTTCTTCTTTTCCCCTCCAGTGGTTTATGAAGCATCTGGCGTTACGGCAGACGGGATGGAGTCAAGGGACCTGGTCGGGTCATGACAGATGCTCTAGGCCCGCACTTGAGTTGATAAGGGCCACTCTTCAGTCCAAGTCGCGTCTCCTGACCACAACGTAGCCTTGGCTAATGACGTCGGGGCTGCCCGTCTCCTCGTCGAATGCCTGGCCGTCGCCGTCGCTCTTGGTGCGGCGCTTGCGGGTTGCTGGCTTGGCCGCCTCGGGCTGATCGTGCTGCTTGAGGATGGCCAAAAGCCCGTCGGCAATGTGACGGCCCATCCAGTCGTAGCCGTCGGCCGTGAGATGCAGGCCGTCGTCCCAGAAGGCGTCGCGGTCCTGCTCCAGGAGCGAATGGTAGGGTATCTTGGCGAAGAGGTCAAGGGCGTAGCTGTGGGAGGCAAAGGAAGGGAAGATTGTTGGCACGCAATGCCGTGGTGACGGACGAGGCGCGGGTGGTGGGCTGCATCGACTTACAAATTTGTCTGCTTGTAGTTCAAGATACTGGCGTTGAGGCCGCGCCTGGTAGCGTCGAGCGACGCCGACTTGGCGGCGCACTCGGGGACAGTCAGGGCCAGGACCTTGGAGCCGTTGGCGAGGGCCAAGTCCCAGCAGGTCTTGAGGGCGTTGAAGATGGCATGGGGCGAGATCGAGTAGGCCAGGTCGCTGGGGCGAGAGGTCAGCAGGCCGTCTTGTCAAAGGGGTGTTTGCCGAGGGCGGCTGCGGGGGCTTTGGCTACTTTGTTCCGCCGAGCACGATGACCCAGTCGAACGAGCGCTCCTCGACTGCGCTTTTTCGTCAGCCACACGGCGATGCAGGGGACATGGAGGGATGGGGCGGGATGCACGCACGCTGCTCGCGCAAACGGCGCTGGAAGGCGGGGCGGGAGGCGACGTCGCCGGGCTCGCCATCGGCCAAGGCCTCGAGGTCGTAGCTGTCGTCGGGCAGGACGGCGGCGAGGCGGTCGAGCAGGGCGTCCGAGTAGGGGTGCTCGCCGAGGCCGTAGTTGTGGTAGCCCGAGGTGAGCGAGTCGCCGAAGCAGAGGATGCGGAGGGGGGTCCTGCTGCGTGCCATGGCCGACGAGGCCGTCGACGATGACGATGCGGGGCGCGCGGGCAGATGCGATGTCGTCGGCTCGTAGCAGACAGAGGCTGTGGGAGCTGGCTATGGTGGGGCGCGACGGGCGGTTTGCGTGCCAAGAGGGCAGGGGGGCAAGTTATTCGTAGGAAGCGTGGTAATTAATAATGAGTATTACTATTCGGCCAAGTGGAAATCTCTATTCGGCCAACAGGGCCCGTGCGGGCCCTGCCTCCCCGCAGCCACACCCGCACACCTAAATTAGCTGCGCGCGCATGGCACGTAGCAGTGTAATTCCCTACGCATTCTCTTCAATTGTATAACGCGCACATAGCTCAATTCGACCAAAAAACGCATCTTCGCGATAATCGCGAGATATGCGTACAACACGGCCCGGCTATGAGTCCGGCCTAGGCTGCGTGGCCGGGATCACCTCCTCCACCGACGAGGCTGGCGGAGCCTTTCTACCCCTCGCCCGTCTCCCTCGAGATCCCCTTGCCCTAGTTGTTCCGCGCCCTCGCGATCTTTCTACTGACGCCCGGGCAGAGCCCTAACTATCCCCATCTATCTCTGCCTATATACGTGTGCGGCGCACACTTGCGTTGAGCCGGCGAGTGCTCGCCTAACTCGACCGCGGTAGCCGCCTTTGCGTGCCTCTTGGTTGTGATGCCGGCTGCGAGTGTGAGAGCGCTACTAGGAGGTACGGGCTGACAAAGCACTCGGGTACGTAGTACCACTATATCGGCAGGGTATTGGCAGGGAATCGTGCCTACCCCGCTCGCATATTATAGACCACTCGCTATTCCGACGGAAGAGGAAAAATCCCTCTTCTCGCAAGCTTTAGTCTTACGATAAGGAGAATATAATATATATATAGCGTAGTACCTCTAGCTATCTCTACTACCTAACTAATCGTACTATAATACGTATTCCTTTATAATTTCTAAAGCTTTTTTTTTTAGTTACTTAGTAGAGATAGCTACTTAAAGAAGACTATATAATACTTTTATATCGCGATATAATAGTTAACTAGTTAAGGCCTCTTTATTATATATATTAAGTATCTACTTAAGAGATAAAGAATAAAAAGATATATCCTTAGAATAGACCCTTACTATAGATAGCGTTATAACTATATTAAAGATATCGCTACTTATAAGCGTAAGATAACTATCTTATAAGGAAAAGCTTATAGCTTTATAAGTATAGGTTAAGGAGCTAAAGGAGATAAAACGCCTATAAGATCACGTTATATAATTAAAGGAGGAAATTACTAAACGCGCTAGTACTATTACTATCTATTTAAGGAAGCGTTAATAGTCTTACTCCCTTAAATTAAATAGTAGTCGCGTAGGTAAGGTTAAGATTAAAAATATCGCTTAATTATCTTAACTTACTAATATATAGAAATATTTAAACTAGACTTATAATCTAAAAGACGCCTTTAAGGTAGCGCTTAGACGTTTTTATCGTAATAAAATAAAAATCCTTTATATAGTAGATTATATATATAGCGACTATAAAGTAAGATAGCGCTAATACTAAGAATAAACGCTAATTAATTAGACTAAATATAGTATAAATTAAGTATACTTTAAAGAATAAATATTTATTTTAATTAAGGATATTATAAATAGAGAGATACTATTAGCGATATAATTAAAAGAGGCTCGCTAATAAGAAGGCTAGCCCTTTTTAAAGTTTAGCTTATACCTTAACTCCTTAAAGAGGTATTTTAAATGCCTATTAAAAAAGGTATATACTCTTATATTTTTCGCTAAGTTAGAGCTATAACTTTATAACTAAATTAACCTCTACTTAATACTTATTTATACTTATTAATAGGAAGAGCTTATATATACTATTAATTCCTATTCCCGTTCCTATACTACTAACCCTTGCTGCCTAACGACACCCTATAGTATAGTACGTAGGCCTGCCTATTTTAAACTAAGTTTTACGACGCTTCGCGGAGCGCTAGTAAGTACTAGCCCGTATATATTACTATTAGGCATTAGTACTATACGGTAGTGCTCGTGGAAGTAGCAGTTTAAATCTCGGTCTAGGCTAGTATAGGCCTTAAATTCGTTGTCCCCTATTATCTTATGCCTTTTTAAGTAATATACGTCGATTATTAGGTTCTCGTCTAGGAGCTCCTAGTTTACGATAGTAGCGTAAAGATCTCGTGCTTAGGAGAGCTAGTACCTTAGGGGATCTAATTTATTTTAAGCCGTTATTAGACCTCTGCGATAGTTCGCTGCTTCTCTCCGTTACGTATATTATAGATTAATAGCGTACCGGGTAGAGATAGAAGGAGTATATAGTTCCCTTCCTCGCCCGCCTAGAGGTTATATAGGTCGTACTAGAACTTATATTGCGACTACACCGACCTTATAGTCCTTATATACTAGAGGTTAATTTAGTGTTTTATCCCTCTTTCTATCGCACTATTATCGTTAAGACGGTTTATTTAATCGTAAAAAAATATAGCGTAATACCTTTTATAGAGTATACTACCTAACGTGCCCCTCCTTAATAAGTACTATAAAACCGCTAAGCTTATATATAACGATATCCCTATAGATCTATTAGCTAGAATAGCTTTGCTAAGATACTCGAGTATATACCTTCTATAATCTATAAATAACTACCGTAGTTGCGTAGAACTAGCTTTCCGCCGTTACTACGCGATGCAGCCGTTTAGGATCTAAACCTAAGACTGCTAGATCTGCTATAATATCGGATAAATTAGAGTCTAGAGGCGTAATAGCAGCTATAGTTAGATAGCGGGTATCTATATTTAATCCGTAAATAGCATTCTTAAAGAAGAGTAACTGGTCCGCTTGCTCTTATATAATAGGCCGTTTAAAATCTTAGTTATTTAGGCTTAATTTTTAATAAAGAAGCTCTATAAAGATATAAGAGCGGAAAGATAGTAGCATCTTATTAGCGATACGTTAACTACGATAAGGGGACCCTTTTCGTATATAGCGAATTTAGGCTTAGTAAGAATATTAATAGAAAAATATAGAATTACTACTAGTAGCATAACGTATAAGGGTTATAAAGAGGATAAACCTAAGAAACCTCTCTATCGTAACTATATAGCGTCGTTTAGTACGATATTTAATCCTTAAAGTAGGATTCGAGCGTAGTTAAAAGGGTCTTACAATCCTTATATAGCGTTAACTTCCCGAAGTATGCTATACGCTCCTTTCTATTTATCCCCTGCCTAACTAGCTAAGCACGATAGTAACTAGCTAAGCACGATAGGGATTAAAGGGTTATTGTATTATAATACGGTTAAGTAGGTTCTAGCTAATCTATTCGGTGTAATAAGCGACCATAGTATCGAGTCTAGTAGAGGCCTTCTATAATGCTATGGAAATATGCCTTATTTAGCCTAGCCTAGATTATAAGAAAGAAAATCCTTTACGAGCGCTATTTTTAAGAAAGCTTAGCGTTACGGGAAGTAAGAGCATTACGCTCCGCGCAAAGTGCTTTAGCGTAGAACGGGATAGGTAACGCTACGAGCCTAGGCTAATATTATATATAAGGTAATATACGAAAGCTAACTAGTCGATATCGGCAATTTCTACTTCTTAGGCCTAGTTAAAAGGCTATATTCTTCGAGATACTTACGACATCCCGAGGGCTAGTTACCCCTAGCCTTTATAACCTCCTTTAGCGTAGTATCCTCTAGGCACTTAGAACTGCTAACCTATTACACCCGTAAGTATAGTGCTTTGCTATGCTACTTATATAAAGTAATTATAAGGTAGCGTTCCGGTACGCGGCCCTTGCGTGCTCTAGGGTCGCTGTCCTAGTACGTTAGGACAGCAGCGCTACTAAGCCTCTAAACCTCCGCTTTATACTCCTAAGTCTCGTTACCGGATGCCTACCGGTATAGGAGCTAGAATTCGGGATATTCGTTACCGAGAAATAATCGGTAAGCGATAATTAGCTCGAGGTCGTCGACGGGCTAGGCCTAGATAGTAGGTAACGTGCGGCCGCCCGTATAGGGTAAGGGCGTAGCGTGCTAGTAGTTATCGTACGCTCGTGACTATCTATTTCGTACTATAGACCTAGATAGCTATTCTACCGAAAAGGTAGGATGCCTAAGAGTCTAAACGCATAGCTTCTTAATCCCTAGTCTACGGGGCACTTTAGATACCTTATAGCTAAGGATTCTTAGTATACCTAGTAGGATGCCGCTATCTACTAACCGAGGGCGCTTTTATAGCACCGGGCTATAGCCTTAGTACGTATAAACTACGGCGTTAGATTCCCGCTAAACTATAACTTCTAGAAGCTAGGCTATTATATTATCTTATAGCTAGTAATATAACTCGAAATGCCGATTTTCGCTATATCCGGCTACCCTATATTTATTACGACCACGGCTACTAGGCCGCTAACGGTCGACCGCGTTAAGCACGTAATACGGTCTAACGGATAAATAGTTAGCACGACTATCTAATATATATAAGATTAAGGAGATCGTAGAGATCTAAGCGATCTAAGATTAACGAGATTACTACGCTCTATATAATCTAATATTAAGGATTATAGCTAGGCCTATAATCTAAGGATAGTCTTTATAGGTATATATAGCTACCTACTTTTACTCCTTTAGATAGATAGCTCGATAGCTTTTAATATATTATAGATCTTTATTATAATTCTATCTTTAATTCTAATTACTTAGTTATAGTCTATAGTCTATAACCTTTAACTTATTACTAACGTAATATACTTATTATTACTTAGACTACGCCCTATTATATCTACTAATATAAACCCCTTAATAGGTTTATCCTTTAGGAATAACGCTAGTCGTTATATATTAAAAGCTCTTATTTAGTATAATACTATATTACTCTAAGTAATATTATAACTATTAATATACCTATATAGTAAGCTAGATTAACTAACTCTAGAGCTACTATATTACCTTAGGATATAATACGCGAGATTATTACCCTTCGATATAAGGT